GCTTGCGACAATGGATATGCATGCAACATAAGACCTACTACAAATGACATCATAAATTAACACACAAAATTATTTGCAGTTGAGAGGAAACAGTCATGGCTAGGAGGTCATGAATTAGTTGTGAGATGGAATGCAGAAGACAATATGAGCACATAAGCAGAGGAATACTCATTGTCAGAGCCACGATCTAGCAACACTTGGTAAAGACAGAGACACTTTAATGTTTGGAAAAGTGTTCTGTAGTGTGTGTAGATCCACAAAACTGTTACAGTACCTGTAGTTACAAGTTACAAAAATTCAATGAATCCAATTACCAATCCCAACCCTGTGTCTATTCACTAACACGTGACAACCAGTGTGAAAAGTGGGATTAACTGAATTACAGGACTGAAGACTGTACTGGATAGCTATACCATCATACTACAAAAATAGATCAAATAACTGAATGCCTGCAGGCTGGAATGAATGCTGATCAAGAACAGATGAGCCAGAATGAAAGCCCACTGAGAAGGAATGAAGGTCATGACAGAAACCTGGTTATAAATTATGCATGCCAATCAAGAAAAGACAGAAGGCGTAAAAGCCATGCACATGCCTGCCACCCTGCAGGGCTAGTTCCAAGGTTCTACATGAAGTCCCTAAAGGAGAAATGTATGAGGAAATTACAGGGGCAAATGACAGCCAATTTTGGAACCAGCATCTGGCCATATGGTGCCACAATCAACCGAAAACATGGACATAAGACAATGTGTTTCCCTGCAGGAGTTTGTCCTCACTACTAAACAGGTGACCCACTGTGCCTTTCTTGCATTAAATGAAGACCATGGTCGTAGGAGAGCAGGCAAAGCCTTTCGTGATGGGATAAGAGACCATGAGTACTGGCTATGCCACAAGTCTTGAGTGCATGCAGTGTGAGACAATGTAAGTCGTTGAGTGTCCCTGCAGCCCAAGAAGCTGTAGTTTCTTTCCAAAATACTCAGACATTTGATGATACTGCAGCCAGCAATTTTAAATGAGTAACAAAAAAGAAAGCGAGTAAACTTTGTGGCATACCATACTAGCATCAGTACTGCATGATACAAAATGTATGAGCTGAAAACAAGATATATTTAGATTATCTCAGTCCTTAAATAATTTGTTTTTTTTTCTGCCCACAACTAGCACAATGATCAAAAGTACTGTAACGTGGATGGCCAGAGCGTTGCTGGGTAGTGAACTGATAAACACCACATGATTGAATATACACAAGGCAACAATGGAAGGCGTCTCAGTGGAGGAATGTTATTGCGCGCTGTTAGGGAACAGCACATCAATGAAGATGTTGGCTAGGAACCATGTGACTTGTTCTCTATGTGATCTTCCTCATGCAACAATAGAACTATTTTTTATGTGCATGGTCCATGCGAAGGCTATATAACGACAGTTACAAACGTAAGAGGTTTTCGATCTTTTAGTGACAGTGACAAAATTCAGTCTTATGCCGGCAGAGTGAATTCGAACAAGGAGCACAGGAGAGTACAAGAGGTCAACCTGTGAAGATTTGATGTGTGATTTGAAGGCTTTATGAGTGCTATAGTGCAGTGATATTGGGAGTGTGTGGTTCAATGAGAATTTTATAGTTCCAAGTTATCGAAGGAAAGATAGATGGGCGGATAGAAGTGACAAGAAGACGAGGAAGAAGACGTAAGAAGATGCTGGATGACCTTGGGGACAGAAGAGGATACTGTCATTTGAAGGAGAAAGCTCTAGATCGCATTAAGTGGAGGAATTGTTTTGGAAGAGACTGTGGACCTGTCGTCTTGACAGATTACTGATGATGATGATGTTATAAATCCATGAAGACTGGTGGAAACAGACTGAGAAGATTAGTGTGGAGTGACTGTAAATTGTGTAAATTAGCAAGACCATAAAATTATTTGCAGTTACAAAATGTAATTGTTAACAAATCCAACTACAAATCCAAATCTGCGTCTCAGTCACCTAAACATGTGACAGTATAACAAAGACATTAACCTTTAATCGCCAAATGTCAGACATATATGATGCAAGCAGCAACCCAAGTTGGCCGAATGTCATATATATATGTGGCAGGACACGTGCACTCTTTGGGATTGCTGACAGTTTGCCTTGGGTTTGAAACCAAAACAAACCCACGCAAGTTTATGTCAGAAGAGTTCATTTGTTAGCTCTGAAGAATGAAATCGTTTATCAGGGTACTGGTTTCGATACTATTTACATTTAGATATGACTGTTTATGACTTGGTCAGCCAAATATAGCCCACCTTTGTTCTGAGAACTGAAGATGAAATATTCATCGGTGCTTGCAGATCAGTGCTTCCAGAGCTTTCAAGGAAGTGTGACATTTTCAAGGATTGCTTTTCATGGCGAATTATCAGTTAGGAAGTCAGTGTCGGATTGTCTATTATTTCTTTATCAGTTAAAAAGTTAGTGTCAGACTGTCATATATTTCTTTGTATATTATTTTTATTTTGTGTCTCGGAAGAGGTATAAACCCACTGAGCCAGTATTAATTTGTGAATAAAAGGCATCTTCGTCACTGTGACTTTCAGAATCAGTGTCACACTGGCACTCTTTTCAACCAATATTATAATTACTTTGCATCACTATTTTGCGAGTATTACTAACAGGTGAGAGTCTCGCTTTGTCAATGAAATTAATTTATTCAATTTATCTGGAAACCCCCCTTCCCCTAGATGGAAGCTCAAAAACATGCCCGATATTCAAAACTTCTTGATACAGAAGAACTGGAGGAAATATTGATGGAAGAGGAATCTGATGAGTTAGAAGAACTCAATGAGTTCATCGAACTTCGCGAAAATATGTCATCATCATCATCAGGTAATGAGGCAGAGGAAACGGAAATTAGGTTTCGTGATAGAAGACCTGAGGATTCACCAAAGGTACTAGACTTCACTGGTCCCCTGAGTGGAATCAACAGATCAGCTGCTCCCAATATAAATCCACAGTCCCCTCCTTTTTCCATTTTCACTTTGTTTTTTCCAGGCAATATTCCAAATCTTGTTACAAGAAACCAATAGATATTTCCACCAATTTATGGTGTGCCAAGATGCTCCAGGCCCTTCTGTTCAACCGTCTGATGTTACAATTGAAGAAATGTATAAATTTTTTGCAATAATAATTCAAATGGGCCATGATCAACGGGACACCCTCAAAGATTATTGGTCAAGAGATGAGCAATACTACACTCCATTCTACCGTAACACCATGGTACAAGACCGTTTCTTACACATTTTGAGATTCCTGCATTTTGAAAATAATGAAACTCCTCCAAATTGAGATGACTCAGAGTATGATAGGCTCTGGAAAATTAGAAAGATTTTTGATTATCTGAACAACAAATTTTATGAACTTTACAATCCATCAGAACGTCTTGCTGTTGAAGATATAGTGCTCTTCAAAGGAAGAGTGATTTTTCGTCAGACATCCCAAAGAATGCAAAAGATTTGGTATAAAAATTTACAAGCTTTGCAATTTTCTTGGCTATACTTATGACATGATAGTTTATTTAGGCAAACAAAGGCAACTTGCTACAGAAGAAATTACATCAACACATGGCATTATTCTCCAGCTAATTTGAAGAGTAGAAGGCTTGGGACACAAAATTTACATGGACAATTATTTCAGTTCTCCTGCATTATTTGATGATCCTTTAGACAGGAAAATAAATCTGTGTGGAACCGTTCGCAATGATAGGCATGGAATGCCACAAGAAATTCAGCCCAAGTCAATGAAATTGAAAAAAGGGGATATTGTTACAAGAGTCAAAGGACATCTAGGTGTTGTTCATTGGAAAGACAAGCATGACATGTATGTTCTCACGAATATGCACCCTCCTCCATTGGATGGCAACTTCCGAGATGAATCTGGCCATGCTGTCAAACCCCATGTAACTGAAGACTACAATGCACACATGGGCTTTGTGGATAAATCTGACAGGATGGTAAACAGTTATGGCATTGCTCGGAGGACATGGAAGTGGACGAAGAAATTGTTTTTCCACCTTCTAGATATGACTATTCTAAATGCATATCTATTACACAAGTCATGTGGTGGAAAAATGACACACAAAAAATTCCGAGAAATATTGGCGCGGGATTTGATTCTTCATTCGCATGAGGCAAATATCACGGTCAGTGGCGTTTCTCGGGGGGAGGCCAAGTTCATCTGGGGCCCAACTGAGTCGACTGGAGGTGAAACATTCACAACACTGGCCAACCAAAGGGAAACATAGACGTTGCCGTGTTTGTTCTCAAAATAAGAAAAACTGAAGCAGCATGCTCTACTAATGTAAAAAGTGTGATGTTGGGCTATGTGTGGTGGACTGCTTTGGGAAGTAGCACACGCGTGTCAGAGTGTGAGGTATCGTAAACTGTGAGGTGACGCAGTTCAAATTCGCATACAGTCTGAACAAAATGTTATTCTATATAGTGCGAGTATATTTACAATATCACCATGATTCAAGGTTCAAGAAAAAACAACGGGTAAATCCTTTTGAATTTCATAACATATATATATAATAAAGATCATATTTTGCATTTCATGACAAAATAATCACAGTTAATTTTCATTTGTAAAACTTGCTCTTTTGCGTATATGTAGAAAATTTTATTGTCTTTCAGGTTCTTTTTAGTTCACATTTCTATGTTGGATAGAACGGAAAATATGCATTTTTTTTCTGAAAGTTTGCAATGTTAATTAATTAGGGTGATTAAAAAATTCCAGCTGTACAGGGTTGCTGGCAATTTAAAAGTCCGTATGTTAAAGGTTAAAGCATACATCATAACGCGCAAGAATAGTTACAGAATTGATTTCTTGCTGCAACTTCTCTAATGTATGCAGATAATCTAAGACAGTTCCAATTTCATATATACACTTAGTAAGTGAGAGTAGTCCCCTTACTTTCCATTGTTTCTTAATGAATAAGAGAAACTATCCAAATTTCTTTAACATACACAAGATAAATAATGATTACCACAGGTGAAGAAGTCTGATATGGCTGGTTTTCTGACTGCCCAGTACTTAGGTACTGCCGTAATGCAAAATCAGAGCTCTCACACAGCAGTTTAAAATTATAGGCATTATTCACTTGGTGTACACATTGCTGGCAAACCTGTGAAGGCAAACCATCGTCTACATGGAGCTGCAATACAAACAAAACATTTTTATATTGTGTGAAATTATATAATTGTATTACATGCATCCCTCATTAGTGTTCAAAGCTTAACAACACAGATGTTACAGTATATTCAGGCATAAATCATTTTCATTCATATTTTGTTAATTACACACTACATTAAATAATTCATATAAAATTTACAAAACTTAAAATGGTCAACATCATGTACCACTTCCATGTATAACGATAATTTTGTTTTCTCTCTGAGAAATTGGATAAAGTCAAATTTCAACAGAATCCTGTCTTCTGGGATATAACACTGTGCAGTTTATTGCAAGTCAACCAATGTTTTGGAGGAACAAATTGCCTCCATTTTCAGTGTCAAAAATTAAGCCAGCATGAAGCAAGTAGCAAGCAATGTGCTATATGGTGTTTTATCCCAGAAGACAGGACTCCTGATAACCACTGTTGTACAACCTCAATTCCTACATTAAATTTCAATGCTTCAAAAGACAGAGCATGTAATATAAGATGCTGGCTGACAGTGTTCGAGAATATCTGAACATAGGAGACTCATAAAACTGCATGCTGAGAAGTTCTATAATTTATATTCTTCAGAAAATACTACTAGGATGATCAAATAGTAGATTATATTGATGGGGCATTAACACACATGGAAAATATAAGAAATGCACACAAAGCATTTGTTCAAACACCTGAAGCAAGATGAAGCAATCACCCAGGAGAACTATGCAGAGAAGTGAGGATAATATTGAAATGAATATTATAGAAATGAAGTTTGTAGATGTTGCCTATATTCATCTTGGCTCAGAACAAAGTCTAGGGACTAAGCTCGTGGGCTTTTTAAAAAGCAGGTAATTTCTTGACTATTGGTTTCTCAGGGACACTGTTACATCAAGTTACTTACATAAAGTCCCTGTGCTTAATCAAGCACCATACCATGAAAAAACACAGGGGAGAGGACGTACAGCTCCATCACTTTTAATCTTAGCACTAGCTTGAGGTACCTAATACCATTTCCCCAGGGAAACAGATTCTGATACTCACTGCTAAGAAGGGTAGGTGGGTTGGTCTCCAAGGTAAAAAAAAAAAGGAAAAAGGTAAAGCTATCCTTGTAACATACTGTGAAGGCCCAGAGGGTTGTGAGACAGCAAGGATCCCACATTTTCTCTAAACAACAATCTCACAAATGGTGGTAAGTTTGTCAGCTTTACGCACCGGCCTCCCTTTACCCCCCAAGAAAGATTCCTGGTACTCATTTCTGTTAGAAGCTGAGTCCACTCCAGGGCCATAGTGCAGTTGGAAGGATTAGCTAAATTGAAATAAGCCACCTCATCAGGACTCGAATGCGCGAACTTCCAGCTTGTAGTACGGTACCTCAACCAATTACACTACTGTGTGATGAAGAAAATAAAAATCTCTTCCCTTTGCTAGGAAGCGATCTTGATTTCTTGGTTATCCAGCTCAGAGGCCAGCTGCCATACTAACTATACTTGACTGCTGAGTTACTTAGTACAGTAGAAATTATGTGGCATAATTAAACCAAAATTAAATTTACCCAATAACTGTTAGAATACACATATCTGACACCAAATTCCTTCAAAATCTGCTCAGTAGTATCGGGGTGGAAACTTTCTAATGTATAGAACGTCAGATATTGCCTATGTTTCATAAAATGAACATATAAAAATCACTTACAGTTTTTATCACTAGTTCTGTCCCTACACTCGTACAAAGTCTGTACACTATTCATAAATATTAGTAAACTACAGCAGTGGTAACGGTTTTCAGACTTCTATCTGAAAAGAATGTGGTTTCATCTCAACTGAATAATCGGCAATCAAGTGGTTTCGTGTGACTGTCTTCCCTCCCTACCGGCGAATCTCGGGCCAATACTTCAACATTAACCGTTACACTTTGCTCCAAAAATCTTACCTTCTCAACTATTTAACAATCAACTTCCCACCTCACATGATACTGCATAACCTCTGCTCTAAAAGGGCGACGTTAAATATCATATTACTCAAACCAAATTCATAGCCCACTGCACAAACCATACGCAAAATGATACTTACTATAAGTAATCACAATGCACTTACCTTTATAACTGACACTACAGCCATTATTCGGTTTTGAAGAACACAGTCTTCACTGAACAAAGGCAACATAGTATTAGTCTGCGTCATGCATAGCCGACAAATACTTCCGAAATTCAATGACATGTTTCAAACTCTATTGTTTCGTCAGGGCCTCCGTATATTAGAATTTACCTCAAACATAGGTTTGGAAATTTACTATCAGCCAATCCACGGTCAAACATCACCAACAGTTAACACCAACGAATAAATAACTACACAACAAAAGAATCAGCAGCGTTCACCATAAATGCAGCCACGGACAGTGACGGGGCGCAGAACAGGAAACATCTAAATACCGCTAAATACAAATATGGTTCTCAGTCTTCTGACAACAAATCACTTCTTGAGGTACGTCGCATACAAACAAGCGTCTTCGGCAAAAAGGGCTAGAAAAACACCACATACTTGGGGGGGGGGGCGTCATTTATACACATGTTGCATAGTGTACTCAGTCTCATTACACCATCTACTTACTGTTTTCACTTGTATCACTTTTCCCAGTGTGACAATCATAAGTAGCATAGTCATAACCATGGGTCTATATCTAGTAAGATTAAAATATGCAATTATTAAGGTAACTGGTATATGGTATATGTAACTGGTATATTTTGTGACATAGCCAAGGCCTTTGACTGCTTTAATCATGATCTTCTATTAATGAAACCGCAGTACTATGGAGTGCTGGGTGTATTATTGCAATGGTTTAAATCTTACCTCCAATAGAGGAGGCACAGAGTGGAATTAAATTATATAAATAATAAATATTATTTAAACTGGGAAATTGTTGGATGTGGTGTGCCTCAGGGATCAGTGCTGGGACCCTTACTCTTTAATATTTACATAAAGGATTTCCCCCTTGAAATAAGTAAAATTTCAGAAGTTATTATGTTTGCAGATGACACAATTATTCTTTGCACAGCTAAAGACTACTATAATTTAAAAATAATATTGGATGTTGTTTTCAATCACATGTTTATGTGGTTTCAAAATAATCAATTAGTGTTAAATCTGGATAAAACAAAAATTATAAAATTCACCCCAAAAGCAGCTACGAGCTACCCTCTATATACATTGTTTTTTAACAAAAAGCTGAAAGAAGTAGAAATGATAAAATTTCTCGTTTTGCAGCTGGACAATCATCCGACTTGTAAGGGACATATCGATTTTTTGCTTCACAAGTTGAGCACAGTTTGTTTTCTAATGAGAAAATTGTCCTATATATTAAACATAAATAGTCTTAAAACTGTATATTATGCATATTATCATTCATTGGTGAAATGTGGAATAATATTGTGACGTGTTGTGCATTGGAGGACGCCCCTTCCCTTCCCAGTGGTGGCGTGGAGGCTCTGGCCGCAGTGGTGTGGCGGGTGAGTCGGCGCTCTGCCCCCCCCGCACTGTGACATGGCACAGCTTCCTACTGTGACCTTGCACACAACACCGCTGTTGACACGGGCAACTGGCAAGAGCGAACAGAATAAAAGCCGGCTTAGCAGCAAGCGAGAGTCAGTGTGTGATCAGGAGTGACAGAGTTGGAATCTAGCAGCAGTCGCTAAAAGAAGAACCGGATGCATGTGTAATTGTGTAATTGGGAGTGTGTAATACAGTTAAATATACAGCTCCTGTACTGTGAATATGTGTAAACTACTGAGAACAGTGTGAACAGATTATTGCAGATAGGGTTATAAAGTGTGAAACCCCGCAAAAGTGTTATAATCAATTGTAGCTGATACTTGTAGGTTGTTAAATAAACCAATTAACAATCCGAACGGCACGAAACACGTTACAATATATTTGGGAAATACATCAGACAGTTATAAGGTCTTTGTTATACAAAAGAAAATAATAAGAATAATGATTGGAGTGGGCCCAACTCATACATGTAGAGATCTATTTTAAAAGCTTGACATACTACCAATCCCATGTGTATATTTTGCTTTCATTGATGACATTTTTTGTTAATTTGGATAAGTTTCAAACCAATAACTCTGTATATGATTGGTACCAGAAGGAATGACCACCTTCACATACATTCAAGACATTTATCATCCTATCAGAGAGGGGTGTATTAGTCAGGCATCAAGCTATTTAACACTCTGCTGTCAAATATCACAGTTTTAAAAAATGATAAAAAGCAATATAGTTTAGTTTTACAAAAATATTTGCAAAGTGACGTATTTTACTTTATTTATGAATTTGTTGAGCATGAAGGGGCTCAAAAGTTAAAGAGTTAATAAATAGTCTGTGCGCGTGAATTATATATTGTCGAGACTTGCTTGTTGTAAGTGTGGTAGTATGTATGATGTCTGTTTTTGTTATGAATTTTAATATTTTATAATGTAATTGTTCTAATGATACGGCTTGCCAGTGTGTGCGCGTGCGTTTGTGTGTGTGTGTGTGTGTGTGTGTGTGTGGAATGGCAAGGCGTGAATTTGACAATCGTTTTTCCATGACCCATGTCTGTTGTCCTGACAACTTGAGCTATCTGTGAGAGGCCTGATTATACATTTATTGGACAAAGGACAAATGATGTGGTCATCATGAATTTGTAATATGTGACATGTTTTATATCCATCCCCTGGCCGCGCCATAGCTCACACGGTTAGTCGCTGGCATCCCACCACAGCAGCCCGGGTTCGACCCCAGGTCTGGTCAAGTGGGATTTGTGGTGGACAAAGTGGCGCTGGGGCAGGTTTTCTCCGAGTACTTCGGTTTCCCCTGCCAATCTTCATTCCACCAATTGCTCCACAATCACCCTCACCTATCTTCTGGGGCTGGTACAATAGGCCAGAAGTGGCCGCAGTACAAGAAACTTAAAGTCCCATCCCACTAGCAATTAAAAAAAAATATATCCAGCCCTATGGGGGGATGATTGGATCCATGAACTAAAAATAAATGTAAATGTAAATCAAAGGTGGAAAGGAAGTGGAGAGGAACAGGCTTTGTTTCCTCTGCATCTCCCCCCCCCCTTTCAAATTTGTTTGAGATGAAGTTGAAAGTCAAACAAAGAAAGCTGCATATCACATACAAGTAAATTCTGAAATTTATTTCAATCATATGATGAAATTACAAATCTCATTCCATTTACATCAATAAATAACCTATATCATAGAAAAGTAAATTATGCAATTAATCTCGATCATATAATGAAATTACAAATCTCATTCCATTTGTATCAATAAATAACCTCTACATCTGTTGAAGTTTGATATCCTCAGAAGATTGCTGAAAGGTGTGAATTCTGAGTGAATGTCGTCTGAGAGCTGAAGCTGAAGTGAAACATTTCTCACAGTCTGGACAACTAAATGGTTTCTGGCCAAGGTGCTTATATATGTGAGCCTTAAGGATTGCAGCATGAGAATAATCCTTCCCACAGTATTTGCAAACAAATGGTTTCTGTGGCAAATGCTGAAATAAGTGAGAATTAAGACAATCTTTACGAGTAAAGCTTCTCCCACAGAAATTACAATGAAGCATCTTATCCTTGTTATGATGTACCTGATGCCTCAGAAGACTTGTGCGCTTCTGAAAAGACTTCCCACATGTCTCACATTTTTGCAATTCTCGACCAGTGTGCACAGTTGCGTGTCTTTTCATGTCACCCAACTGAGTAAAAGTCTTTCCACACTGGTCACATAAATATGCTTTTGGATTTACGTGAATAACAGAATGCCTTTGGAGATCATGTCTATTTCTGAATCCCTTATTACACACATCACACATAAAGGGCCTGGGTATACATTCTGACATCGGTACTTTTTCTGCAGGAATATGTAGAGTCTTATGTCTCTTCAGTGTATCGGGTCTTGAGCATCTTACTCCACATTCATTACAGACATATAGTCCTTTGCTTTTGTGGCTTCTCATGTGTCCGACTAGATGGCTTCTTTGTGAAAAACTCTTCCCACATAAATCACAAGATACAATACCAACAGATCTTTCTTTGTTTAGGTGGCTACTTATGTGTCTGGCTAGATACCTTTTTTGTGTAAAATTCTCCCCACATAAATCACAAAATAGAATTTCTTGAAACTGACAAGATGCAGACTTGTGCTCTTCACCTCTCAAATTCTTTTTCTTCTGTTTCTTTTGATGTTTTCCACCTCTCAAATTGCTTTCAGTAACTTCTGGAACCTTAATTTCAGCGCCTTTTGTAGAAGCACTCTCTTCATGTGCATTGTCTATCCTCTGCAATTCTTCTGGGTAAAGTCCATGAGAGTTCTTGGTGACATCATCCTGAAAACTGTTGAAAAATAATTGCAACATACATAAATGTGTTGTAAAAATTAAAAGAAATCAGTTTCTACCACATATTATGACAGGATAAACAAACAGAAGGGCTTTATCTTCAGTTCACCATATCAAATTTGATCTCATTGCTGATTTCAGTATTACTTCCATATAGAATGTGAGGATGTGGAAGAATTCATCTTGGCTCAAGAAGTCTCTTGTGAACACAGCAGTAAACATTCAGGTGCCACAGAAGGATGTGAATTTTTTAATTAGCTGAGCAATTATTAGCTTTTCAAGCACTGTGCTCTATAGAATATATTAATATTGCTTCCACATCAACTTCATTTACTGTCATGAGGTACCATACTAAAAGATCTGTACCTCATAACATACCAGACTGTGTAGCATAAAACATGTTTCTATACGCTATAAAATTTTGCCCGAAAACATTTTTAATTCCAATGCTTCAGATATGCAGGACTTCATGTAAAATGTCCTTTATTTCCGTTTAACAAACATTGGAACTCTCAATAAACTTTAGCAAAACTCCCCAATACCAGATTTCATGCAAATCCATTTAGTGGCTTTCTAGTAGTGGCATTACAACAGATAGATGGACAGAGGGACAGGCAAATTAAACCCAGCAGGTGCTCAGAAGGCCATGAATTCTTTCTTCAATCAATCATCATTTGCACTGATAAATAACCCAACAATAAAGCAATGAAAAATCCATCACAATATATACGCATAAAATATATCCTATATATCTGTGAAATTTGGATTTGAGGTTCTCACAGAAATGACTACAAGAGCACTATCTTCTGAGGAGTCAATCTGGATCATACGGAGTATATGAATCAACAGTCATGAACTACGGTGTAATGTAAGTCTTCTCCAGAAAAATCTGTGATACCTTCTCGTAATTGTTGTAATACTCGTAATACAGCACTGTATTTCGGTATATCTAAATACTGCAAATAATCCAAGACACTGAAAATTTCAATTACAGTGGTTTGAAACAAAAGAAGTATAAATAACCGGTAAGGACAAAGATATTATTGCACACCAGTAAGCGTAGCAGCATCATAATTTGTACTCTGACAAATACACTATAACTAGGATGATCAAAGCATGGAGGACGAGATGTGACGGACATGTAACGTATACTGGAGAAATAAGAAATCCATATATATTTTTGGAAAGAAACCTCCAGGGGACATTTGCAAGATCTAGGCATGGATGAGAGGATAATATTAGAATGGATCTAAAAGAAACTGTGTATGAGGATAAGGACTGGATCAACCTGGCTTAAGATAAGAACCAGTGGTAAGGTCCTGCAAACAAGGTCCCATGAGGTGACAAATTTCTTGTTCACTTGATTACAGATCAGCTTCTCAAGGAGGACCCTGCTTCATTGACTCAGAAAGAAGAAGCCTAAAGGATGCCTGGATTCAGTGACATTTTATTTAATGTTCCATAATTTGCTGCATGGAAGAAACAGTATGTTGTAATTGTAGAATCCTCATCTGGAAGCAATTACTACTGCTTATGAGAGAAACAGTATGGTTCCTACTGACTTTAAAGTAGACAGGCTTGGGTAACCTCTGCAGCCATTCAAATATTAATGTTGCTTCATTAACTTAGATTCAATTTTCTTTTATTCATTGTTGTTGTCATTGTTGTTGTTGTTGCTGTTTTAGTTTTAGGGGGCCTTCTTCGATCCAGGCCAAATATTTAATGTTGTTCTATGAAAGGGACATAACTTGTACCATGCAAAAGAAACAATATATAGCAAAGGCTGAGAGGTCTATAGCTTAGCCTTGCCACAAACATGTAACAATTGCCATACAGGGTGGATTTTTCAAGTCAGGAACTGAACTGCTAGCACCTAAAATTTTAGAAGTTAACAAAAGACACTGAGCCCAACAGTGTGTGACTTCAAAAGAACTTGCTTTAAGAAAGTGGTAAATTTTATAATGTGTAATGAATATCTGAGGAAAACTGTATCTCCTGGCAAGTAAAAATTGCCAAAAAAGGTCCACTCTCATGATTGATCATAAATTCCAAATGAGCATGACACCTCTGAGACAGAAACGGCTATCTGGTGGTCAGACTTGGTCACTGGGAAGGGAGGAGCCAAATTTGAGCCCCTAGCCTCAAACTTGGGGCTGCAGAACCAACATAAAAATTAGTAAGAGCTTTCTAGAAGGGTTTGGGGACAAAGATGGCGAGATAAACCTTCCTCCTGGGAAGATATGGCTTGGGAAGTGGAGGTGCTTGTGGGGTGTGAGCATGATTATTTTTCAATATTTTTCAGCGTTTGAGTTCCAGGCTAGAAAACTTGCAGACTAAAACCCACATAGTTTTTTTTTCAGAGTTTGAGTAATTTTGGAGACTTGTAAATATAAATTTGACAGAATGAAGGGACAGAGTTAGGTTTGTGAGGTTATTACTGTGGAAGTATCCTTTGTGATGATAACAAAATTGATAAACCTTCTTCTTTCAAAACATACGAGACTGACATTAAATTGGCACAGAGTTTATTAGGAATGTAACACATGAAACTCTAATTTCTTCCTGTCTTGGTCGCTTCGGTAACCAGAAATCCTACACATGTAAGAATGCATGCCTACTAGCTAGTCAAGGTACCTTTTGCACAGACTCTACCTGAGACCATAAGAATCACCAGAGGCAGCACGCAGGAAAAATCCTGGAGGCCAAGAGGTGAACTGAAGTTGGCGAGACAGTTACAATGTTACGAAGAAAATAACTTCTGAGGATTAGCACTTCATGTGTTTTGCTATAAACGACATATAATTGTAATACGTTTTAATGCTGAGATAAATCTCATACTTTTTATTATATTTTATAGTAAACTGAAGATTATTTAAGCAAAAAGTATCTGGTTTGTATGTAAGTTTTGAGGTTTTCACAGCGATGACTATGAAGTAAAACTTCCTACTTCCTATATAAAGCAGCGCCTTTCACTTCCTAATCATTACGCTACTGCTCTCTGCATTCACAAGCCATTCACCTGCTCTGAAGATGGAGACGATACGTTCCTCAGAAACGTCGGCCAAAACGAATAATACACGGCGCCAAAACCCAGAAGACGACTTTCTTCATTTATCTGGTTTGTAGTTTATCTGTTTGCCTTATGGAACATTTACAACCGTGCAGTGTGCCTAACAAGTTCATTCAGTCCAGCCATTTGCCTGTATGAACAAACCTGAGAGCTGCTAGATGTTTTTTTTTTTTTTTTTTTTTTTAAATTTAACATCTGAGAATTTTACAAATAACTGACAACCTATTTAAATATAAAAATTTTACAACCATCTCACAGGGACATTTATATGCAACCGTGTGTACCTCGAGCACAAATACTTATCAGAATCAAAATATTTCAAAGAAAATTTGAGAAAAAAAAAAACGAAACACATACTTTATGTTCCATATATGTTTTGTGTAAGTGATGGTTTTTGAGATAACTGAACAAATTTCTACATCCAATAATCACTCTGACCTTCTGATCACACCTGAAAATTTGGATTAACCATGTCCTCTCCATTACAGTGGCTAATTTGGAGTATACTGTACCATACATATCCATAACTGAACAACCAGCAACATAGTCTCACTGAAATTAAATACTTAATGTTGTCCAGGTCATAAAATGTTCATCTGTTGTAATTAGGTCATTGTATACATCTCAGATATATTATGAAATGGTTTATTCCCAACTAAGTGTGATTTGGCTGCAAAAGTTCTGTATTTTAAGAAGAAATCTGACTTCATTAAATTAATTTCACAATTTTGTCAATATATTTTGCATAAGACTGTCGATTTTGACACTTTTATGATTTCTATTGTAGTCTTCATGGTTGTGACACCAAACAGCCTTCTGGGTGAATACCAACTTTTCGGATGAACATGCTGCCTCCATCTTCAGGGTTGAAGTGTGTAGGGTGAGGAACTGATTGGGTTACATAGCCAGGCTGCAGTGAAGACAGCCACTCAAACTTACAGGAAGGGACAAGGAGATGGAACCAAGTCTAGGCCATTAGGAATTGTAACAGGAAAACAGTGTCCTGTGAGGCCACAATCTCTTCTTTTGTCACAAGAGGGAAATGGAACCAATTCCTCAACCGGCACACTTTAACCCATGATAAACAGTATGAACTTCTGTAATGTCAGTATGAACTGAAAGGACTTATATGGTGTCACAACTGCACAACAGCTCAGGTGGTTAGTCGCTGGCTTCCCATTGTGGCGGGTTTGGTTTCAGCCCAGGCCTGGCCATGTGGGATTTGTGGTGGACAAAGCAGAGCTGGGCCAGGTTTTCTCTGAGTACTTCAGTTTCCCCTGCCAATCTTCATTCCACCAAATCCTCCACAATCACCATCATCTATCATCTGGGGGTGGTACAATGGGCCAGCAGTGGCTGCAGTACCAAGTGGACTCAGTCTCACCCCACTAATAATAATAATACATGGTGTCACAACCCACAAGACCACAATCTGAACAATCACCACTGTGAAAACCTCACAACATAACTTTATGATGGGTGACAATAACCATACAAATTGACTATGTCATGAAAAATACACTGAAAATGGGCACATATTTATGATAATGATTAATAGGGCAGCATTTGTTTAACCCCAAACTGAGTGGCATATGTAATAATGTTACTCAGCAAGTTATTAAAAATATTTATCAATTGTACTACACAATTTTTAAACACAGAGGGAAGTATGGAACCAACTGTTTACAGACTGCTGTTAAAACTGTCAAATTAAATTTTCTCTCTCCTGCCATAACGTTAAAGTGTGAGGCTTCAAGTAGCATTCCAAGTAAGCCACACTTTGGAATACCCCTCACTGTACAAACAGTCCAATAAGTCAATAAAGGTTAAGTTATTATTTTTACATTTTAATTTCAAGACTATGCACATGCATGCATGCACAGAGCAAACTCCCAATTATTCAGCCATCGATTATCTAATTTCTGTGTCATTTGTGTGTCAATGCATTAATTTTTCATCTGTTTTGTATAATCATACATTTTTACAAACACGGACATGTGCACATTAGGTTTTGTCTTCTGAGCTTGACTGCCAGTATGGAGTTTGGGAGGAAAAAGGACAAATCGTCTAATGGTAATAATGGAAATGGGAGGAAAGGATGCCAAAGTTAAATCTGTTTCCAGATGTCCCTGTGGCAAGCATCAGTTGGGAGGAAAAGATGCAGACGGGCTGCATTTACTATACATAAGCTGAAATTTGGCCTTTGGTGTCTGAAAGTGAAAGTAAACCATCACTTCTACCTACCACCTCCTTTCACTAAAACCATGGCACAATATAGTGTGACATGTTGCGCAACGGAGGACCCCTACCTCCCCAGCGGCACGTGGCGGTAACGTAGCGCTCGCGTAATAGACGAGTCATCACCCCGCCACTCTCCCCGCGGTGACGTGCCAAGCGGAGCCGAAGTTAGCCGAGTCCCCGCAACCTGCTAGCTATGGAACGCGAGTCAACAGCAGTGACGTCACCAAGGGATATCGCGGTTGCTAGGCAGCAGTCAACAACTCCTGTGATGTGGCACGCAACAGGCACCACTGAGGCTATATAAGGGAACTGCACAGCAGCTACGAGCCAGTTGTACCGTAGCAGTCGCCGAGTTCAGTAGTAGTCGAGCGAATGTGTTATCAACAGTTCTCAAGGTAGCAGCCTGTGAGTGTGCGATAACTAAGAAGTCAGTGAGCGGAAGACTTATTGTGTGCTTTCGAGACTTAGTGAGTGCTGTAGTCCAGTTATATTTGGAGTGTGTAATTCAGCGAGACTTGTATAGCTCCCACGCTATTACTACGTGAAGACTCTGGAAGATAGTGTTAAAAGATTTTGTTGTAGGGTTTGTAAAGTGTGGAAACCCGTAACATTGTGATAATTAATTGTAGCCGATATTTGTAGATTGTTCAATAAACCAATTAACGATCTCTACGGCGTATTCAGTAACGAAACACGTTACAATATGTAACAGTTAATATTTAAATTATAACTTCCAGATGGCAGAAGGAAGCAGACAAAACATTCATGCATGCGTTGGTATAGTCTACAATGCCAAGTAGTGACATATGATCGAAATATGACCGCAGAAACATGAAACAAACTTTGTCGATAGTATATAGACATTTGTCCATGGAAGCAGTCATGATGTCGACTATATATAGAGGTTTGACCAGAAAGGGTTGACAATAAATAATAATTATGTGCTTTCTGATTTGTTAGTCTCTTTCAAAAACAGCATGAGCTGAAAATTGGTCGTACAATTCTTATTTTATGCGGTACATGCTTCTGTTCTATCCAACCTATCATCCCTCCTTAAGCCATTCACTACACCTCTCAAACACTGGATGAACTGTAGTTATTACATTCTGATACAATACTGAGAGTGTCTCAGATGTGAACTTCAGCAAAACCAGTAATGCCAGTTTTATCATGGAGGAAACTTCTTCCAGATCTAGAGGAAGATGATCTTCAAGGCTTTGCTAATAAAGAAGTAAACAAATCTGAAATTACTGACATGGTGAAATGTTTTCAAAGGATCTGAAAATACTTAGAGAAGACTTTGTAAAATGGATGCAAAATGACGTGTGAACATGGTTTCAAGGACATCTCTGAAGCAGATATCAGTGTTCTCATGGAATAAAGGGACAAAAAAGAGAATAGGGAGCAAGAGAGTGAAGAACATGGACAGAGCGACTGTGTTAATCATCACGTGGCACTATACTGTTTAGACACTTTGTTAGACTACAGTTGTCAGTTGGGGGAGGAGGAAATTTGAAATATCATGAGATTTAACAACTCACAGAAACAAATGTTAACACACTAAGTTATCAAAACAGCAATAAGTAAGAAGTGGTTTAGTAATTTTTGACATGTTGAAAGAATACAAAATATCTTGGATTATTTGCAGTTTTCAATTATACTTTCATCTTATCCCCTTCATTAGCCCATATAATTAGAAGCTGATTGTGTATAAGTGTATAAACACCTGAACCTAATATTATATTCTACTTACCTCTGATGGATCTATATAAGCTTGTGAAAAATGACTAAAGATTATTTCAAATTAACATACAATTAAGTGACATTTTAAAAATGTCCCAACTATTATTATTATTATATTATATATTAAAAACATAAGATAATATACTAATATTTACATTTCATTCTGAATATATCTTTCTTCAGTTTCTTCCCCACATTGTGGCTTTGCTAAAGTTGAACTGTGCTTTGTATCATCTTCGGAGATGTGATCACAAGTTTCAGTTTTTACCTGAAACTGAAACAAAAATTATATAGCCAAGTGAAGACTCAAAAGTTAATTGATTTGGATGATGTATCAATGAATATTACTCACAAAATGAGTTGTGGTTAAAAAAATAGATAAGAATTTTAAACTCCTTACTTTGTTTGCAAAGTGTACAGAATATCTGCTGTTATCTTGCATCTCTATTCCTATAGTAAGCTTATCCTTATCAACCCAGTTAAACACGCTTAGAGTTTTCTAAATATAACAATTATGGCCATGCACTTTCCCTTTACTTATTCCTTGTATGGTATAATTATTTCAATATTGCTGAAAATTCTTAAACAGAATGATCATCAGCATTTATTGAACTTACACATAACTTTCACTAAACTTTAATAAAAATTAATTTCTATTAGAATTATTATTAGAGCTTCATCAATAGCCCATCTTTTAATTCAAGCTACACTCATAAAAACCTTTCCTCTTTTGAAAGATTATAACAAATTGAATTCAAACACAAAATTCATGATTTCATTATCGGAATTAATGACTAGACAAAACCCACTCAGCCTTTCCACGGCACTACTGAAATCAATATCAGATATTAAACCCCACTGACCATGAACACAGCATGCAGAGAACTTACAGATCAAAGTCACTTTACACCAGGGCTCTCCCAACATGGTCATGAGTAATGCTTTCCATAACCCATGGCTCAATGTGGAACCCAGGGGCTTAAATGATGGTACACCCTCTCTCCAGGAGATATAAATATGGAGAGTCCATGCCTGAGGGAAAACAAGCGAATAACTCAATGATATTTTACGGGCTGGAAGATACAGCTGTTCCTACAGGGTTAATACACAGAAGAGGGCACCTGGATGTTCAGACAAGACAAACAACCTAGAAGGCTACCCAATGTAAGACCAGCCTAGGGATTTGCAAAGTAACTTAACCAAGTGCCCGATAATGGCTAAAACATGTAAAGGCAAAACTCTTACTTACACCTATTAAATTAGTTACACTTGCTTCACTTCTACAATGTACCTATGTTTTTGTCATTAATTTCTACCGAGAAAAAGAACATGAGTACTTACTTTACAAGAATAAGTATGAAATGCTATGTGAACTGTGTATCACATTGCATGTATTCAAGAAATTTTTACAAGATTCCTTGAATACTGTAATCATTTGTCCAATTAATGTGTGTATTTTTCTTATAGGGGAGACCTTTGTACCTAAGGCAACCATGTACCTCAGGCCACTCATTATATCTCTATGAATTGCAAGAGGGAAATTTCTATTCTAGAACTGAGAGATTAGTATAATTGTCATATCAAACAGTGGCAGGCATCATCAGTCCACTGTAGTTGCAATAATTATCTTTCAAAACATCTATTCTACTTATACTGGCCAAGCATTCCAAACTTTGAATGAAGAGGTGAGGGAAATTATTAAAAACTCACACATAATCTATTTTCTTTACAATTTAAGGAAGTTATCATGATAAAGACTAAGACTGTTAATCCATACAAATAAATGTTAAATCCAACCTCAAATTAAAATGTCATGCCCTTGTACCTAGGTGGATTATTTAAGCCACTGCTGTAGTAAGTGCAGCTTTTTTTCTGCTTGCAATTAATGAACAAATGTCCACAGCTACTGAAAAGCTTCACATGTTTTATTAGTAAAACCTCATGCAATGGTAAAAGGAATAAAATATTGAGCAGAAGTCCTATGTTTTTAGATGCCTATGAACGCAAGCGACCTCCAACATCCATACCAAATCTTGCTTTGCCTGTTTGAAGCTGTTCATAAAGGACTGTCTATTTGAGTAAAAGCAGAACAGTTCAGTGTTACATGCACAACCCTTCAGAGACACCTTCACGATCATATAAAACCTGGTAATGAACAGTGCTTCTATAGCAATAAAGGTGCAATATGAACTGTATTCTAAACAGATGAGGGAGGCAGGTTGATAGATTATGTTACCACATTACAGATTAACAAGGAAAGAATGAAATTAGCTTCTCAGTTTTCAAAGGAACAAACAAAAAAGTACCCTAACTCATGTGGGATGTGAATGGCCATGCAGGTGAACAGGTCACTGATTTTATGAAACAAAAAACAGTGTTATTTCTCTGAGAAAGTGTCAAGCCACTAGCGTGGCTAGGTCTACTGTTGTTAACAGACCTGTTGTTAAAGCTCTTCTTAGAAAATATAGTGAGACTGTAGAAATAATAAGCCTGGTCCTGAACTCATTTATAATATTGATGAAAGTGGGCTTCCTTACAGTTCACAATACTGCTAAAGTTGCTGCTATCAAAGGAATTACACAATTGGGCAGTGTTTCGTCTGGAGAGAGAGGAGTCACTGTCACCACCATTTGACACATTAATACCCTGCACAATTCAGTCCCTCTACTGTTAATATTCTCACATGCTTACATTAAGATCCATATATTGACCAGTGAATCACTTGGTACACTTGGAACTTCTCATTCCGGTGGCTGGTCAGATGGAGACAAATTTCTTGAATTTCTGGATCATTTCATTTATCATGTGAAACCAACAAAAGATGATCAAATACTCCTACTCTTAGACAATCATGAGAGCCATGTCACAGTACCAGCAATCACAAAATGTCAAGAGAATGCTGTTATAACGCTGACATTTCCTCCTCATACCAGCCATAAGCAGCAGCCACTGCATAGATGTGTCTTCGGTCCATGTAAGAAGTTTCATAATGTGGCAAGCACAAATTTTATGTTATGGAACCCAGTGAAACATTTCTATTTATAATTTTGCTCACTTAACTGGCCTGGCATACCCAAGAGCTTTCAACCCATCTAACATCTAGCCTGGATTTTGTGTTACTGGTTTGTGGCCTGTAAATTCTGATATATTCAAAACAGACAACTTTTAAGTCCATATGTATCAGACAGGCTTCAACCAGCTTTTCAGGAATCAGAGAATAATGCAGGACCATAAGTATCAACTCCAGCTCTGTCATCTCCAAGATCTCTCCAAAAGATTAAAGTAGTTTCTAAAGCACAACCAAAAGCAGTAAATGATAAATGACAGAAACGAGGAAAATGGCGTCCCTGAGATGAAGTTGAGGCATGGCAGTCAAAAAAATACTGAAACCTAAGAAGGGAAAGGTGATTCTTTATGCAAAGAAACAGAAAATATGAAGGTAAAGAGGAAACAACCTGTTGAATGGAGCTCTGAAAATGAATTATGTGATGCTTCAATATTTCTGGTCATAAAAGCTACACAAATTTTATTGAACTGGCAGACTGTTAACAAGAAGAAAAACAAGGAAAGTAGATTTTAGTAGCTTCTGCCAAGAAAAAAATTGAGAAACACTATATACATGTCACTGTAACTGTAAGGGAGGGTTATGAACAGTTTTGTGCTTATTTTTACCACAAAAAGATGATGCACGTGAAACAGAAATTGTAGATATTGCAGCATTTCTCTCAGGACCAATTAACAGCAAAAAAAGGCATGAGGTTTCGCATTTCATTTTTTGGACTTCATGTCTGTTAAGATCTGACAGAGCCTTAGAGAATCATCCAAGATGGGTATGATTAATTTTTTAAAATTACAATGTGTTTCTTTGTGAATTTAAAAGGATGTAAATAAAATGTTTGAAGTATTTTAGATAGTCTCATTTGCACCAATAAAAAGTTTTTTTCACCATTTTTTGCATCATGTATTGAATGACCCTAGGTACATTGCATGATGGCCAGAGGTCAAAGTACTTCAGGCCACATGACAACTTCTTTAAAAACTGAATTTTCACATTTCTAGAAGTCAGGTAAAAAAAACAGTAAGATAGGGCATAGTTGGGACTCTGTCTGTTTATTTACCTGGAGGTGTCCGGAACAAAGTCTTATAGTTAAAAAAAAAATCCTACCCACGGTAGAAGGGTCTTCCCTATTCAGAAATGTGACACGCCTTTCTTTTTCTCAACACAATAACATTTTCATTTTAAGTAAATATTTCACCCATTATGGGTGAACAGACTGGAGAACCTGACACAGCCCCATTCTGCTACATACTGCTGCCTAAATTCCTCACACCTCTTCATCTGAGGCATTCCAAACCAATACCATATAAGCTATTATTTTCTTGTTTTATATAAACACTGTCAAATATTCTTTAATAATTATGGCACCACATATTACACCTCTTTACATAATGCTAAAACCGGTTTCATTTTATGATTCCTTCTGAAAGGGATAGCACCATCACAGAATTATGCATGCTGAAAAATGGCAAATTATATTACTGAAGTTAAAGATAGGAATGTCATGACATTAGAGAAATAGTTCTGTAAATATTAAGTAGTACACTGCAACTTACTGCTGGCAAAGCCACACCCTCCTGTGGTGTAAACGGGGCAATTGCAACTTGCTCCTTTATTACAGGCTTGGACTCTTCTAGAAGTGGTTCAGATTTCATTTCAATGTCACATGCCTGCTCCATGACCAGCGACTGCTTTCTTTCAAGTCCTGAGATGTTGGATGGCTCATTATCATTCTCATCCAGTGAGCTAAAGGGTTCCTGCTTTATATACTGCATTCCATCCAGCTCCTTCACATGATCCTGGGACAACATTGTGACATGTCAAACCACTGTTGGGCAACAGGAGGTTGAACGAGTTACCACAAAGACAGACTCTTCATAAATAGTTGGTTGCCAAGTTATGCAACAGCAAGGAAAGAGGTGTTTCTCTGTGCCATGCCGTGCTGAGCCGAGCCAAAGCACGCTGGTTGCTATGCAGCAATAAACAACTCTCGGCAGCATTGCCATGCAACACCTCTGTAAACACAGCATCACGCAACAGTGAAGCAAACTGTGTTTTCCGCCTGTCCAAATGAGGGTTTATAAGAGAGACTGGAATGCCTAAGGAGTCAGTTGAAATGTAGCAACCGCCAAAGACAGTGTTAGTCAGCATTTGGAGTATTCACCAGTATTCGGCAGAACAGAAGTCAGTCAGTCAGTCAGACAAAGCAGTTTGTCACTGTTAGTCAGTTCTCGGAGTGAGTGTGAGTCAGTCGCAAGAAGAACTGAACATGTGATGTGAAATATTTGAAGTGATTTGAAGTGAGTTTCTGTGTGGAGATCTGTTGCTCAGAGATGACTAGTGGAAGACAGAGAATCCTAGTGAGTGTGCAATGGTGAACTGGAGAGTGTGTAAATCAGTGACAGTGCTGTAGATGAGTGTAACTAAAGAGTGCATGTAACCAATCTGTTAATAAATCCAATCAGCTGAACCAGAACCCATCATTTCGTCATGTGTACCCCCCTACACGTGACAATAAATAAAAAGTAAATATTCAAGTCAGATACAAAGCTAACAGCAAAGTACATGGTGAGACAAATTAGTAGTGTTATCATGTTTTGTAAGTGTGAGGGGAAATATTTGCTTCAGCCCTTCAGAATGTATTGCAAAACTTGTTTCATGCTGCAAGGCAACCTTGAGATAAAAAACCAATTTTACCAGTTCTCATGAAATACGACTATTCTATGTCGCCTCTGTACAGTGATCAGTGATGAAGTTCTGCCTAACTAGGCAAACTGCCCAATACATTAATAACTCCCGCACAGTCACACAGTGAATTACCAGTATGCTATGCCAAGCAGCATGATTCTGTTAACTAACTCTATACACAGCAACTTTCTGTTTGAAATGATGGAGCAACTATGTTCATACACTACTACTTTGAGGCATAAAAAAATCAAATATGCTAATTTGCTTCCTGGTTCAGGGTCTTCCTTGAACTATTAGCATTTACTAAGCTATTCCCTCATGTTATTACATCTATACACTCATAACTGCCTCTATCAAATTCCAACAGTGCAACCCTATCCTGGCCATAGCAATCCAGCTCACATATTTAAGATCTATTCCAAAGTTTCACTTTAATAGTATATTCTCATTCATGCACTAGTGTCCTTAGCAATTTCTTTCCACCAAATTATCAAATAGAATTCTCTGCAAGCAGCGATGGTGGCTCATACAGAGTATCATTGATCAGTAAGGTTTTTCGTTAAGTGTCCTTGTTGATGATATCATACATTCTGACACTGAGGCATGCGGTGGAATGTACTTGTTCTTCATGTGAATTGCTACTTCTGTAATCTCAAACTCTGCTACCATTTAAGACAAGGACTTTGAGTGAAACACTCATATGAGTGTTTGTCTGTCTGATTACATGAACATCACATTCTATGAAAATGGGTATACATTCTGAATTACTATTACTCTTAAAGTTCAGATTAACTGTACTCGTATTACTCTGTAACTGAACCTAATGTAACCTTCTAGTCATAGGAGACTGTATATTTTACAAAAGTACGGTTAGTTTTATGGTTTACTTTCATCAAGCTTTAGAGCTGAAAAGCCATATACTTGAATGGACAAAATGATTCTAAAGTTCTGCCACACATTTTAAAACCATTATAATTCTATTTAATGTTACATTACATGTAATTTTCATTCTAAGGAGCTGAACTAATATATCTCACCAAGGGCCTTAGAATTCCTCATGTTGCCACTACACACTGAAATATTATTAAATTTTCAGCCCTATATTTTTCAACTATGTAAATGTTAACTGCTCCTCAACTAATATTTATAAAATTCTTTATTGGGATCCATCGTAACACAACAACAAAACGGTCTAGGTCAATATCACCTTAGCTACATGTTTCAGCTTTTAAAGTCATCATCAGGCAAATACAAGGTTACTGCACTCACACACTGTTAAACTGCATTTCAATGTGACGGTACACTGGATACTTTGCCTGATGACGGCTTTAAAAGTTGTAACATGTAGCTAAGGTGATATTGACCTAGACTGTTTCATCACTGTCTTACTACGGATCCCAATAAAGAATTTTATATAATAAACGCAACAGGATGCACCCAATGAAAATTAATCTTTATAACATACAGAATGTCTAAAAAAAATGGTAGCATTTTGATAACCAATACTCAGACAAATCAGAAGCATATTCAAGAAATTGATATTATATTTTGAAGTGCACTGCAAGTAGCTTTTAACACGATTAGTAAGTTTCCACAGGTGCACTATGACCCTAGATACGAGTATGTCCACTCAATATTCCATTTTGTCATACATACTGTACCACATCTCTTGTGACCTGCTTTGTGGCTTCTCTTATTCTTACTTCAGATGACTTGAATTTTGTCCATATACGAGTAAATGTAATCCTTTACACAGCTCCAAAAGAAAAAATCAAACAGGGTCAAATCATGACTCCCAGGTGGCCACCACACACACCCCAAAAGATCATGCAACACTAATGTGCGGAATTGGATAAAGTAACAGTACAAAGTGGTGGTCCCTGGTGGAAGCTCGTAAAATTCTTTTAGAGGTGGAATGTAAAGGCAGAGTATTTAATGTGCCTTTGTGTATTTGGAGAGAGAGCCTCTTAAAACCTCACCATTATTTTTTGGACACAGTGTAAAGCAATGGACAGTTTCACAGCTAATGATTTGTACAGAGGAACAATTTAAATCTCAATAAAGCATACCATAAAACTTCATTATGATGCAAAAAACTTAGTATATTTTTGACTTGACTGAAGTTCATATGAACAAAGGCTAGACTGAACTAAAACATGAACCAACCTCATGGGATTCATCTTCCAGTATGAACTGTTCTTCTTTAATTGTCTGATTTATCAAAGACATTTTGATGGTCTCAATAAATACTTGTTTTTCTGCACCACCACCTGAAGGCAACTCTGTAAAGTCCGATGATAACCTAGAACACACAATAAATAATAAACTTAGCCTCAGATTGAATCTTACTATAGGAAGGTCAGGGAAAACCCAATCTTGGAAGACAGGCCATATCATAAGTTAAAATTACATCTTTCTGAAGTAGCTCTTCCTGCTAACAAATGCTAGTGAAACAAAGAATAAATCTGGCTTGGAGAATAATTCTGAGAAGTGCCACTTTGTGAATTTTTTAAACTGAATCTGCATAAAGATGCCTACCCAAAGACACACCTATGTGAGTATACAAGACAAATGTAACTGAAGATTATGATCTTCTGAAACGTAGGTTTGTTGGCAGATACCAATATTTTGTACAAACCTGCTTCTTAAATCATCAGGGTAGCAAACTACATATTACTCAAGCAGGAAGGCCAAAAATTTCACATTCATCATCTAACAATTGCAAACTCATTAATCATATTACTGATTGAAAGTATCTGTTTATGTAAACAGTCACTTTAAAAAATTAAAATTACTAAGAACTTGAAACTTGATATTGAAATAGTGTAAAATATTTGCCAAACATCCTTTTATGTTGTAATGCCATCCATTCCTCTGGACACTGATGACTGGTGGAAAAGTAATTCAGTTATGCATCCCACTAATTCACTAAGAACCAAACACACTGATATGTGGAATGCAACTTCATATTTTGCAACCTTTATGTTGTATGATGTTACATTAATTGTGTATATAAAATGGAACATGGTCAGCACTGATATATATGCAGGATTTTTCTTTGTATTACATGATCTTTACGTTAATCATGTAACACATATATATAGTCAAACAAAGTCAGCAGAAACTGTAATAAAGATGTCAAAGAAAGCAAATACACAACTGCACTATATGATAACTGTAAATATATTAAAAGGGACAAGGCATCTTTGAGGGATTCCAGATAACAAACTGCATATAAAATACACAAAAAAAAATCAAGTTGATATTAGAGTGTAATGAAAACTTTCCTCCCAACTGCAAACTTAAATTGTACCTGCATGCAAAGTGATTAACAGCACGATAATCTGAACTGAGACAAATTTATTATCAGAAATACTGTTATACTGTTGCATGAAATTCACGTAATCACCATTATACTCCCACTCCTCTTCATTCCAACTGAATAATTCTTCACTTCACAATTAAAATATTATCATACCCATATCCATTTAACAAACTTTGGCTTATTTTTTCCGCTATGAATGTGTCCATATAATTCCGAAACTGGTCAGAGGAACTGTTCTGAAAATATTCAGATGAAGAAGAAAGGGATTCATCAAAGCCAATAATCAGTTTGTGGAATATGTCTGTATTAATCTTTCTGCGCAAGAGAAACATTACCACGACCTCAAAGCACCACACATACCTCAAGAGTGAATTATTGAGGTACAAAACAGACGTGGCAACAGACTACAGTTGTGTAAATCGAGCGTGCATGGGATCACAAAGACGCGACAACCACGGCTCACACACTTCATTTTTCTGCAAATTTTTTGCTTGTACCAATGTCAAAAATACGTGGATCTAAACACCCACACCGTCATACGTCTCCTTAGCTTAGTGCTTAACGGTGCTTAATTCATTGGTTAAGAAGTTTAAGAACTTACTTTGAGCGTTTCCCTCTAGATGGCAGCAGTATAGAGCAATTTTTATCAAAAAATGACTAACGTTGCTGGAAATTTCTGGGTTTGATGCATTTCTGCGTTTCATAGTACATAAGTTTACGACATGACATGAACAATTCAAAACAAGCATCAGACAATATGCAGTCAGAGAGGTCGGAGGTCAGCTAATTGCCACTGGTGCAGTCACTCAGGGTTTTTACGAGATATTGTGATGCACTTCGTATGCGGTGCGTTAGTGGCTTTGATATTGTCATGTGTTAGTGAGGACACGAGGGTCGGGGGGGTGGGGGGGGTTGGATTGATAAATAGATTTACTGGACACGTATAACTTCTAACTACAAAGGACTGGAACACACTCACTAATCTACATGCTTTAAGGGTCACTATAACTACGGCACACATACCGTTTTCTACTTACCTACTAGTCGTTACGCGGAAACTCCCAACAGTTCCTGCTGTGTTTTTCCGAGCTCAGGTCCTTGCTGGAGAGGGACAACCTTGCAAGCTCCTTCCTTAAACTCGACAACTCGACTGACTGTCAGATTACGCGTTGGTTCTCCTTTTATAGCCTGACACGTAGCAACAGCGAAACACGGCTCCCGGCAGTTCCTATACTGTTACGTAATGTGCTACGTGGCCTGTTGCAAGACGTTTGTTGACGTGGTGCTACGTGGCCTGTTGCAAGACGTTTGTTGACGTGGGATAGTGTCTGCCATGCGTTAATTACAATTCTCTTTATGCTGCATGATCGCGGTGATTGACCTTCACAAATATGAACAGACTACAGAGCTACTACAAAAAGAGTTTTTCAAGAATCACATTATTAACAAAAACAGCAAATCAGATGGCACTAATGCTGTTAATCATGAACTAGTGTTAATAATATGCTGCTGCTCTCATCTTCTTACAGCATCTTGTTCGGTACAACTACCATATTGCAACATATGAAAAGCATGCCATAATTAAAGTAATCCCCCCAATTAACGCTAAACTACTCTTCTCTTTGGTAGTAAATACACTGATTTATGTTGGTTCCAAGGAAACCTTACAGCTTTTCATTAACTGTTTGTAGGGGAATATTTAACAAAGAACAAACTATTGTTCTTTACCTCTTTGTTCTCTTGCTTTCACCTGCAGACCTGTAAATAGTACTGTTATAAAAATAATACGGACTGGTTTAAAAATATTAACACTCATTTCAGGTCATGTTATTAGTGTTGCAGTTTTTGTACATGCCATATCTTGTATATTCTCTTACATACCATAGCAACAACACAATATCCATTACCGAAATTACAGATTACATAGATATATGCCCAATTAGTGGAATCAAACATAAGAAGGGGGCACAAACATGGATGCTGGAAAAGGAAAGTAACGTGGAACGAAGAGAGAGGACTTTATTCTCAAACAAACATACTTTAGTGTGAGCAACTAACTATATATGCTAGCATGGAATACAATGACTTATGATCTAATGCAGTGTGGCAGTTTCAGTGTACAGTTGCCTGAAGATGGCCAAGTAGGTGGGAAACATGTAACAATTAATGTGATTTTAAAGTAACTTTAAATTGTAATGTAATTGTGAATAGTTTCAGGTTGCATCAGAGATGGAAATAAATGTGCGAGTTCTAAATCAATGCAGCAGGATGCTCAACTATACGTGTAATACTGTGGCGTATTTACGCCGTGCAAGATTTGTTGAGGCACAGAAATCTGTCAACACGGCGATTACGAAACAGTAAGGAAAGGGATGTTTTCTCCGTGGCGTGCCGAGCCGCAGCCCCCTCGTTGCTATGGTTCATGGTTGCTAGGCAGCACAGCAGTAAACACATCTCAGCAACGCCTCTGTAGACACGACGACGTAACAGTAGAGCAAGCTATGTTTTCCATGTGTCCCTGCGAGTGTCTTTAGGAGAGACTGGAATTCCTAAGAAGGGTCGAATACCTCCACCATGACCCTGCAAGTCTTAGGAAGTGACAAAAAGGGAAGTCTCAAATCTGAGACAGTCTCTAATTTTTACGTTTCTACGCAGTAGACAAGAAAACACAAAGTTCTGGGCTGAATGGTAACAAGCATTACTTGAATTCAATCTACCCTTAATTTCTTCCTGAATCAAAGTTTGTTTTGTTATTGTAATGTCCATGTATTTGAACTCTGCCACATATTTAAAGAATCTGTTAGATATCTTTTTGTCACGATTTTGCCGTGCATTCTAGTGACAAGATATATTTTTCTTAATGGTATCTATGTTATTTCCAGTAGATTCATATTATATGCACAGACCATCAGCTGATGTGTCCCATTTAATTTCAGTCCCACCTGGTAACGGCGTTCCCCTTACTCTAGGTTCAAGAATTATCCCCATGCCTCATCTTCCAGTTTTTAACAGCTATGACTCAAAAAAACTGAACTGCAGCAGTCCTCTAACTAATTTACTTAGTTATCAACCAATTATTGTTTTTTTCATTGCTAGTGGGGTGGGACTAAGTCCCTTGTACTGCAGCCACTTATGGCCTATTGTACCAGCCCCAGATGATAGGTGAGGGTGATTGTGGAGCAATTGGTGGAATGAAGATTGGCAGGGAAAGTCGAAGTACTCAGAGAAAATCTGCCCCAGCGCCATTTTGTCCACTACAAATCCCACTTGACCAGACCCGGGATCCAACCCGGGCCGCCGCGGTGGGAAGCCAGCGACTAACCGCTTGAGCTATGGCGCGGCCTAATCAACCAACTACACTTCACTCATCTCACCTCAGCTGCTCTCACTAATTGTCCTGCTTATAATTTCTAAGTGCAGACTGCATAGGAAACACCGTTCCTCTGTTACTGTTCAGTTGTTGCATGTTAAGAGTGTGTTACCTAGCAGTGGGCGTTGTTTACAGAGTCATTACCTAGCAATGGGTCTAAATGCTACAATACCAGGATCGTCGCAAACCCGATAAACGAACTCTCAGTCGACATACCTTGCTCCTCAGACATGAAGTGTACATCATAAATACTGCTCCTTAAGAGGGACCAAAGAAAACTTCGATGAATCATGATCGGATAGATGGCCTTGAATGGTGGTTTCAAAAAAGTTTTCTTATATACGCACTTTAACCATTTAATCGGTTGATTTTTATGTTATATCTTCTTGGGACTACAAATTTTTGCTTTGGGTGCCAGCGGTTGGTAGAACACTGTAATTATGTGTCTTATTGTCACAAAAGCGTGTAATGAGCTAGACTATTGAGTCTATCAGAGTATATATGTCTTCTTCTTGTTTGCATCTAGTCATTCTTTCTGGTTGAAATGAGTGGTTCTATTTCGATTCGTACGTTTCCATTACATGTCATTTCCTTGCTTTTTTTTTTCTTTCTTAACACACTTTCCACCTACGGCTATAACACCTGCTCAGCCAATGGGCAAGCGATATGAATCCATTCCGAAGCTACTAATTGCATGGGCTCATCTTGCATAGGATCTACGAAGGAAAAATTGCACCGAGTGACAAAATACAGTTACTCCAGTGCGTTTCACATATCTTTATCTGCAGTTTTTAATTCTTGGCATCATCGATAATTTTATTTCATCCTCAATGTACGAGGAGCGTTCCGTATATAATGCCTCCTATTTTTTTTTAAAGAAAACTACAACAGATACAGAATGCATAATAATGCAGTTAAATGGAGTAAGATTTCAGCTACTTACACTTATTTTTCCACATAATCACCACCATTCGTTATGCACTTTTGCCATCGATGAACAAGAGCCTGTATTCCGCGCCCATAAAAGTCTGCGCAAGCAGAGGCTAGCCACTTTCTTACAGCTGCAGTGACAGCATCGTTGTCTGGAAAATGTTGCCCACGTAGTCCGTCTTTCATAGGCCCAAAGATATGGAAGTCTGAAGGTGCTAAATCGGGGCTCTAAGGTGGATGTGGTAGGACAGTCCAGCCAAACTTTGCAATGTGCGCGGTGGTCGCCAAACTGGTATGGGAGTCTAGCGTTATCGTGTTGCAAGCGAAAGGTTGTCTGCTTCTCTGGCCTGACTTTGGAAATGCGGGCTTTCAGCTAAGTCAGCGTCGCCTTGTAGCGTTCAGAACTGACAGTCTCACCAGGCCCACCAGGCTCCAGGAAATCCGACAAAATCACACCCGTGCGACTCTGAGCGCACCTGGCACCTTATAATGGATACCGTGGACTGTTTTCCCGGCGGTAAAGCGGCGGCTGACCAGGTTAAAGAATGACAAGAGTTCCACTCTCACGTTAGTCTTCATAGCATAGTGTTTAATGAATGAAAGCACACAAATAGCATTACTTTATTACCTCACTTTTAACACCATGCTTTGTAAGTCCTTGAAGTAATTTGGATATATTATTAAGGAGAGATATTGGTCCGTAATAGCTAACAAAGGCGCTGTTGCGTATTTTAATTTTAAAAGGAACAAATGCCGATTGCTTCCGTAATGCAGTAAAATACAGCTGAGATACGAGCAGATTAAAATATGTTTAAGAATAGGTACAAATGCCAGTACAACACTTAATAACAAAGCCATGGATGCCATCATATCCAATTGATTTAGATGGTCCAAGACGGTTAAGGGCTTTAAAAGCATGCGAACCACAAATAACAACAACAATAATAATAATAGAATGGTATGCCATAACTCAGGCGGTTATTCGTCGGTTCTCCACCGCCACAGCTCGAGTTCAATCCCAGGTCATATCATGTGAGACTACTAGCAGACAAAGGGAAACTAGGTAGGTTTCCTTCGATTATCTCGGCTTTCCCTCTCCATTCTCATTCCATCAACGGCTCCATATTCGATAATCATCTACATGTGACATTTAGATCCATTTCTGGGAAACAAGTCGACAAACACGTTTCCGCAGAGATACCCTTCTTGGAAACAAACCATCGCTTGGTGTTAAACGAACGTCTCCTAGGGTATGAAAATGAAATGATGTAGATTCTTGGAAACCAGCTCGTTGCTGTGAGAAGTGAGTCAGTCATAACGTATCTCTGAACAAAGTCAGTCACTGCTAGTCAGTTGCCAGTGGAAAGTCAGCCTATGAGGAGAAGATAGTCATAGTCAGTCAGAATGGAGCGAGTCTTAGGCAGTCACTTAATATGAATTATTGTAATTGATGGTTATTATGAGCTATTGTAAAGAAGGTGTCAATAAATCCAATCCAAAATTCGTTATGATTAGACACGTAGCCATAAAGAGATGACAATATCATCGACGCTGTATAGCCTTGATACTGACGGTGTGGCATTAAGCAGCAAATTGATGTTAATGACATTAATAATTATGGTAAAATTAATATTAACTCAATTAATTAAAGCTGTTGACAGCAGGAACGGAGAAAACTAGATGGAAGGCAAAATAAATTGTAAGTATAACGATGTAAACATTACTGATGTTTTATTAATACAAATAATAATGCCTGTTAAAAATGTATAGATGATGTTAATACTAAATCTGAAAACTGCATTAGCCTCATAAGCATGTGTGACTGAGGTAATAATTTTTACGGCGTGATCAATATTAAAGAAGGTAAAATAGACCCTGAAAAACTTTGCAAATAAATGTAAACAGGCCGTATCAAGGATACATGAGTAGCTGCTTATTTTTATTTACAGGCCTGGAACAACTGTTGAAAGGTTTAGACGAACTAATATGTCTACATATATTCTCATAAATCCCAGTATAACATCTTCTCGAACACAAGGATCCAAATTTCCTTTGAATTTTGGATGAATCGGTTGTTAAAATGGAGTTTTGTTCAAGCTAATAATCAGCTAGGATATTGTTCTATACAAAATTATCATTATTCGGTAAGGAAGAGATAATGTAAATGAGCAGGGTTAATATAATCAGTGTGACGGTGAACATCCAGAATAGAGCCAAACAAGACTCTCAGAACTGCAACACACTGAAAAAGAGCAACTACACTGCTGCTGCTGTTACTTATGAACGCAATGCTTGCCAAGGTAAACGCTGAAGTTATGAAGCAAGGGTAAATGAAGAAAGTAGGACCGCGCCATAGCTCAAGCGGTTAGTCGCTGACTTCCCACGGCGGCGGCCCGGGTTCGATCCCGGGTCTGGTCAAGTGGGATTTGTGGTGGACAAAGTGGCGCTGTGGCAGGTTCTGTCAGAGTACTTCGGTTTCCCCTGCCAATCTTCATTCCACCAATTGCTCCACAATCACCCTCACCTATCATCTGTGGCTGGTACAATAGGCCAGAAGTGGCCGCAGTATAAGGGACTTAGCCCCACCCCACTAGCAATAAAAAAAGAAAACTTAAGAAAGTAAACTGACATTCAGATGTGCGTGCAGAAATCTTTCTCTTAGCGACATAATGGAAAATACAGAACGGGGGGTAGTTCTCCAGACAAAATAAGATAATAAAGGATGTATTATTTTCGGATTTTTATGCAAAAGAAACGAAATAAGATCTGAAAGCTTGTGACGATAGTACAGTAGTACAAATATTATGTTTTTGGACATTATCCATCGTCCTGTCTTTATCTACAAGCACCGTTCTGTTTATTTTTCAAAACACAGAGTTTCGGAGATAGGATTCTCTCTCCGTCTTCAGGTAAAATCTACTCAGTTGGACCCAATCGATATAGCATCTCCGGACCAAGATGAAACGAAATTAGCAGTTCCTTCGAAGTAGTAGTCTGTATTCTTTGTACCACGTGTAAGATAGTCACGCTCATTTGTTTCCACGCATAGTATCCATGTGAGGTGATGTTCACCCGTATGGCTGTCTGCATGTGACTCATCGGAAAACGCTGACCGCATTTCCATGGAATTTAAGATCGGTTGCCTACATCAGAGAATGCTGAAACAACTTGATTTTGATTTCTATTGGCCCAACTTGATCCTGTCTTACTTGAAGTTATAATAAAACTGTCAACTTTCCAGGAACGGCTCACAATTATCTTTTGTATGAGGATAAATATGACCTTGTGTAATGCCGCAGAAAATTACCAACTTTTCGACGGAATCTACTACTCCTGCCTTCAGAGTGGAAGATGGGGGGAACACAGTCCTCCGAAGCGCTGGGAACCATCTACAATGCCACATGATGTCCCAACACAGAAGACCACAACCTGAATTGTCACCGCTGAGGAAACCTCAAAATACGTATGCACATATGCGCAAAGGAAGGGTTTTCTCATGGTTCTGGTATTTACACGGTAGCGGGAAATGTCTAACGTGGAGAAGACACAAGCTGACTGTAGTAGTTCCTGTCAAATACCAAGCAAATCCAGATCAGATTAAGCTATTGCTGCTAAGAGAGAAAGCTCGTGAGTAACAAGGAAACATTTAATTCTGGTGGTGAATTATTTTACCACACTGTTTCATTAACACGTATGTATCAAGAGAGTTCTGATGTTAAATTTGTCTAGATTTACATATTATTATTATTATTATTATTATTATTATTATTATTATTATTATTATTATTTTTTTGTAATTAAGAGATATATCTGACTTCGCATGGCAAAACTGCTATTCTGGAAACATGGAAACTCCTGCAGTCAACTTTGAAAACCGCCCTTATGCTTTCCTTCCTACTGAACATTTCACGGTAAAGACAGTCTACGTGGACCGAAATTTGAGAAGCGTTCTGTAGCAATTAACGTAGATCTGCTGACTATTGATGGATCCATATTTCCCCTTTTCTCACTGTCCGGTAAATAGCAAAATTCAAAATTCTTATTCGGATAAACATATAAACATTTCGAAGGCAAGTCTCCGAAAAAGAAGCAGAAACTTCGCAATCTATTTCTCAAGTAATTGTTCTTCTGATAGCGTAAGGCTACAGTTTCAGTCTGGAGAATTAGTTTTGTTCTAGCGCGTAGGCTGAGATTTTCAGCATTCTCGATGATGGCTTGGGTGTCACGCACTGCCAAACCGTTTAGCAGATTTAACAAAGTCAGCGTAATCAGGAGCAAGAAGAGGAGAAAAATCAAGTGACTTGTCACAGGTGTGTTGTAGAAAGGAAGTTCGTTTGCTTCGAATTCGCCGGTGGACATTATGAAAGTTTGCAAGACAAATAGGAAACTACTTATGACTTCAGCATAAATTCCCTCCTTGGTATACGCGTCCTGATCTATTGCATGTTTCCGGCGAAACAGGACATTGAAACTCAAAGCAAAGGCTAAAATTAAGGGAAGGTAGCATAATCCAAATGTAAGAAATCTCCAAGAAACTTTCTTCAACATTTCGAGCTTCACAGACACACTCGGCAGACGACCAATCAGGAAAAGAAATTCCATCCAAGCCAAGAGGACAGCAATGGACGCTGCGTGGTGATTCATCTCGAAATGAGGCACAACTAAGTACATAAATGTAGACAAAATACTTAATGCATCAAACAAATTTCCTGGATTGCGCAAATATTCAGCCTTGTCTAACATGAATTGAACACCTTCCCTGGCGATTATTAAGAAGAAAAATATCCATAAGCTTATGGGGACTCTTGTTCTTCCATCCGAGGAGGCAGTCAGATATGCATCTGCAGTGCTGTCTAAATCGACCGACGTATTTAAAGATGGTTTTTCCATCTCCTTTGGTGAATTTTGTATGCAGATGACATGAAGCGTTAGACTTACAAGAAACAGAGAATAGAGGAATATGTCGAAGAAAACTACTCTACGTGCATGGCACCACTTAACGAATATGACACTGGAAATGAGCGGGTGCTTTAGTAAGCTTCTCATTTCAGCCATTTCGGCCATCTTCAATATGGTGTGCATCTCGGTATCAGCATAGGATATGATGCACTTGTCCTTCACTGAAGGAATGAAGCTGTACTTGAATTTCAGTAGGTAGTTCTCACACCTTGGATTGTTCCCACTGCTTTGTATACAGTCATCAAAAAATTTCCTCAATATCTGTGGATCGATATATTGCAAAGAAGCCTCGCCGTTAATTTCGTACATAAAATTGGCACCTTGATTCAAAAGAAAAAGTACCATATCTTTCTTTCCCATATGAGCAGCGGCGTACAATGGGGTACCGCGTCCATCTTGAGCATCGATGTTCGCACCATACTTTCTTAAGGTTATTACTGCATCTTTGTTTCCAGTGAGAGCAGCAACGTGCAGTGGTGTGTGTTTGTTTTTATTCCAGATATCGACAGATGCACCGGAAGCAAGTAGGTTTAGGGCTAAATTTATATTGCCCCACCGAACCGCGACATGCAGTGCCGTGTCTCCCTTGCAGTCCGTAGCATCTATGTCTATTTTATGTTTCCTACGCTGCATCAACAAAGAAAAACATTTGTCCATGAGTGGACAACATTCAGCCTCTCCGAACTTATTTACTGCCAACCAGTGCAGGACTGTACCCTTCTTCCCTCGTATATTCATATTGATCCCTTTGGTACTCAACAGGACATTCAATGCGGGAAAATTTAGTCTCTCGCTTGCAGTATGTAGTAGAGGTATTTTGGAAACACGATTTTTGATATTTGGGTTAGACATGAACCCAAGAATAATTTTTGCGAACTGCTCCCTTTCCTTTATCAAACAAGCCAGTTCCAGGCATGTGCTGTGGTACGGCTCTTCGAAATGATTATCAACCAAGTCCGTGTTTGTCTGCAGAATGTGTGTGAAGTGTTCCAAAAAACCATATTGCAGAGCTGCTAGAAGCTGCAATCTCGGATTTGGCGACATTAAGTCCTCCATTAAGGGTTCCGGCAACAACTCTTTGAATTCCGGTAAGCTTTCCAGAATACTCTCACGGACTGTCCGGCCCTCATCTGCCAAACTATAGTCAACATTTAGTTTATGTGCACCCTGATGTTGTAAGATAAGGTGGATCCTCCTTACGCGGGATCTCCTCAATGCCCGACTTATTGCAGATCTTCCGAATGAATCAGGCCTGTTGACTTGCAAATCAGGTCTGTCCATCAGAAGCGCCAGGCATCTCAGGTACCTCTCTTCTGTAGAGTCTTCTGAAACCCCCATTTCTGCTGCTAGATGGAAAGCTGTCCTTCCTTGTTTATCCACGGCATTTATATCAATTTCTTGTGCCCTTACATCCTCCAGTAGTAATTTGAGTACTTCGGCATTTCCTTCCTTGGCGGCCATGTGCAAAGCCGTTCTATTATAATTTGATTCACTTTGATTAAAAATCGTTCTGTTGTCATCAAGAAGTGCAGTTACGGCGTGAACGTTACCAATTTCTGCAGCTAGGTGAAGAGGAGTTAAAGTCTGAAAATCAATGTCATTCTGTCGTAAAAAATCTCGGACTTGTGTTCCCGTGCCGTGATAAAATATGCGCCTGAGACATTCATATTCATTTCTGTCGATTCTGCCGCGCAGTAGGGGCTGCTGTCTTTCGTCATTTTCTGCCCGTTCTCTTGCCAAAAGCCGATCCTGTAAAAGTACACAAAATATGATTGGCATTGGTTCTTTATGATTATAAATAGATTCCTATATATTTCTAGATTATGAAGACCAAATTGAAGTTCATATATTTTTCCGTCCCGATTTAAATTGCTTCATCTAAGACAGTGATTGAAGGCGTGATGAAAATCTCATTAAACTCCTAACGTTTTAGGCCTCTGACGAAAGGTGTTAGCGAGCCAAAGTTTCGTGGTTCGTATTCATTGCGCTAATATAAATTTGGACATTCTGTTTTATTTGCTATCTATGATACGCACGCGGTAGCGTAGTTGGTTGAGGCACTATGCTACAAGACGAAAGGTCGCGGGTTCAAGTCCCGATGAGGTCATTGCATTTTCTTCAATTTACCTAATCCTTCCAGCCGCACTATGGCCCTGGGGTCGGCTCAGCCTCCAACAGAAATGAATACCATGGATTAATTAAATAATTTTCCGGGGTAGTAAAGCGAGGCCGGCACATAAGGCTGACAACCTTACCGCCATCTTTGAGCCGATTTCCTAGATAATGTGGGACCCTCAACGTCTCACAACCCTATGGGCCCTAACGGCCTGAGGAATGCGTTTACTTTACTTACTTTTTTATGATACGCATAGCATTTCGAGGCTTAGCTCTACTCGTCTTGAGATGACGGGTTGTCATTATATTGAAGGATTTATAATGTTTTCTCCTACTTCCCCTTTTTTAAGGAAAGCCTTATAAGGTGCTGTCGCCCTGTGTCACGCCTTTCAGTATGCCACGATTTCAAAGAAACGCGGTGTGAAGACGGTGAAATTGGAGGTCACCCAAAACCTCGAAAGTGTTAAGTAATCAAATTACGCGAACTCACGAACAATTGAATTGGGAACTATACTAACCCAAATTGTCACTGGATGATAAAATGATGCCTGGTAATTGAGCTTCGAAATATATGCCAATTTGTTGAAGCAGTGTTCTGTAGCGCCTGTATGAGTAAGACATATGTAAGAGCTAACTATTCTAACTATTCATCTGATGACAATGAAGGAACCAATCAGTGGGGCTAGGAGTGCGAAACTTAGCAGGGCAATGTGGCGTAAATATAAGAGATATATTCGGAGATCAGCTTCCGGTGAGTTGTAAACAGAACAAGCAACGAGGAAAAGATATTATTACGTGCAAAAAATACAAACATGCTTAAGCTGCTTCCCAACGTAGTCACCGCTGGAACTGAGGCACTTGTATCAGGCAATAAGTTTTGCATGCGTGTGTCAAAAAGTCTGCCACTTGTGACTCAGCCACGTTTTGACACCTCCCATCAACTCATTATTGTTGAAGCGCTATGATTCTAACCAGTTCTTCAAGTAGGTACAAGTAAACGGGTGATAATCGCTCGGTGCGAGATCAGGGCTGTAAGGAGCGTGGTCAAACAATTCCCAGTTGAAATGCTCCAGCAGTGCTAGAGTACGAGCAGCTGTATGCTGAAGCGAATTGTCATGGAGAAGCACTACACCTGACTTTAACATTCCACGCCTTTTGTTCTAACTGGCCGTAGGGAATTGTCATATTTCGCAATACACTTATGTTGTTATCGTGGTCCCCTTTTGCATGAATTCCACCATAAGCACATATTCGTAACCTCCCATACTTAATGGCTTTAAATATTTTAAAAATATGTTTAAGTATAGACTTGAAAGGATTCTGACGATGGTGTATACTGTACTTCTTTTGGCTTATTTTGGACTTCACCCATCGTCTGGTATATAATAGACAAAGAAAGAGCTAGTCTCAATCACTGGACGCAGTGATTGAGACTAGCTCTTTCTAAGGGGCCCAACTGAGTAGGTTTATCCTTCCCTATCCACCTGAAGACGGAGACAGATCCAGTCTCCGAAACGTCGTGTTTTTTCTGTCTTTTATATACCAGACGATGGGTGAAGTCCAAAACAAGCCAAAAGAAGTACATGTTTGAGTATTTTTAAGATTTTTAATATTTCTGTAATATATTCAATAATTATATCGCCTCATATATATTGATACATGGTATATATTTCATTTTTTATATTTTATCTTTTATCTTATTTTCTATTGTAATCGTAAAACCAACTTGAAGCAAAAAATTCTGTTATTCTATAATACGACATGTTGCACTGGTATGAATCCATATCGGGCAGTTCAATAACTAAACGTACTCCTGTGTTAACTGCTTGACGATGGTCTTGTACGACCGAAACACGCAGCAGGAATATTGTCTATTGGAAATATTAAAAGCGAGTACATTTGTTGTGTGACGGTTAAACTAATTCCATTTTGTGTGTGCGTGCGTGAGAGAGAGAGAGAGAGAGAGAGAGCCTAGCCTAGCCTAGCCTTACTTACTTACTTACTTACGCATGGAGCTGAGCCCTTCTGGAGGAGCCGCCAATTCTGCAGCTACTCAAGAATTTCCCGAAGGTTCATTACCATGTTCACAAGAGCTCTCCACTAGTCCCTATCCTGAGCCAGATCTATCCAATCCATACCATCCCATCCTTTCTCTCTAAGATCCATTCTAATATTGTCCACCCACCTACTCCTTGGTCTTCCCTGTGGTCTCTTTCCTTCTGCCTTTCCCACCAATATCCTATACGCATTCCTCGTCTCCCCCATTCGTGCCACTTGACCTGCCCACCTCATCCTCCTTGACTTGATCATTCTAATTATACTTGGAGAAGAGTACAAGTTATGAAGCTCTTCATTATTGCAGTTTTCTCCAACCTCCTGTCACTTCATCTCTCTTCGGTCCAAATATTCTCAACACCCTAGCCTAGCCTAGCTGTGATAATCTTGCAGAGAACAGTGCGTGAAACGCATGAAGATTCTGAAATTGTGAAGCGCCATTTTTCACAATTCCTTTGATCATCATTTTGAACAAGAACATCACTCACTACAGCTGACCGGCCGACCACTTCGCTCTTCATCGTGAACATTTGATCGCCCGACCATCTTTGAACATTCCACACCATTTTGTTACAATTCTTTCACTACAGCTGACCGGCCGACCACTTCGCTCTTCATCGTGAACATTTGATCGCCCGACCATCTTTGAACATTCCACACCATTTTGTTACAATTCCTTCACTCGTTATATTTTGGCCATATAAAGTAAAAAGTAAAGGTATCCCTGTACCAGGCCGTTAAGGCCCATAGGGTTGTGAGACATTGATGGTCCCACATTATCTAGACCAGGGGTCTCCAAACTTTTCGAACCGCGGGCCACATTAGGTAATTCAGAACATTCAACGGGCCGGATAAAATGAGAAATTAATAACCCTAGGTATATGAGTTTTATTGAAAGCACAGAATTTCATAAACTAAATACAAAGTACGTGAGAATAAATTATCGTATATTAATGACAACAGACAGTAAAGCAAATGCTCATATTTTCATCACAAATTATAATAAAACAATTAATGTGAATGATGGAACTCTTTTTGCGTTCTTAAAATCTGATTAAATTGAGGTTCAAATTTTGAAACGCTAATCACAAGTAACGACTTTAAATGTTCATCGGATAAATTTGCCCTGTATTTCGACTTGATGTACTTCATCTGGGAAAAAGTTTGTTCACACAGAAATGTCGTCCCAAAAATGGAGAAGCAAATTTCTTTAAATTTGGAAATTGCTGAGTTCAGAAATTTATAAAATTCCATCAAATTTCCTTCATTGTGTTTGTCTTTAATATGATAATTTTCCTGAAGTTCAATAATATCCATTTGAATTTGACTTGGGACATCTGCAGCATCACAGTCAAACGGATTTTGAAACAATCTAATTTCCTGAGCACTGGAATCCAAATCAGCAAATCGCTTCCGAAATTGTTCTTTCAAATCTGAAATGACTAAATATGCAAACGAGGAAGGAAATTCTGCTTCACCCTTTTTATGCAACTCTGCACAGTATAGCATATGAACAACGTTACAATTTTTCACTTGCCTTTCCAGAAGTATCAACTTTGCTCTGAATGCCTTGATAAGTGCAAATAAATCACAGACTAAGTTATTTTCACCCTGCAACTTTAATTCAAATGGTTCATATGGTTCACTATATCAGCAAAAAATGCTAATTTCCAAAGCCCCTCGGTATCTGATCTCGGCAAGAAATATATCAATTTCATTCCTGAGCTGAAAGAAACGCGAAAGAACCTTTCCACAGCTAAGCCATCGAACTGCAGTATAATATGTCAGGTCAATAAGCTCAGAATCACATTTACCAGTACTCACTGGAAAATTAGTTCAATTGGCGCATTTCTGCACAATTCTTTCGCGGGCCGGATAAAATCACATCGCGGGCCGTAGTTTGGAGACCCTTGATCTATAGCATTACAACTGCAAGTATGAAATCGAATCTGGTTGCGCTGAGATTCAATCTATGATCATCTGCGCACGAGTATCCATGAGCTAACTTACATTTAATTGTGATATTATACAATTCATTTTACTGAAGCAAGGTCTAGTCTAGAGCCAGTGCAGCAGAAGAGTTGGCTGTATATATCCTACCGGAGCTCCTGGCACCTAGCCATTTGCATCAGAATTAAAACCGTATTATAAAACGATCCCGGGTTCCATCACAATTTCCGATCTAGAAACGATTTCATGACGGGTAGCTCCACATAGATGGCGCATAATATTTCTTTATATGGTATTACTGACGTCAGGCTTTAAGGAGCATTGAACTCCTATGCTGCTCTTCCATTAAGAGGTAACCGTTGGTTCTCTTGGACGCCTAGCCGTTAGTCTGATGGACGCACCCCTGTGGAATTGCCCGAAAATGACTCGTGAGATTCACACATCCTTCTGTGCAAAGTTCTGAGAATAAAATTCAACGAACTGAAGAGATTATGCTCCCTGAAGAAGCATAAATATGGAAAATGAATATGTACAGATGCCTTTCCAGCTGTTGTGCCCTGGATATTAAAAGGTAATATTTTATTTAACGAGGGGGCGATATTCTGTCCAGTATATTAGAAATTTGTAAGATCTGAGGCTTTCACGGCGGTGACTATGAAGAAAGCAGTCTTCTGGGATTTGGCACCGTGTATATGTGGTGTTAACCCACGTTTCGGAGGAACGTATCGCCTCCATCTTCAGGGTAGAAGAAAAAATATAAGAAATCTGCAAGCGAAGAGACCGTGAGAACCGGTAAAAGCAGACCAGTCACAGGCATAAGGTGTGCTTTCTACAGAAATGGATATTTCGCTCGAGTGCTTCAGAACACACACACAAAAAACTTTGTTTTGAGAAATGTGAATTCACATGGAAAAAATCATTTAATAAAAAATTCTGAACATGAACGTAGTTAAAAAATCATAGAAATTGTACCCTGAGAACCTTCCTTAAAAGATACAGGTATTCATATTTAAACTTCCTTGGCCACACCCGCTTGCGTGTAACGGGTTATTTATAAGAAGAAAGCAAATAAAGAAGCTAATAATATAATTTTTGCTTTTACTTTCTTACAGCAGATGCTCCCTTCCAGCCGCGCTATGGCCCTGGGATCGACTCAGCCTCTACCAGAAATGAGTACCAGGAATATTCTTGAAATATTCTTCGGGGTAAAGGGCGGCCGGGGCTTAAGGCTGACAACCTTGCCGCCATCTATGGGCCGATTGTCTAGAAAATGTGGGAACCTCAACATCTCACAACCCTATGGGCCTCCACGGCCTGTTACAGGGATACCTTTACTTACAACAGATGCTCTATTTGGTGATATTCAAGGTTCTTGGCTGAAGGCTGGTCATCTGAGGGAAAGAATAACTTATCACATTTAAGAGTAAAAGCACCATAATCGGTACCAAACAATTCCCTTTTCTGTGGAGCTTACCATTGTTATCACAGTTTCCATCCTGTTCCCCCACTCCTCCGCACATTGGCTCACCTAGTACAGAAGCGTATCAATGCGCAATGCAGGCACGTCTCTCGCAAGACACCGCCTTCTCTGAAACTGCAACGAATTACGTAATCAGAATCAACAGAAGAAACATGAAAGGGTTTGCTTCTACGGCAAAATTCGACGTATGGGTCAATTTGTCAATGCATTTTCTTTACGTATGAACAGCAAAATAAGTCCTCGTTCAACGTCGAGGATGCATTCTCGTAAACCACGACCTTATGTGAAACGACGTTAAGCCATAACAAACTTAAAAAAATGAGATTACGTTACTCAGTCTTCCTTCACTCTTGTTACAGGCATAGCAATATAAACGCGACTGTAAATATGTGTATGTTCTGTGAATTGATAAAGTCGCTCTACTTCGGACTATTTTCGCCGCCGCTGCAGTCCGTAGGCGTTTGAATCAACTACGACCTTCCTAGGACGACGATGCCGATGATTTCATTAGCCTGGGGTGCCGTCCTTACCTCTTTTTCCTTGCACTTCCCTCGCCACTGTCGTAGTGATAGGCTGGGGAAAAATAAGGATGGATGGGCACCAGTAGACACCGGTCTGGTCGCCACGAATTTGTACAGTTCTTCGGGTAAGATCAGGCAGAATGGTGACTAGCTTTGGCTGGTATCGGTAGAACCGGAGATCTGGTCTCTAGGTCTTAACAGGACAGAAAAAACCTGGTTGCACACCGCACACCATGATCACGCCGACATACCTCAGACAGATATTTTATTGCGTAACATATGTACGTATCCTGGCACTGATAGTTACATTTATGTTTACAGGAATCCACTTTAATAATGTGATGTACTTCCATTAAGTCACATTAACTAAATAAATTGTCGCGGTTCACACCGATCACTAATAAGTAATGTGTCCCACTTTTCCGAATAGTTAAGTGGTTGTTAACTTAGTGATTCCGAATAGGCTCAGATTCTGCGTCCTACCACTTGGAAAGACTGGGAGAGGACTCCGTGTAGAAGTGACTCGTTCTGAGCCGGTAGGCACCTCAGGATCTCCAGCTTCGGTCACAAGTTGTCTCCTTCGAGATCCTCCTTTAGCTCTTTTCGAAAACAAGCAGGTCTCAATGTTTTTACATTTCCAGTCAGCTACCTTTTTAAGGGAAATCGTAACCTCAAGCGTTCAACAGCACGACAGACAGGCCCTTGATGGATAATCCCGAAAGCCTCGGTCCAAGAAACTCCCACTCCAGAATTAATGACTGCACGAACTTGTCAAATCTCAGGTTCTCAAAGACAACCCGAGGCCCTGCAACTTCACGAAATTCTAAGCAAGACTACAAATGCTTTCGCCTTCCCAGCAAGGACTGGCCTAAGTTGTCCATAAGGGTGCAAAAATGGGATCCTCCCTCTTCTGGATTCCTAACATTTGCAAACACACGGTAATCACTCTAATTAATATTACTTATAATAACAGCTGGTCATGCTGGGCGATTGCAGTAAATACAAACTATTAGAAACACAATAATGCTTAGTTATCATTTGCTGTAATATATTGTATCATCGATGGCCAAAGATGAAACGAGGGAGTGATATATGCCAGCTCGGTCTTGTCAACATTAAAGACTTGTCTGGGCGAGTAACCCTCTTCTTCGATTATTTTCTTAAATTTGGGAAGAATAACGGCGTAATAACGAGATTACACACCGTTGTATTGAGTCTCGTTATGAAAAGAGAATCAACGTAAGAACGAAATTACGTTAACTGGGATAATGTTAAACGAGAATTTGCTGTGTGCGTGCTTCTAAAGTGTGCTGTATTCTTTGCTATTTTTTGGATATACGCTGCTACTTATTGCTTAAACTGTTTGCTCTTCTATCAAAAATGTTTCTGCAGTGACTTCAATTCATCTTGACAAAATTTAATAAGGTAGTTTACGTAAGGCAGTTTGACTATACCCTGAGGGGCAACGTCACATTATAAAATAAATTTCCAACTATCTACCGTAGTGCAAAAGGCCGCGCCATAGCTCAAGCGATTAGTCGCTGATTTCCCACGGCGGCGGCCAGGGTTCGATCCCGGGTCTGATCAAGTGGGATTTGTGGTGGACAAAGTGGCTCTGGGGAGGGTTTTCTCTGAGTACTTCGGTTTCCCTTGCCAATCTTCATTCCACCTAATTCTCCATCGTCATAATCACCCTGGTGAGGTACAATGGGCCAATCAGTGGCCGCCGTTCCGAATGGACCCAGCTGGACTCCACTCCCCACTAAGCGAAGCGACAAATCTACCGTAGTGCAGCCTTTGAATGCTTGTATTACTTCGTAAGAAGCTGAAATGCCATTGAAGATACATTTGACCTTCCTAGCACACATGAATTCCTCATAAGAACAGCCACCTAAGGTGACCAGATTTACGCGCACTAAAAATATAACTGAACGAATCCTGCTGAATTTCATTCACTTCACTTGCCTGATTCCTTTCAGGTCTGTACAAAAGCAATAACTCACTTTGTGACAAACTCTATCGAATATATCAATGAGTCCACGTTTTTGGACGATACAATCCTGCAAAAAAATAACCTAAATATGTGGGAAAATAACTGAATTTATCCCAGGAACTTAATTCCGTTGAACACTGAAACTAAATTGCAGATATCAAAAAACTTTCATTTAAATATTTATTATTAAATTTCTCTTTTGACAAGTTTTGTCTTCCAAGACATACCACCATACAGATCGGTGAAGTAAACAGACGTTTCGGAGGACGACGACGCCTCCATCTATAGCATCGAAGAGCGAAAGAAACCAGAAAGCGGCATGTAGCAAGCAGCCACGAGGTTTCCTTCTTAGCTTATTATTCAACCATGAATATGGAGGCGATAAATTCCTCCGAAATCTCAGCTGGCTTTCACTGGACTGCATGGGTTCATATATCCTAGAAGACATAATTCTCATAATTCCTCTATGAGAACCTCAAATACTAAATTTCCTCTTTGTATGCATTTACCCAGCACAATGAACCTTAATGCAGACAGAATATATAATTGTGTTTAAAAATAAATCGGGCATAGCAAATATTGGAGTCATGAATGAACTCAAATATCACCATGGAACAGAGACTTTCTTTAGAAGCTAATAGTCGCTCAGCTAGCCATGAAATTTCCAGCGCTTTATTGAATACAAAAATTCATTACTGTGTTCACTAGAGCGCGCCATTGGTCTCTATCCTGAGTCAGATAAACCCACTCGACACCCTTCCAGTCCATCTCTTAGCTCAATTTAAATGTTACTGTACGTACGCCTTGGTCTACCTAGTTGCATTCTTCAGTTAGGACTTCTTTCCAAAATTTTGTGCCAGTTTCTCAAGCGTGCTATGAGTACACATACTGCTCATCTCAACCTCTTGATTTTATCATTCCCATAATATCTGGCGGGAAGTTCAAGTTATGGATCTCCTCTTTATGTAGTTTTCTTCAGACTCCTGTTAGGTCTATTTCCTCCCGCTTGGATGTAAACAATATTTTCCTTCAGTACCCTGCCCTCAAACACGCTCAGTATTTTCATATGTCAAGTTAGGAGACACGGTTTCTTACACATATCAAGCAAGAGGCAACATTACAACGTTGCATATCTCATTAGTTTTACGTTCTTTAGACGGCAGACGGAGACACAAAAGGTTATTAACTGAATGGCAGTAAGCGTTACGCACATTGAATCTGTTCCTACGTTTTTGAGGGATGCAATGAATGATCTTTGCCATATTTTCTAAGGATCATTAGGTTAGCTTTGTGTTATGGTTTCCTTCGGCATTACAATGACGAGAAACGAACATGTAGTTTTCTTTCTATGTACTTCTAGATCAATCTCTTTGGTAGAGATTTTGGAGCTTCTGTGTTTTGCTATTTGATATTCACGTTCTTACCAGTAAATTAAGATTCTCAGAACGAGCAGAAGCTTGTGTCTCACATTGAATTTTAATTCCACCTTGTTTGTCACGCATGCGCGGGGTTCATTCCTGCCACAATGCTGAAAACACTCCACACAGAGATGCTTTTAGTAAATGAAGTTTCTTTATGTATGCTTCTACAACGAACACGGAAAAGATGAAGACAGTAGAGGCTACATACTTTAATTTGTGAGAGATTATGGAATGCATAATTATATATATTTCGTATACAACTAATGAGGTGCGCAGGAATGTTTTTCTTGCTCTGTCCTATGCTGATAAGTACTTCATCGACTATAAAGTTCTCCACTTAAAACAAAATGGTCCAAACAGCCAAAAGATTTAAAAACTTTGGGCAGTGTTGGACGCACAGGTCTGTTCGTTGTCACATTAATTCGATAATGTAATATAATCGAAACGGGGCACGATGCGTTTGACGGCGGGGACCTTGAGAACGCAGCACGGCTAGAAACACGTCGTTTTTACGTGCGTTGATCTCTGTTGCAGTCCACACGCCATTTTCACTTTCGGGCACGGAGGGCAAAATAAAGCTCATGTGTCCTTTTTCACACCTGCCGATAAAATATAAATAACAACATTAATTTTTATTTTTATACGCGTGATATCAACACTTCTCTACTTGTAGATGAAGAATGTAGTTTACAGTCTTTCTAACGTCATTACTGCTACCCGTTAAGTTGGTCTTCGTATTCCGTTGCTGCTACTATTTCATTTCTAGAACTGCAGACATCGATTTCCGGGCGCTTACAAGCACAGCGAAAGGAAGCGTTAAGTGGCTAATGTAGGGATATCCTTGTGCAATTAATCGGTGTTGAGAGGATGGGGTAAAATGAATTGAATGTAAGAAAGCAACATATCATTTATGTGTACTTCACCAGTCACAGCCTGCATGTGACATGAGACGTCAGGCTATACTCAAAGTATAAAAAATCTCCGTGGTTTTAGTCCGCAAGTGAACTATACCAACCGAGTGACCGTCGCTTGTTGGAGAAGTTAGTGCCAACTTTAGCGGATAGTGGGTGTCGCAAAGTCAGCGCAACGAATCCCCATGACCATTAATTTCGGTTTTCTAGACCGGAGCCTCTATTTCTTTAAATAGCTCCTCAATTATCCTCACGAAGCCGAATGGACCCCGTTTCAGACCCAATACTTCTCAGAAAATCTGATAGCGCCGGGAATCTAACCCGGACCTCTGGCTCTGTAACCAGGTACTCTTATCACTAAACCACAGGGGCGGTCATTCAAAGTACAGGAATACTACAAACGATTCATTCCATTTCAAAACACTATATTTTCCAAAGTATTGCATATACAAATATGATTGATACATGAAAAGAACCGTAAACTCACCAAATTACAAATGCTCTATTTACATAGTGATTATTTTCTGTGCTCTGCTCTGCACTGCAATAACAGATGAACTTCTCGCATATTCCAACACACAGAAACTCTTTTCCAGCTTCGTCGCCATTTTGTGAGGCACTGCATTTATGCTGCCAACTGGTGTATCACGATGCAGACTTGGTGAGTTTACAGTTCCTTTCATATATCAATCATATTTGTATGTGTAATATTTTGGAAAATGTGTTTTGAAATGGAATTAATCATTTGTAGTAACCCTGTACAATGGTGCATTATTTATATCGTAGATATAATAGCCGATAGGTTACACGGACGTCCTAACTCTATCCCAAACAGAAAGCTATACCAGCAGTTAAAGGCACTGAACTGCACTTGGTGCAGAGTGTAACAGGCATGAAACAATGATCCAATGCATTGACCGAAGCCTATGACCCAATAGCTAGATCCTCCGAGAGCATAAACACGCGATGATTAGAAAAATACATATATTAGTTGAAATTATGTTATGTGGTGTTACCAAAATATTTCCCCGTCGACTTAAATGTCGACAAAATTTTATTACGAGAATGTTTAATGTGTGTTAAGAACCAGCACATTTCATACTGCTCTTCTATCTAAAAAGAAAAAGTAAAGATCCAATGATAAAACGGATGATGATATACACTGAGCATGTAACACGCATCAAAAAGATAAGCCGTCCTTACACAATTAAAGTCGGAAAACTGGAAGTGAAAAAGTCATTTGGGAGAAACGGTTATTGATGGAGAACAATATTAAGAAGGATCTAAAAAGAAATATGGACGCGGACTGGATACATATGGCTGAGATTACAGCTCAGTGCCGAGATCTGTAAACGATGTATTGGTTATTCGGCTTCAATAAACGTAGGAAATTCTCTTGACTCTCAAGATGGACTCTGCCACAAACAAAAAGAAACTTCGTGGCCTGTAGTCAGCAAGAGAACTATACCGACCGAGAGACCGCTGTTTGTCGGCGAAGTTAGTGCCAACTCTTTGCGGATAGTGTGTCGCGTGGTCAGGGCAACGGATCCCCATGGCCGTTAATTTCGGTTTTCTAGACCGCAGTCGCTATGTCCTTGAAATAGCTCCTCAATTATCCTACTGAAGCTGAATTGACCCCATACCAGACCCACTACTTCTCAGAAAATCTGGCAGCGCAGGGAATCGAACCGGGACCTCTGGATCTGTAGGCAGGAACTCTGGCCACTAGACCCAAAGAGGCTGTCAGGACTCTGCGATATGAAACTAAAACTGAGGCAGTTTATTTAAAATGATAGAACTCGATATCAAAAGGCCTAAAAACGATACAACTGTTTTATTATACAGAACCAGGAGCTACTGCTCTCATGGAGGTTACCTATGGCTCTACAGCCCTTTGTTGAATTTCGGCCGCTTTTTAAGTTTCTTAATCCTATACACAGTCGGCAGGACCCTTGGACGGGGGATGAGATCGTTGGAAGGCCGCTGCTTACACACAGAACACAAACACGGAATAAGCGTACACAGACCTCCATACCTCGAGTGGGGTTCGAACCCATGAACCCAGCGTTCAAACGAGCGAAGACAGTTCATGCTTGAGACCGCATGGCAACTGTGATCGGCCGCGTGGAGGAAACATACTCTTAAAGAAGGCTTACGTGTGTGTCTGTGCATCTGGTATATCTTGGCGCCTCAAACAGTTTCCTTATTTACACAGATTACAGATTAACTGTATCTCACATTTGATAAACGACTCGTTTCTGGAATAGACTGCCATAAAATGTGGGCGTTAAAAAGTTAGAAAATTAAACATTTAGTTTTGTATAGACGATATAATGGCATTACTTGTCGTCCTTACTTTAAGTGTACTGAACCTTCAGTTCCTCTACATTACGCTAAAACAGTGCTTGGGAGATCTAGTGTCGTTCTTCGAAAACTCATTGAGCCAATAGTGAGGGTTATTGTAGTACCACCGCCTCTTGATTTGTATTTGGGAGATGTTAGTTCCAGTGTAGGCCGTTAAGTTGGCTATGGTGACTACGGCTTTGCATGGTCTCCTTCAGTCCCTCCAGAAAATGTCGAAATGTAACCTCGATTAGGTTACGACCGCTCCATTCACTCGACGCCATATAATCTGGCCACTTTTTTACTATTTACATAATAGGCCATTTACAATCTACTCTCCATAATATGGAATAATAAGTAAATTTGTTCTAAGTAGGTGCCTTGAGTAGAGAAGTCATCCGCTGATGATACTCTGACCGGCCCTGTAGAGGAATGGTGGTGCTTTTAATCTTCATCTGCGGGCCGTGGTAGGTCAGACGGTAACTGTCTCCTCAACCTTCTTACATTTGGTGGGCTGCTAATTTCTACAACTAGTCTGTTATAGTGTCCAAGTATGCTTTGATGACAGAGTGTTGACAATCTATGTATTTCTTCTATGACAAATTGGATTTGCAAATCATTGTGGATAGTAAAGTTGGACACATGCCAAGGAATCTATCCACTAACGTCAGGAAATAATCCATATGACTTTCAACAGGGCATATAAACTGACGGTTTAGTAGTTTGTCCAAGAATTAGTAGGACGTTCCGGCCATGCGATCTCTCCAAATTTGTTCCACACTCCTTTATCTAACTACAGTTATGAGGGAAACACCCTGTAAACCCAAATCACATACAACCACAAGAAATAGGGCAAAAACCCCCGCACAGTCTCGCCTGAACCACATGAAGATGGTAACAGAAGTGATAAATGATCTTACCTGGTTTTGTAAACTTTCTGTTCTTATACAAATTCTGCTGATGACCGTCTCCTATCTTCCCACCTTCCTGTTCAGAGAAGCACTATCAGCATTTCATCTGTCGATAGCACCGGATAGCACTAAGCAGTACTATTCAATCAGTCCTGCCAACAGATGGAGATGAAATTTCCACCCTCCCTCTTTTTAGCCTACTTTCCTTATTCTGAAAAAAAAAAAAAGAAATGAAAAGGAGGATTATGAGAAAACCTTGCAGTCGGTATATTTGTATGTCACCCCCTAACGTTGCTAGGCAACGGCTTGGTAAACACTATTGCGGAAACTACTGCATATACAAAAATTTAACTGGTGGACGCGGTGTTTTTGTGCGGTCCCTGTCGTATCAAATACTTAATGTGTGGTGAAAGTAAAATAGGCGATTAATTCTTCCCAGAACTTTTTATTTAGGAATAATTTTTCTGATCCGAATGAAGTAATGTATAACAAGCGTGGGTTTACATTGGATTCTTTCAAGCAGTTTAGATTTAGAGACGATACAGAACGATGAATATGTTTTCCTTTTATACCCTTTGTCGACGTCCTTTCCGTCTTTACATGAACGGAGTGTTGTAAGTCGACCCATCCTCAAAGGTTTCCTCATAGGTCACTCCTTTCGGGACTCCGTGTGGCACGTCGGTGAGCAAGTACACGTATGTTGACTTCTCCAGGTGCATCCACTAGTTATCCTCTGTTACGGTCTCGAACTGGCGGTGGAACACGGCCCAAGATGTAGTTCCGTCGAACTTCGGTGGCTTCGCCGCTCCCGCGCTCGGCCCGGGCCTCGACTTCTGCTATCATGGCTTCCAGTCCTCGCCGCTCAGTATTCACTAGGGTCTATGTCGTGTGCGCCTCGTCCTGGATCATGAGGCCTAACTCTTCTCTTGTGTCTGTTATGGTTTCCAGGAGGCTCTTTGTCCGCGTATCGACAGATGGCCTTATGTCCTGTAAGTCCACCTGTGTTTCGTCAGTCTTATCAATCAGTTCCTTGCGGAAGCCCTGCGTCTCTTGGTCGACACATTACAGGACGTCTTCCACCTGATGTCTGATCTCCTCTAACTCGGACCGAATGGCGTGTATTGCGAGTTGCGGCATCCATTTTTCTTCATGTATGTCCATATTGCACTTCATTTCTTCTTGAGTGGACTTTGTCCTAGCTTCGTGGATATCCACCCGGAAAAGGAGACTACCTCGAAGGGCCTCAAATTTCTCATTATTGACTTGGCTTCCAGTCTTGCCATCATTTCTTCTCGGCCGGTTCTTATTTCAGCCTTCTTTTCCCTTAGATTGGCGTCCGTTCTTTCTTGCTTGACTACCATCCTTTCTTCCATGGCATTCATTTCGGCCAGCAGGCATTCCAGCATTTGTTCCATCAATGTAGGTTGGCAATATGACTACACAATGCGAACTTCTATCGAATAATCGATCAATCCAATCCAACTCCTGACATTGGTTGTCACGATTTTATGGAGTGACTATAGACTAGTTTTGGATTGATAACTGGATTTGTTGAACATTTACAACCCCTAACTACAAGTAACTATAGCACTAATGTTAATTCACACACTCTGCAGTTCACTGCAGCACGTACTAAGTCTTTTCAGCTTGCTGTGTCTTCACCAGTTGTTTAGCAATGGCTTCCAACGCCGTGGATCCCTCAAATTCTATGTTCACGACTTCACATCTTTGCTGGTTGCCGCCTATCTCACTGCAGCTCCCAGGTTGTGAACAGGCATTGTTTTTACACCAGTGCTTTTTTGGCTTTGTGTTTCGTTTTGTCTGCGATGGATGGCAAAATTGAGGAACGTGTCTGCATCAAGTTTTACGTGAAACTCTGTAAATCCACTACCAAAATCCTTGAAATGCTTCATGAAGCTTTTGAAGAACACTCTTTAAGCCAGCGAGCGGTTTTTGAATGGTATTCGCGTTTCAAGGCTGGTCAAGTGTCAGTTGAAGACGACACGCGTTCAGGACGACCAAGCACCAGCAAAACGACAGAATGTTGATAAAATTTGATTGTTCATTAACAAAGACCGTCACCAAACAATCCATGAGCTTGCAGACACCACTGGGATCAGTTATGGATTCTTCCAGGAGATCTTAACAGAAAATCTGAACATGCACCACATTGCTCCATCACGACAATGAGCCCGCCCACACATCCCTGAAAATCACAGAATTTGTGACTAACAACAACATGGTTATCATTTCCCATCCTCCCTACTCACTGCATTTAGCCCTCAGTGATTTCGCTTTGTTTCCCAAATTGAAAATGAAACTGAAGTGGCAATGTCTTGAAACAGTGTCTGACATGCAAAGGGAATTGCAAGCGGTACTTGACAGGGTTAAGGAAAATGATTTCCATGGTGCTTTAGAAATGTGGAAAAAAAATGGGATCACTGCATATATTCCCAAGGAGACTGTGTTGATGAGACAGCAGCCAAATTGAGTAAGTTAAGCCAGCATTTCTTTTTAACCTAGTCTAGGAAATTTCCATTACACCTCATCAGTTATTGCTGCCACCATAGTCTACAGCAGAAAATAATTCATATTCTTATGAATAAAAGTTACCATTTCTAACATAAACAATGATTTCTAACTTACATGGGGTTAAAAGAAAGACAATAAAATATGACAAGTTGAAAATATATTCTTCTCAACTTTTTGTACTTCTAATTACAAACGTATGAACATAACTCCATCCAGGAATCGTAACAATTTATATGTTCCAAGAATATTAATAATGAAATGTGTAAAAAAAATAAATATATGACTATATACCATATCCAAAACTATTCACTTTAGCGAAACTCCCTTTCAACAGGTCAGTTTAACCTTTCATGCAAATTGTCTGTACATTTTACTCTTACCTTTTGCACACTGCAATATTTTTTCCACCTTTACCTATAGCCCACTCAATTTTCCAAGAAAAATGCTCATTTACTCCTTCAGCACAAGAAAACATTAACCTGAAGCAGAAAATTTGCTGAACTGGGTTTCTTTCCACTGTAAACTTAATATGCAGTAATATGCAGGCAGAAGACATGAGCAGGGAACTGTCTGCCCAGCAGATGGCAAGACACTGAAATGAAGGGGCATGTTGACAATGCATTCACTAAAAGCCAGTACATCATTATGGAGGTCCTGACAGGGTAGGAAATAGACTCCCTTCAAAGTGCAAATACTCACTCCACGAGTCAGCATGCATCACTTTATGTTCCCGGTATACTATTATATATATGCCATAAACTGACAGTGTCATTATTAGGAGCCAGGATAGTGCAGTCAGCATAGCAACGGCCTACAGGCTGGACGTCTGAGGGATCACAGTTTGAGTCCTGATAGGGGTGAGATTTTTCTCTTCTATGTGTCATTCAGACCAGTTCTGAGGCCCACCCAGTCTCCTATCTGGGTGGGTACCAGGGGCATTTTCTGCAGGAATAAGCCGGCTGGGGCATGAAGCTGACCACTCACACCCAACTACTGCCAAGGTCAAGAATACATGGATCTACACATCCACTCCCCCACGTGCTGTCATGGCACAGCACTTAATTAGTTAAGCACAGGAGCTACTTTACTTTTTTCATGTCATAAACATATTCATACCTTCAAATTCACCTTGTCAGGCAAGGCATAAATACAAATTACATGACTGTAATAAGTGAGGAAATGTGACTGTTCAAAGATAATTCCCCTTTTCAAAATCAAATAAAACAGACCAGTTTGTGTTAATTGTATAAAACTAGATGATGCAATAATAATACAGTTTAATACATCATGATGATGTGTGTTTAATGCCAGTTTCATTTTAGTGCCTTACTTGAGAAATACTTTTACGTAGTGATGCATTATCACAGGACAACATTCAAAAGTTGAACTGTAACACCACATGCAAAAGTTTCATTCTTATCCTTTGCTTGTACCGTACAAGTGTCAGTGATATTGATGGTTAGTCTGTTCCCAGGTGTTTCCACTGCATAGAAGTGGGCAGTTTTGTCAACATTTGGAAGTACATGCTACCTTCATGTTATATAGGTTGGTGGTTCAAGGGACCTGCTGGAGGGAAGAGTGGGGTGGGGGGAGTGGACAGCACTTGGATGGGTGACCATTTGGGAACAGCACATGCCAATGGTTTTTTGTTCATATGATGGCCTTCAAAAGGACATTGGCAACGCTGCCCACTTCCACACATTGCAAATACTGAAGAGCAGGATTACATCAAGAGCTAACCACCATTAAAGTAAAAAATCAGAAGATTTGAGAATTTTAACAGAAAGAGATCAGAACGGTACCTTCCTTCTCCATATTTTTTTTTTCTTCTGTTAAGAACTCACCACAACATGCTCCATGGACAGCTATCACTTGGGGACAGCTGCCTGGGCACACTCTAATGAAGTAACAGCTAAATAATGCAAACTGCACTTTGTTACACGTGCTGGTCCACAATGTACAATTAACATATCTTAAAAGAGATTACTTCACATACATGTCTTTCTGAAAGAAAAAACTCACGCAAGACCCCTAAAACCTGTAACCAAATGAAGGCCAGCAATGCAAGTATTTCTGTGTTCAACTCAGAAACAAGGAACTATGCAAGATGATCGCAAGAGTACTATGCTTATACAAAGCTCCCAGTTATTCATGCTAATGATGGGGAAAAGATTCACAAATAACTGAGAAACATAAATAGTCCAAGTTCTGGCTAAGACTAAGAGATCATTGTGATCGCTAAAGATAGAAATTTGGAAATGTGTATAGTTTCTGATTTGTTCAACCATCTAAAAAAATGTATGACTTTCAGGAAAAGAGTACTGAACATAAAATTGTGATTCACTTTCCCCTGCAACTTTCTCCCAAAACATTTTTCTGCTCAATAAATATCTGGTGAGTTATGCTCAAAATACATGAAGAAATGCAAGTAGTTGCTCTTCTACAGTGGCCATAAAACTTTTACAATCTCAATAAGAACTGGAACTGCTGGGCAATTCTTCATAAAATTCTCAAATATCAAATTTGGTGAGAATCTGACAAAAATACACACACACACATACACACACAAATGGACAAACAAATTTGGCAAGCTTAATAGGTTCTTAGCAGGGTTGCAAATGCTCCTGAAAGAGGTTTGCATAATCTGCAAATCCAGATAATCTGCGGACATGTTACTGGGAGTTACCAGAAATAGAGTTACCACTCTATTTCTGGTGTAAAATACTGCAGTTTTAAAACAAAATTATTTAAATACTGCAATGAAATCTTGATATCTTTACAGTGTAAGAAGAAATGAAGGGTTATCAAAAGAGTAGCAGTACAAGGGGGCTTTTGTGGGGATGTGCACAAATTATATTTTTTTTTTTCTGTTTAAGAAGAAACTGAGATGTGAGAATTTGGAAACATTTCAAGAATCAGGATGAAGTAAATTTTTTTTCTACTAGATTTCTTCACTGCAATCATGGTTTTCATATTAGCCACTTTCTGAAAATTCAGTGAAGTGTATTTATTATCTGTCCTTTCTCATGTAAGATCCCTTTTCAATAACAATAATTCATAAATCATTCCATTTCAAGAAAAATCAATTCTATGGCCATATCTACTTCACCATGAGCAGAAGGGGAGGGGAGAGATATTCTGTTCGACAGAAGAATGACTGATCCTATTGTTGGCAGCCATTATGAGTCTGGTGACTTGGGTAGTCTGCATGGTAAAGCACAGAGCAAAAACAGACATCTGAAATTACTCTCAGTGTGAGACTGAAAAATCAGCATCCAAATCAAGATTTTTTTCTTAAGATTTGTGACTCACTTATGCCTGTCTTATGTCCTGATGCTAAAACTGATGGCAATGAGGGTATTCATTGTGAATTCCTGTATAATATGCTTATATCAGAACAGTACAATAGAAAGTACCTGTAAAGATAGCTCTGAGCTTAACTAATCACCATGCCATGAAGATGTATGGTATGCCATGTAACAAACATACCTCATTATAGTTGATGGATGTTGTGATCTTTTATGGTTTGAGATATATAAGCTACTAAGTTGAATGAATTTATTATGTAATGTGTTTTTATTACAATTTTAACTTATTTTATTTACAATTAAACATGGTATAGTGTTATGTATATTTTAGGTTGATGTATATTTTATGTTGACTAGTTCCATTGTTGGAGCATTTGTTGAAGATATTTGACTTGTTCTGTGTCCAGTGGTGTTGGCCTGTAATTGGATTTGCTTGAATGCAATAAATACTATACTATACTACACTATACTATACTATACTATGTATGGAAGACTGGAGCTGTAACTAGCTAAATGCATTCTTAATCTTGGCACTAGATGGCAGTGAGTGGTTAGCTTCATGCCCAGAACTGGTCTGCTCATAACTGTGGATTTATAAATGTAATTTCTGAAGTGCTCATATACAGTTACTAAGACAGAACTCTAAAATAATAAAAGTCAATAACAACAGGCACTGACAATTCATATTAATTACCTTTCCTTAAAAACCTTTCATCATACAGACTGCACATAACCTCAAAGCTATCCAACCAGTTTTCAGGAATATGCAGGATTCTGCAATAATACATCAAAGCTTTGTAAGTAATTTCTTCTAACCATTATACTGAAGACAACGTTTGAAAGGAATCCTTTTCTAAATTTCCACTAATCCTATTCTCTGTAATAATAATAATGAGTCAATACTGTGTACATAACACAACATCCAAGAGTTAACTCATGACTCTTTCTTATTGATCTTATCCTTTTTGAACCTAAACACCATTCAAAGCACATAGTTTTCCTTCTAAACAATGGATCAAAGGATTAATTTTAACATTTAATTTGGTAGATATACAGCAGTTTTCACAGTTTTGCTCAGTCCTAGCTTGATCACGTTTTGGGTAACAATGTTGTTTCAAAATGTAGGCAATACACTGCACCCTCAGCACAGAGGTAATATATATTTTTCAGTGCCACATAACCTCTCTGTTTTGACATGCCATTATGACCCCCCCCCAAAAAGAAATATTTCAATTCATTGTAATTTCCTCACTCCACTATTTCAGTATGCAGACTACTGAAACTCAGTGCCCACTGTCAGTTAATGGCACCAGAGCCACAGAAAACACTAAAAAATTATAAGTACAGCAAAGCTTCCCTCAGCAAAATTCTGGTGACTGAAATATTTTCACTTTCTTACATGACATATAGGGGTCACAGAATAAAAACGCTTATATATACAAGGGAAGCATAATTTCCTCTTCTTGTGGATATCTTTGTTAGATTTTTATTCACTATATTATAACATACTTATCAAACATGAATCTAAAATATAGCTCAACAAAATGTAATTTGAACACATTCACTATTTAAACACAGTAATGGACATGAAGAGCTCCATCTTCTGGAATATAATGCTGTGTAACCTGCTGAAGGTCAATCAGTGTTTCAGATGAATATAGGGTTTAAGAATAAGCCAAGCAAGAGACCAGCATAAAGTAGGCACCAACCTAACGTTAGCAATGCTAACTATTTCATGCTGGTCTCTTGCTTGGCTTATTCTTCGACCCTGAAGATGGAGGCCATATGTTCCACCAAAACGCTGGTTGACTCTGAACCGACTACACAGCATTATATCTCAGATGACAGAGGTCTTCATAATCACTGCTATAAGAACCTCAAATCCTAGAAATAATGAACAAATTTTCATAAGAATATTGTCATCATAGTACGTCATTTGCCACTGTGACAAAGGGGTCATGATCTGCTAAAGAATATATGTAAATGTACCATACATAAACTTTATTAAATCAGACTATGAAGATTACTGGGCAACTACAATTCATGAATAATATTCACTTTCACGCTCTATTTTTAGGTGCAGTATTTATCAAAATACAAAATCTAACATTAAAAAATATCCTGAACATAAAAAACATATCAACAAAACACACATGAAATATACTATATATATATATATTCTTTTTTTCTTTTGACTTAATGGAAATGAAACAAGAAGACACAAATTTTGATTTGTATCTGTCTTTGTGTTTATACAACATCTGTACAACAGTCTTCTTTAAATCAATACATACCATCTTCACCAGTATCAAACCACATACCTCCTGAAACTACAAAAATAATTACATACAGATCACAAACACGCACATGCAATATGACATATTTCCGTCAGTCTTCTGTCTTCAAGTTGTGCTTCACAGAAACAAAATGATTCAGAAACTAACCATATTCATGAAGTAGAAATACAGTGAAATCCACTATTTAGCAAACATTTTCTGACACCAACTGTAGCTCAGTACAGGACAATGTATTATTTTCTTGTATCTGGCAAATTTTATTTCAATAAATAACCTGAATTTATTGTACAAAGTTTTTGTTCTAGAACTTGTATTTGATTAAGTATGACTGTGGTCAAAACAACAATTTATATTCATGTTTTTGCCCTCAGAAACTGTTCCCACATAACATTGTGTTTTCTTAATGTCCCTACCTTACAAACGAATTTTATATTAATATCTAATTCTATTTATCTGTATAAAAAACATTTTTTCCTCATAATTGTATACAATAAGTCTCATAAGATGAACAGTTTTCTGGCATAATTTTGTTTAACCCCCATTTAGAGAAACCCTCGTGTTAGTAAGAGGAAAGCCTTTCTGCCCACAGATTCATCAAATATATGGGTTTCACTGTATTTCAATCTCTTTAAAGTGATATTAAAATAAATGATAATTGGTTTGTGTATCGAATTACCTACCAAAAGTTACAGTCTTCTGTGACGAAATGCTGCACAGCCTGGTGAGTCATTATGGAAGTACCAAAGCAATGTCAGTAATAATCTACCACAAGACAGTAACCATGAACGTCATTACTGTGCGAACCATAAATCTTGCAATCATATGAACAGCTTTTTATGAACTCATCCCGTTTCTGTTGCTGCTCTGATCTCCTCACTTTGCATTATCAATGTAGTAAGCACATTCAGGAGATACAAGACACTTAATGTTTTGTGTACTTGTTATATCTACAGCAGCAACATGAAGAATGGACATAAGGGAATCATTCTGATTCAAGTGGATTTACATCCACTTCCAGAATCACAATGTCATGGCAGAAGTTACTTTTCACAAATCTTGTCATGTATCACTTGGTGCTTGGTGGAGGGAAAGGTGCATTCTCCTCAAAGATCATGACAAGTTTCCCATACTCTACATTCTGCCATTTTTTCCTTCCCTGCAAGCATATCAGAAACATAATATAATATATACAAGAAATGTTCCAATTACTTATTTATACAGAATACATACTTATCTTGAAATAAAAGAACAGTTTTCAGCCTTCCTGATCATCACACTTTATATCTGCCTGTTCAATCTACTTTTTCTTAGCAGTACTCTTGATGATGGTGATGGTGATTTTTCATTGCTGAATCCAATAAACAACTAATTCCGTGGAGCAGTCCTTGAAAAACTAATAGTAGCTAAACTAGTTAAATTCCCAATATTTTACAGAAACCCTGAGTTTCACTATCATGTTCACAAGAGTCTGCCATTGGGCTGCATTCTGAGCCACATGAAACCAATTTATATCCTCACGCTACATTTCCCTAGAATCCACTGCTAAAAGTTGACAGAGAGAATAGAATGATCTAAAAAATATATTTAAAAACTATGTATATGAACATTAGTTTCAACATAATTTTACTAAAACAATTTTTGAAATCAGTGTTTGCAATAAGTTAAAAAAAACATAATCAAGATCAAGAGTACAGGATTCAGCACTGAACATCTGTATGGCCAGATGAAGATACAAAATGATGATAATGATAACTGGTAGAAGCAAAAACATGTTGTCCACATTACAGTAAGAAGTGTGTGTTTGATGGGAATAATATTGTGACATGATGCCTGAAAGCCATGATAATTCATTGCTAAGCAACAGCTCAGTAAACACATTCACACAGAAGTGAACACGCACAACAACAGATGAGTGTTTTCTGTGGTCAGGGCTGTGCTTGTCGCTATGCAACAGTGCAGTAAACATGTCTCTGTAGCAATGAATCAACACAGAACAGAGGAAGTGGTGTTTACTGAGGGCCACTCCAAGGCAGCTGAAGACAAAACTGAGGGAGTCTCTTGAGATGGTATTTGGCAAGATAATTGACACGAAATGGCAAGAAAGGAATTAGACTGTGCAAAGAAGACTTCATAGTGTGCTGCAATTACAATGAGACTCTTATGAATCTGTTGCCAGAAAATGACTACTGGAGAGTGTAATAGACTGAGGACATTAGTGTGTGTAACAGCAAACTGTAAAGTGTGGAAATTGTGAAAGCACTATAATTAATTGTAGTTATGAGTCAAGTGTATAAGAGCAATAAATCCAATCCAAAACTCGTCTATAAGTCACGCACACCCCCTACATGTGATATTATTAGTACAATAATAATTATGCAGTTTCAATATGTCATCCTCAGCAATTTATATAATCCATCACCCATGCTTATGACATCAGATTTCTTTTTACCTTTATTTTAAGTTGCTTTGAAGGTCCTGGGTATCATCCTGCTTTAGGTGTTCTTTTTGGATATTGTCCATTGTTAAAATGAAAATTATGAAAAAACATTAAAAAAAATACAATGTTTTGGAGGCTGGGTCTGTCTCCACCTTCAGACAAGGGGCAAAGATTCAGTTCTGTTGGGTAATGGTACTGATTATATATTACAGTGTAAATTAATATATGAATACAATGATCAGATATGTGCATAGTGTGTTCCCTTTTATCTGTTGATCCACTGTGTTTCCAATAATAAAGGACTTTCATGACATTACAGAAATCAATTCCGTTATGGACTATGCCACATTATAGGCTGTGCCATAGCTCAAGCGGTTAGTTACTGGCTTCCCACCGCGGCGGCCCAGGTTTGATCCTGGGTCTGGTCAAGTGGGATTTGTGGTGGACAAAGTGGCGCTGAGGCGGGTTTTCTCCGAGTACTTTGGTTTCCCCTGCCAATTTTCATTCCACATAATTCTCCATCAACATAATCACCCAGGCCAGGTACAATAGGCCAATCAGTGACTGCCATGCCAAGTGGACCCAGTTGGACTCCAACTCCCCCCCCCCCCAAGCGAATTTTAAAAAAAAAATAATTTAAAAAAAAAAATGCCACATTATAGGCCTAGTGTTTATAAAAATTGTTTCACAACTGACTTTTGATGATAGATTTAAACAGAACAAATGGATACAAACATGGCCAAACTGCAATGTAGGATAGCATAATTGTAGGCACTCATGATTAATGATACAATGATAAAACTCCGTCTCAAGTGCAAACAATATATTTTTTGTCTTCGATCTTGTTCCCTTACACTACATGTTTCGGCCTCAGACGGCCATCATCAGGTGTATAACACTCACGTCGCTGTCACACTGCACCCGGCTCAAAATTTAACATTTAAAACTATCAACTTCACTTCGTTGATAACTGTCTGGTTTGTAGATTATTTTATCTTACACACGTTAATTTTGACTTTGTTGTAATAGCACTATAATAAAATCTTTAGTTCTAATTTTAAAGGTTTTTAAAATTCCTAGGTTTGGTTATTGATCATAAATTGTCATGGCAAACCCATATTGACCAAATGATACCCAAATTAAATAAGGCATCCTATATAATTAGAGTATTAAAACCTCTTTTATCCTTGGAGTGCCTAAAAACTGTTTATTTCTCCCTAGTTCATTCAATAATATCTTACGGCATAATATTTTGGGGGAGTTCGGCTCATGCAAAAATCATATTTCAAATACAGAAAAGAATAATAAGAATTATTACCAATTCGCGTAATGTAGATTCGTGCCGTAATTTATTTAAGGAGTTACATATTCTGCCACTTCAGTCTCAATATATATTTTCTTTACTTATGCTGGTTGTCAAGAATAGAGATTGCTATATAACAAACTCTGATGTCCACACACGTAATACCAGATTTAATCATGACTTGCATCTTCCAGTGGTAAACTTAACGATATTTCAGAAAGGTGGATGGTATTCTGGTATCAAACTTTATAACCACCTCCCTCCAGAGCTTAAACAATTATCTTATGACATTCCTGGATTTAAAGTGGCGTTAAAGAAGTTTCTTATCACCAGTTCTTTTTATACTGTTGAAGAATACTACTGCTGGAATAAAGATTGACACCTCATGTATATATGTTAATCATGTATGTAATTTTAAATGTTATTTTGATATATGAATGTATTGTGGTACAGTAGTTTTGTTGTATTGAGTATTTAAATTTTGACGATGATGAATGTCTGATTATGTATGTATATTTATATGTTATATTGTATTATTGACTTGTTCTGTATCTGAGGCAGATGCCTCTATGGATTTTTTTGGAACTGTAAATAAATGACATGACATGACATTACAACAAAGTCAAAATTAACGTGTGTAAGATAAAATAATCTACAAACCAGACAGTTATCAACGAAGCGAAGTTGATAATAACAAGGAAAGTGTTTTAAATGTTAAATTTTGAGCCGGGTGCAGTGTGACAGCGACGTGAGTGTTATACACCTGATGATGGCCGTCTGAGGCCGAAACACGTAGTGTAGGGGAACAAGATCGAAGACAAAAAATATATTGTTTGCACTTGAGACGGAGTTTTATCATTGTATCATTTATTGTATGGAGTGCAACAGGATGCTTAAATATAATACTCATGATTAATGTAAACAGAATATTATATAACAGAATACCATAGTACAGTTTTTAAAATTTTACAAAAACCCACTAGGTTCAGTAGTTTCATAAAAGTACACAGACTGAAGGTAAGTGCACTGTTTATATCTCTAAGGAAGAGCAATTTATCACTGCATATTATGAAACCCAATGTAATTTATCCACCTATAATAGAAGAAGAAAACAAGCTCAACAAATCTGCATAAATTACATAAGAAAATGCAGATATGCATATTTAAAACTGATGAAACACATTTCTCTGAACTACAAAGTAGGTTTCCAGTTTTTAAGTATTGTCTAATGTCTTTATTGCCACTCTTAGAGAAAGATATGACCATCATCAACCATTTTAGGGCATTAAGAACACTGTTTTGTTGCACAGGAAAGACCTTCTCAGCATAGACACTAAGGGTCATACAGATATCACACACCTGGCTTTGTTAACTGAAATCTTGTTTCATTTAATTAAACCATAACGTTTAAAGAAAGAAATCTAATCACATTTTATTCCTCTGTTTGAACACTGAGAAGAGAGCTGGACATACATTATTTTTTGGTAGGGACAGTACTTGAAGTGGGCTGATTCATTCATTCATTCATTCATTCATCCATCCATCCATTGCTTGTCAAAGAAGTCTTACTAAATGTCTAAAATTGATTCATACTGATAAGGGTCTCAAAATGCATGACCTGCAGGCTGCAAATACATGACCTGCAGGCTGCATGCAGCCTGACAGTTCATTTTATGTGGCCCTATCATTGGGTCTTACTCTAAAAGCAGCGTAGCTCAGCATCAAAGAATTTTGTAACTTAAGACAATTAAAAATGTTTCTTGTCATGGACCAAATTGACCTAAAACGGTTTTCTACCACGGTTTTTTGGGACTCTGTAGCTGTTATATTATTTGAAAGTCGCACAGAAAATGATGGCACTGTCCTGTGGGTGGTAGTGGCTGCTGTGGAGTTTGGAATTATCCTCCATCTGAAAGATAACTATAGAGGGCTATCACCTACAAATGTATGTCTTTAGTCGCTAAACTTCCAACACCACAGAATATTCTGGTGCCAGTAAACAAAGCAAGCAACTGTGTCAATCCTGTCTCTTCTCTGAGCCCTCCTCTGGTTGTCAATGCTTGAGATACACCCTATAATGGTATTTCGTTACTGAGTACTCCTTGCAACCTCTTTTATCTATGGAGAAGAAATACAAGGTGTGTGGTAAATTTCTGTCTTGTAAAATCTCATAAAATCTAGTAAAAATTCATTCCCATGTCAGTGCTAAGAATTATGAGGAAATTAAAAAATGAAAGAGATGTATTCCAATAAATTGTTTTAGTGCTGTGTTGGAGAAAAGTGTGTGCCTCACTTGTAAGTGCAAAAAGAATACATTTGTGTTACCACTATGAAACAATGCACAAAGGGAAGTTTGATCATCTTGGAGATAAAGTAAGGGAAGATATTTACTGCACATAATAAATTAAATGATGCAGCAGTTTATGCAAGCTTTTCTCTACTGCAAATTATTGCAGAATAACTGAAAAGATTTATGGATGGTGAGTCTGTAACGGAATATATATTGAAGAGGACAGAAATACTTCCCCCATAAAACCATTTTTTTTAAACTAAGCAGTCAATTACAGCAAGCTCAAAAAAAGAAATCGGTAGAATGCCGTCTCCTTGGATGTGGCGCCATGTAGATCTTGTTTGAACCGACGTTTCAGAGAACGTATAGCCTCCATCTTCATGGTAGAAAAATTCGTGAGCGAGGAACAAGCATGAGAAGGTGACTAGGAGACTGAGCCATCAGTCAAAAACACCCAGCTATATAAGAACAGAGGGATGGAGGGAGAGTGGGCCACATGGGAAATAAATAGAGAGGAGAGGGGAGGGTCTGTAGAGATGAGGTAGCAAGGCCAGGCAAGCAGGTAGCAGGTAGTGGGCCAGAGCAAGTAGAGGAAGTTGTCAGGGGTGGGAAAAAGGCCAGGGCTATGGAACAAGCATTGACCCAGTAGCGTCAAGGCTGCCAAGAGTGCATTGACTTGCATAGCCTTGTCGATCGTCGTGTTCAGGAGGTTTCCCTCAGGAGAGGCTGTATTGTGTACTTCATCATAAAGTACTGTGCTAGAAGTTTAAAAATGAATCACAATGGATACTGCAGTTACTACTGTGAATAGTAACTGCCCTTAGTATTCCTGATTTTGTAGGATTGTTGGAAGAAAACAGAAGATGAACACGATAAAATAATTTATGAAAATATTATCAGGTGCATAAGTAGAGAACTGGTTTTGCAAAGATTCACTTACTTCCTGAAAAATATCAACTGTTTTTAAGATAAGGAAGAGCAAAAATACTTAACTAAACGAAGAAGTGCAGGAATTTGATCTTGCATTTGTTGTTAATGTGATCAGTCACTTGAATTTACTTAACAAAGAGTTGCAAGGCAAGGATAAGCTTATTACAGAGTTGTATGAAAACATCAAGGCATTCAAAGGTAAGCTTCAATTGTGGAAGAATAAATTAAAGATGCATAACCTTGTTCACTTTCTGCAACTCCAGTCCCCAGAAACTGTTTTTCCTAATTGTATTAAAGAACAGGCCAGTTTCTACCATCAAAGAAGTTCAGTGAACTATCCAAAGATTTTACAAATGTGGAACAGGAATTTATGTCCTCAGTATTGCCTTCAAAGATTTACATAGAGAAGGTACCACAAAATTTGCAGATTGAATTAAATAAATCTGAAGGGTAACAACAACCTCAATAAAAGTATTTCTGAAATATAAATGCAAGATTTGTATTCATATCTACCTAAAGATACATTTCCTAAGCTCAAGTTTCTTCAATTAAGAGTGACCACAATCTTTGGTAGAACACATGAGTGCCAGCATTTGTTTTCCTTTATGAAGAATAACAAAATAAAAACCAGATCTAATTTAACAGATGGACATGTGGAATCAGTAATAATAATGGTTTCAAATAATCTCTTGCCTAGGCTAAAATTTCTGTTCCAGTCAATACAGTCCAAGCTTCCAGTCAATCTACATGATACCTCAGGTGAGATGACCACTAATTAAAAACGTCTATAGTACAGAATTCAAAGATTTTTTATTTGCTTAATTAATTCATTAAAGGGATGGTGGTACTGAATGTGGATGCATGAAAAGGATGGTAAAATATAACATATGTCAGCAAAGAGATAAGAGGGCAATATTGTTTCAAATTCAGTAATAATAACAATAATAATAATAACAATATACTTCAGTTTTGTTATTAAACATATGAAATTTTCTTAGTGGTGTATTTAATTTTAAACAAAGTACTTGACCTCTTTACTGCTTAAAATGAAGTGCAGCCTGTCTTAAATTTAAAAATTATCTGTTCAGCCATCATATTATTTGCATTTCAGACCCTTGGCCTAATAAAATCTGTTTCCATCTATTTAGACCTATCATAAACTGTATTGTCCTATTTGTGCAATGTGTGCCTCTACAAAAAAAATTATTTTAATGAAGCTCACATACTTAAGACTGAATAATATTTTAACTTTTGAGAATACAGCTTTTATATAGATATCGGATATCTGCAACTGTTGCAGTAGGAAACTTGTATAATGTTAACAGCCCTGGCAAGCACAAATTACCAACCCTGGAAAGTCTTCTTGGATACTAACCTTGAAGTGGGACTCATTCTCTGGGACATTAGAAAGAACATCCTCCATACTACTACGACTACTACTACTGCTGCTGCTGCTGCTGCTGCTGCTGGATGTAAGGCCTTCTTCAAGTTTCAGCTTGGTTGAAAGACCTTCCAGTTCCATGTCTAAATAAAGCTGATTTAACTGGTCATTTACAAGGAAAGGCTGATGGATATTTTGTAGAGCTTGTAGATCTGCCTGCAGCACATCTCCAAGTTCCTGATCTTTCATCTGGTAACGGTACACAAGATCTGGAGTCACATGTACCTCCTCCATCCATGGGGGCTCCTGAATTGAGATACACAATTCCAAGTGATCACATAGTTAGTTCTTCTGTGAAGAAATCTACAAATATAACTGCAACAGAGCCAGTACAACCTTTATGCTTTGATGATACTGTGACACGTATAGACATTGCTAAGCAACAGCTAGGTAAACAAGCCTCAACAATGGAGAGGTAGTGTTTTCTAGGGGGCCTGTGACATGACCGTTGCTATTCAATAGTTCAGTAAACACGCTTCAATAGTAGAGACCGTGTTTTCCATGGGGTCGGTGCCAAGGGGTTATAAGAGGTGTTCAGCAGGACAGAAGAGCCCTGGTTCCACCCATGTGGAGGTGGGTTCAAATACCTCCACCATGACCCTGAAAGTCGTGGAGGAAACAAAAGGAGAAGTCAAGTCTCAAATCTGATACATTAAATATGGTTGCAAGTACAAAGGGACTCGGACCTGAGAAAGACTGCGCTGGCAAGGACCAGCAGCATATACAAAAGACAGACCCGTCCTCTCGTCAGAGAGGGCGCCCACAGGAACAAGACCGTAACTGTCAAACAGTAATAAATATCTGGTCATGAGCTCCAGATGAGGCTCGGAACCAAGACGTACTGACTGACTGTCCATCAGTCAAAATGTGACTTTGACTTTGACTTGATAGAAGAGCCCCCACGTGGAGGCGGGGTCGAATACCTCCACCGTGAACTTGCGAGTCGTAGGAGGTGATGAAAAGGTAAGTCTCAAATCTGAGACAGTAAAAGATGGTCGCGAGCCCCAAGGGACTCAAACCCAAGAAAGGCCGTGCTGGCAAGGGCCAGCAGCATATGCAAAAGACAGACCCATCCTCTTGTCAGAGAGGGCAGCCCATAAAAATAAGACCATAACTGTCAAATGGTAATAATTAATATCTGATCATGAGCCCCAGATGGGGCTTGACACCAAGAATTACTGGCTGAAGGAATGTCAGTCGCAATGTGACTTCGACTTTGACCTTGAGGAGAAGAGTAGAAGGGGTACAGAACAGTATTCTTGGGAACTGGATCGAGTTCTGGAGGTGGCAGTCCAAGGTAATTGAGAGGAAATGGCATGAAAGGAATGAGGCTGTGACAAGATGACTTCATGGATGATTTGAAGTGACAGTGAGACTGTGATAAATCTGTTTCCAGGATATGACAAATGAGGATTGAGAACTCTAGGGTGTGTGCAACGGTAAACTAGCACTGCATTACCTGTTGTTCCAAGGGTGTGAATATATAAGGTGCAATAAATCCAATCATTTCATCCCAAACCCATCCTATAAGTCACCCCCTACAAGTGACAATATAACACATGGGAGAAGACACGGCAAGCTGATACTACTGGACCACAAATATGAATACGTTATATATAACTCTTATCAAATTTTCAACTGAAAATTATACCACATCTATATAAGTTATGGAATGTTTTGGGGGCCTCTTTATAACAAAATAACAAGAAGAATATGGTCAAATGTAACAGAAAGGAATGAAGAGGTTAAGAAATATTTGTAATTCTGTTTTATTTACGATATACAGCTCAACACAATCTAAATAATTTATTATTCTTTTTTGCCTCTAAACACTGCCTAGTATGAAGCCAGCTGATGAAAATGTTCATGGTTCTACTGATGGATCTGTTTTACTTTCAGGCATGCACAGAAAAGACTTACATAAATAAGAAAAAATCCATATTCCATGTCCTCTAAGAGACTGAGGTCCCCTATGACTGATCTCAGTAATAACTATATGCTCCCAGTTACTTCCAAGAAAGCTTAAGTAAGTCTTTATGTTTGTCGTGTTTCAGTCCTGATATAACATTTCAGGATATTCAAGAATCCATATTTCTTCCTTGACTTGTACAAGACTTAAAAAACTAAACTTAAAACATATGTCCTGTCTTGCACTTCTGTTAATGAAGAAGATTTTCCATCTACAGAAAAAACAGAGTATGGTGAAATAGCTGCTTAACTCTTCCTTTCTATGGCTGTCCAAACTCAAATCAGATTTTAGCATCCGAGGCTGCCATGAATTCAGCAAACTTTTAAACTGATTGGTGACACTGCTTTTCCAACATTTCAAATGGCGAGCATGGAGATAGGTATAATTCCATCCATTAATGGTTTTAAAACCCTTGTAATTCTGATATTTTTTTCAGAATCTTAGGGATCTGTTACATCTCAGAAGTGAACTGCTAAATGGTGTGCACGTGAGTAACGAGCTTGGGACATGGGCAATTTCCATTATTCAAAATATCTAGTGGTAGTAGTAACAAATACGATCCAAGAATGTGGAACAAATGTCATTTTATATTAGTATTTCAATGGTAAGACACAATAGGACTTCAACTGCATGCAGTGATTTCATGGAGAATATTTAAGTTTTCAATCCTATAATTTATTGATCATCAAAATTAGGATAATACAATTCTTCCTCAGACCCTTTCTCTGTATTTGGTGCTGACAGAGATACTTAAGTTGGCATAAAACTCGTGGAGATGGAGTGATAATTGTAATTTCCAAATCATTTTATTGTGTTAAGTGGAGATACGACATGGAAATTGGATAGAAATTCCAGTTAGTAACAATTTTGATTTACTTGAAAGAAATTATTACTTCTTTCCAATTTGTAATATCAAAATTACTGAAAATTATTGAAATTCTGTAGAATAACATTTAGATACACTTCACTTTAATGTAATTATATAAGCTGAGTTTAATGTCCTTAATTATAATTGGATTAATTTGCCTGCCATTTTAAAACTCTTATCATTATAAAGGTAAAAAAAGGTAAAGCTATTCCTGTGACAGGCCATGTAGGCCCATAGGGTTGTGAGACGTTGAGGCTCCCACATTTTCTAGACAATCGGCTCACAGATGGTGGTAAGGTTGTCAGCCTTATATGCCAGCCACTTTTAACCCAAGGAAAATTTCTGGTACTCATTCCTGTTGGAGGCTGAGTCAACCCCAGGGCCATAGTGCAGCTGGCTGGAAGGATTCACAGTCCTTGGTCATCCTCCGTATTTGCCAAATTTGACTCCAGCTGATTTCTGGTTGTTCCTACAAGTTAAGCTGGTGATGAAAGGAGACCATCACGACACCTTCCAGGGCATCCAAAGGGAATCTACCGCAGTTTTAAATGTGATTCCACAAAAGGAGTACAGTAACTGCTTTTGAAAACTTTCCAATTGATTCCAGCTGTGTATTGATTCAGATTTTGAATAAAGAGTGAAATTTTGAAAATAATTCACGTCTTGTATTTTTAATGAACACAGTCCTAACAGAACCTGGACACACGGTGTATGTTCCCTATGGTGAGATCAATACACAGATGTAACAGGTAATTAAGTCTACTGCTTGGAGCAGGTGGACATGGAGATGTTCCCCAGGTCGCTAGTGAGACTGAGGAATTATGCTTGTACTCCAGACAACAGGTGGCCAAATACATACCCATTTTATTTTCCAAATTTGGCTGTTGCCATCATTGTAATGCCCCCTTTTAAACACTGGATATTTCATAGCATGTTATCATTTATTAATATCTGACCAGCTTGTATGCTACTACAGAAACTAGGAACAGCTATGTAAGATATGTTAGTCTTTCACTAGCTAGTAGTGGACTAAATTTAATACAACAGAGCACCTACCTCAGTCTGGATTGAAATATTTATAAAACACACTCAAATAAAAATATGCACTTACTTTTAATACTGGTCTTAGTCTCAATGATTGTGGATTCTCAGACTTCTCCCACACCATTTCCTGAAATAAATATGTTTCCTTAGGACTTTTACCTCCACTTGCCATATGCTTTCATGGCATAGTGCTTAATTCAAGGGCTAACTTCTTTAATTCACGTTTATCTTACTTGCTGATGCATAGAATGCCCCATTTATTCCAATCACTTGAAATTACTCTTTTTTTTTCAATTTAATAATAAAAGGTTTTGGATAAAGGTTGTTTGGTTTTTGAGGGGGACATAAGATACAGCATAAAATTTGTTTTCATCATTCCTTGCTAATGAGATATAATGGTCACCACCACTTTTTAAAATGGCACCCCATATTCTTTAATTGACAAATTCAGAAGTAGTAACACAAAATCTCATTTCAATTGTAATAGAATGCAACAACATGCAATAGAAGTAAAATATTGTAAATAACTTGGTATTTTGAGCCAACAAAAGGAATTCCAAAAGGTGCTCTCAGTTTTGGCTGTTAAAATTAATGCAGAGTTGCAATCATTGGATGAATGACTGCCTTGATCTTTCAATTACATGTGGATTCATAGCAGTGCACTCATCAACAATATGTTACCATTTATTTGCTGGTGTTGTTGGATGATCCTAATATACAGTTCTCTTCAGTTACCCAGACAAAAAAATCCAATGGTGCGAGTCATGAGAAGGTGAGGGTAAAGTCCTTGGTCCACCATGAACAAACCAATGACCAGAGCATACTCTAATTTACTGCGTGCAACAAGTGCATTATGCACTGGCTAACCATCATATTGGTACCACACTCACATTCGATTTCTCAATGGTATGTATTCTGAAAGAAGGGGTTGGATGTTTAACAAAAATGTAGTGTATCTTTCACCATTAGATTCCCTTCAATAAAATGAGCACCAATAATGTGGTGTGGGAACATCCCACATTATCATGCATTTCTGCAACGCTCGCTCTTCACATCACTTTTCACCATCACGCGCGCTAACCAATCAGATTGCTTCAAACATTCGTATTTATACTACGATCGCTGCTAGCCCGCATCTACGTCATTACACGCGCTAGCCAATCAATTCTTCCTCCTCAATTTCGAGTTTCGCTCCGCCCCACCGAGCAGCGTATAAAAAGGGGCAGCTCCAACGCCGAGATTCAGTTCAGTTCATCATCAGTCTACGAGCTAGCCACACCAAGCAACACCAGCCAGCAGGCTTCGTTGCCAGCGCTCGGTCTACGGAGGCATCGGCGCTTCGCTGCGCCAGGCATGACTGCCACGGCTGTCTCCCGGTCACATCCGACTCACTGGGCAACTAGGCCGCACGGACTCGCCGGTAGTCATACCTGACACACTGGGCAACTGGCGTAGCTACCGCCTCTCCGCTCCAGCGACCACGCTCAACGACTAGCCTTTCACCAGCCATTCACCGTAACTAGCCTTTCTCCTTACCGGCGCGCGCCGTGCTACCTATCTGATCAAACACCTCAGCAACCACGGTCCTTTTCAGGGCCAACAAACTGTTCCGAAGAAGTGGGTTGTCATTGGAGTAATGACAAAGACTACACATTAAGAGCCCCACAGTGGTTTCTAGTGACACCACACCATACATTTAAACTCCACTGGTGTTTATGCTAAACTTTTCAAAGCCATCACAGGTTCACTATGTCACAGAACTGCAGAGTTCTGGTATTCACTTGCTTATGATTTGTGAATGTGACTTAACCAGAAAAAGAACATTTTGGGAAAAGATCTGATCGGTCTGCAATTGTTGCTCTACCCTCTGCCCACTGATTGTACATGAATCTTAAAATTGTTCCCATGCAGTTCCTGGTGCAACACTATATGGTAGGGGTGAAACTTGTGTTGTTTAAGATTTTGGCATATGCTTGTTTTAGAAATTCCAGAATAACTCTCAACTTGTAAAATACAAATGAGGACTATTTGCAACTGCACCTAAAACGGCAACTTCAGCAGGTCCATCCATATGACTTTAATACCAAATCCACCCCAAAGAATTAATACCTCCTGCCTCAGAGAGGTAGGACAAGACAACATCTGCTGAGGTAGTAGTCATTTCAGGGTCTCTCACCATGTATGGCTGCTGCACTCTGACTTAATTTCTTCAATAGTCACCATACACAGGGAGCATTTCATCTTTTTCTTCATTACTGTACACCATGATTCAAAGTTCTAGCTGAAAAGTGTCCTTAACAATGTTGGACGGACAGATGGACAAACGATTGATTTGCAACAGCAGTGTTTAATGAGAACTTGATTATGTCACTGACACTGAGGAAATCTTTGTTTAAAAAACACAAATGACTATAACTATGAAGCATGAGACATGCAGCATGTTGCATATAATGAGAATGACACAGTCAGACAAGGCAACTTCTTACTTAGGAAGGTTACTTGCAAGGCCACGCCATAGCTCAAGCAGTTAGTCGTTGGCATCCCACCATGGCAGCTTTGGTTCGATCCTGGGTCTGGTCAAGTGGGATTTGTGGTAGACAAGGTGGTGCTGGGGCAGGTTTTCCCTGAATACTTCGGTTTCCCCTGCCAATCTTCATTCCACCAATTGCTCCACAATCACCCTCACCTATCATCTGGGGCGGGTACAATAGGCCAGAAGTGGCCGCAGTACAAGGGACTTAGTCCCACTCCACTAGCAATTAAAATAAAATTAGGAAGGTTACTTCATACCACCTTCACCAAGTTTTCAAATATTTGATTTCTGCTGCACATTGTCAAGTTCTCTTAATCAAAATGGTACTTTGTGATCATGGTATTTGCCAAATAAAAAATATAGGGTGCCATTCAGCTGGGTGAGACTGATTCCACTTGGTACTGTGGCCACTACTGGCCCACTGTACCAGCCCCAGATGATGATGGTGACTGTGGAGCAGTTGGTGGAATGAAGTACTAGGAGAAAACCTGCCCCAGCGCCACTTTGTCCATTACAAATCCCACATGTCCTGACCTTGGCTCGAAGACAGCTGCTGCAGTGGGAAGCCAGCGATTAACCGCCTGACCTATGGCATGGCCTAGGGTGCCATTTAACAATGTGCTAGTGACCTTGATACCTCATTAACAAAATATGTTATAAAAAAATTGCATATAATATCATGTGCCCCCCTCGAAACTGGACAACCTTTACACAAAAAAATTTCTATTTGATGCTAAATAGAAGAGTTATTTCATGTGATCATGATAAATGGGACACTCAATTCTGTGTTTGTGTTGAAGTGTCTGGGAATGTAGTGAAGCACAAATTCTGTTTCACTTGATCTGAGGTTTTCACAATGGTGGCTGTGATGAATATGGTCTTCTGAGTTGTAACACAGGGCATGGTGGAGAAAGGCTGATGTTTTTGAAAAATATATCACCTCCAACTTTAGGGTTGAAAAGTAAGCCAAGCTAGAAACCAGCAGGAGCATGCACGAAGAATTTTCCATGCGTGGTGCACTCAGCGTGCTTCTGCTGGTTTCTCTCTTGGCTTATTCTTCAATCCTGAACTGAAGATGCAGGTGATGTACAACATATATTGCTCCAAGATGCTGGCTATTCTCTGAACTACATGGTGTTACAAATCAGAAGACCACTCTCTTCAAATTTTGCTTCATTAACTGCATTTGTTCATACTGAGTACCTAATGCTTTCCTATTCTTAACTTCTAATGATAAAAAGTTTTATCCTACACATTTTATAAAGATAATGTACAAATTGACATGAAAATTATGTAATCCAAATATAAAAATTGCACAATTCAGTATGGTTTTAAATTGTACAAAGAAAGAAATTGCTAAGGTAAGTTCTAAAAAGGAAGATAAATAAATGAAAGCTCATATATTTCAATTTTCGTTGTGCTTACCTCAGTCTTCCTCAAAGCACTAGCACTGGCATATTCAGATAAGCTCTTCATGCTTGTATCAGATTTATCTGTCTTGAGGAATGAATAAAATGACGAGTTACTAGAGTCATCACCAGTTCCCTCTACATCACGAACTACACTGAACACCCTTCCAATGCTCCCAGTATCTCTTATACCATCTTCACCCTTTAATACTTTCTCGTCATCATTTGGTGATGTCCGTCCACCATCTGGAGAACAGAGTGACTTTTCCTTCTTAGATGACTCACTCATACCCTGAGAACATTAGGATGGCAAATGTTAAAATTAAAATTAAAAAAGTTCCAACAGAGCACAATTTTTTGTAGGTCTTTTTATTGTATAAGATAAAAGACGAAAACGTAAAGAACTTATGGATATGTAAACAGTTAGAATTTAGAACTGTTTGCAATCTTTTCTTGGGGTTGGTTACAGTTCGAATCTAAAGTTATAATGTGCAATGCAGATGAATTTAGATAAAGTGTAATAACACTGCAGTGAATCTCACAGGGAATGGCTTTTCCTACACTAAACAGGGGGGTTCACTAAATGGGGGTTATCCAAAATTACATCAAGAAATATTCATCTTCTTACATGGCTTACTGTAGTAATAATAAAATAATATCTTTATACATGTATAAGCGGTTAATAACTTGTTTCTACACAAATAAATTACATAACCACAATTATAGTATAATCAATAACATTCAATTAATATCTAGCACAATTAATGACATTAAATAAATATGAAAGAAATAACCTTGCTATACAAATACAATTACACAATCAGTCATAACAAATTCAGTTCTCAACTAATTACTGGCATATGACATAAACATTGATAGAACCATAACGAAGAAAAACTATAATACTGTAACGTGCCAGGAATCCAGAAGAGTCACTTCTATGGAAACGCTAGAATAGACCGTTGCATAGGAAACAACAGTCGCTCCATTGTAGTTCTAATAGGAGTCTCCATGGTTATAACAGAGGGTTCGTTGCACAGCAGCGACCGAGGTTATATAGCGGGGTTGAATGCATTCGCACAGTCAGTCTTTGTCCAGCCATCCAAGAAGTGAGTCTTTGTCCAGCCACCTAAGAAGTGAGTCTTTGCCCAGCCTTCGAAGAAGAGTGTCTTGAACATCCGCCAGAGAAGAGAGTCCAGTATCGCTGAGAAATTGTGTAGGATAACGATTGTAAAGCGTGTGGTTGTATAAGTGTCCAATAAAGGGTTCTATGGAATTTGAGACCCACGTGAATTTATTTGTAGCGTGACACGCAAAATATGCTACAATACCATAAATGTCACCATTTCAGTGCATGTTCAATATGTGAAATTACTTGCCGAAGATATTAGGTGTGTGGTAATGATTTCTGACAGAGAGGCAACATGAATATTGGCTCTTGCTGTAATCAAAATCCTTGAAAATTGAGGTATGAGTTGTAAATGGTCAAAAATTTCTTTCATTACATGCAGGTTATTTATTAAATAAAAGTTTATTAATATGAGAACATAATACACTGTTTATACAGGGCCTCAGCTGGATTTCACTGCATATATACAAAGTGTCCCAGGAGGAATGTGCCAGACTTCGGGAGGGTGTTCCTTATGTTAAAGTATGCCAATATAACCCAAAACATCTATGTCCAAAGTTGAAGGGTTACGGAGATAATGGCCCGAGAAAAGTGTGGTCTTCTGGTGGGGTCAACGCACTGTACCTGTCAGCTGAGAAGTCTTATCTATGTTTGTCCTTGAGTGTGGTGATTCACACTAGCCGTAAGCTTATGTGCTACCTTCAGGGTATGCTGCGGCCGTATTGTGAATGGATGGTAAATTAGTTGTGTGGAGTTGCTGAAATTCCTTTTGTTTTCACATGTGGAATATTGTGATATGCATTTTGTGTATGGACTTTGTGGTGGCAATGCACGTGCTGCTGTTGAAGAATGCCAATGGATCAACGGATTCCATCTCGAAGTGTATTTATGCGAATTCACCAGATATTGCGTGATACTGGTTCTCTTCAGAGTGTTTCTGTGCACTCTGAAAGGGAGGATGTACGAATAAGAAACACATGAGAGAACATTCTTGAGATGGTTCAGAGAAGTCCGCATCTGTCCACTCGTAGAATGGCCTCTCGCATCGGCATATCACGTATGCAGGTGTGGCGAACTTTACATGATGAAGAGTTGTATCCTTACCATGATCAAAGGGCACAACATCTGGAACCAGGTGACCGTGCTCAGCGTATGGATTTCTGCCACTGGATAAAAGCTCATCCCGAACTGTTAAGGGTCATCTTATTCAGTGAGGAGGCGTCTTTTACCCTGGACGGTGTAAATAATTTACAAAATGTGCATACGTGGTCCCATAATAATCCACATGAGATAATGGTAACGAAATTCCAAAAGAGATTTTCTGTGAATGTATGGTGTGGTGTGCTTGGGAACAGGTTGTTCGGACCTTTTGTGTTTCACAAAAATTTAATTGGAAACACGTATGAAGCCTTCCTGAGGAGTGAGTTACCATGTTTGTTGGAAGACATTGCAGCTGGTGGAGGACACTTTGAACAATTAGTATAAAGCAGGTACTGTATTTTAGTAGTTATGTAGTCGGCTTATACCAGAATGCGCAGTCAGCCATGGTACATCAGCGCTTGCCATGCATGTGTCGTGTATAATGCTTGGAAACCTAAGGACAACTATGACCTGTCATGCGAGTTTTTTTGTAGTTAAATTTAATGGCTTCATGTCACTCACAAGTTAGTTTGATGTTACGTACATTATTAACATTACAGAAACCACATATTCCTGCCAGTTTTAATATGTATTTGCTAATCAACAATTGTGTAACACCTGTCAAAGTTTCACAATTCTCGGGCCATTATCTCCGTAACCATTCAACTTTGGACATAGGTGTTTTGGGTTATATCGGCATACTTTAACATAAGGAACACCCTCCTGAAGTATGGCACATTCCTCCTGGGACACCCTGTATATCCTATATGCAGTGCAAGATATAACACAGACGAATCTAAACGTTTTGCTCATATATTAATTAATAACCACCCACACTGAAAAACTGATTAAACTATGAGAAATATAGGCAATGCAAGGTGTAGAAAATAAATGTAAAAAAATAATATTTACTTAAACTATAAATCAAGATGATTAGATTAACCGAGACACAAAAAATGTAATGACAAAAACTATCTATTTTAAGTGGCATGGGAGCTGCTACAACATCAATTCATATTAACTGTAAAAGAACCTCTGCCTTTCAAGTAATAAAAAATTAACTCCACAAGATTAGCTTTGACTGAGGATTTTTCAGACACAGGACTTAGCATTATTGCACTAAAATAAACTAGTATGCAATAATTATAATAACTAATAGCATTACAAACATTAAAATTTAATGCTGATTTAATCAAAATTATGGAAATACTATACAATAACAATATAATGGACTTCAAGTACAAGGGTTGTTCAAATAAAACCATTCAGATCATTCTGGGTGAAAGAGCAAGAGCTGTTAAAGAGGTCAACATAGGTGCTGAAGCAGGCATACCCTGTCTACCCAGCTGACACTTTCTGCAAAGAGCTCCCTGGGTTGCTCTTGGAACCAATGTGCCACTGAACATGGCCAAACATGTGAAAAGGTTTCATTTTAACACCTTATACATAAAAAATTTAATGACTGATCATTGTTCATATTAAAGCACAATAGATCACTGTAGGTCGCGGTGCAAGGGCCGAGAAGGCCCACCCCTTATACATTCATTCATTCATTCATTCATTCATTCATTCATTCATTCATTCGTTCATTGTTCATATTAATGAATACTGCCATCACACGTTATATGATTTTATAATAAAGTGTTCAATATAGTAATTTTAAAAACACAAATACAAAGCAAAACTGATATGCAATAATCAGAAAATAAACATTAATGCAGAAGGAAAATCTGATGACTGTGCCTTTGTCTGTTTATATCAGGAAAGATGTAACAATTCATAATTATTATAAGCAATACCAAATCTGTGTGAATGGATATAACAATGTGTAAAACACTGATAGCTGATACATTGTTATGAGAAATCCCTGATAATGATATTTTGGTTGAACTATGTGAGATATCTTAACAAAATATTTAATTTACATAATTGGAGTTGTTTCATGATGGTCTTCATGTCCATGTATTGAGTAATATGAGGGCTATTTGGAAAGTAACCTCTGGTGAGCTGTTAACAAAATAATCAAAGGGAAAAATTATTCCATACAAAAAATATGTACATATTTAAGCTACTTCTGAATGTAGTCACTGCTGCAATTGTTGTATCGGGGAATAAGTTTTTTCTACTTAACCTTGAAAGAAGAATATTTGCCCAATATTCTTCTTTCAAGGTTAAGTCCATATATAAATGAAATTATTGGGAATCATCAGTGTGGGTTTCGACGTAACAGATCAAATACAGATCAGATCTTTCGCATTCGTCAGATACTGGGGGAAAAAAAATGGGAATACGATGAGACAGTACATCAGCTATTCGTAAACTTCAAGAAAGCCTATGATTCAGTTCGGAGAGAACTATTGTAGAATATTTTGATAGAGTCTGGGATACCCATGAAAGTAGTTAGGTTGATTAAAATGTGTTTAAACAAAACATATAGTAAAGTCCTTGTAGGTAAACATTTGTCTGATAAATTTCCTATCCAGAATGGTCTAAAACAAGGAGATGCTTTATCACCACTCCTTTTCAACTTTGCCTTAGAATATGCAACTAGGAAGGTCCAGGGAAACCAGGTGGAACTGAAATTAAATGGGACACATCAGCTGTTGGTCTATGCCGATGATGTGAATCTACTGGGTGATAATGTAGATACCATAAAGAAAAACACACAAACTTTAATTGACTCAAGTAAAGAGTTTGGTCCAGAAGTAAACACAGAGAAAACTAAGTATATGTTACTGTCTCATCACCAAAATGCAGGGCAAAATCATGCCATAAAGATAGGAAACAGATGTTTTGAAAATGTGGCACAGTTCAGATATTTGGGAACAACGATAACAGATCAAAACCTGATTCAGGAGGAAATTAATAGGCAATTGAACTCAGGTAATGCTTGCTATCATTCACTCCAGAACCTTTTGTCTTCTCATCTGTTGTCCAAAAACATAAGAATTAGAATATACAAAACTATAATTTTGCCTGTGGTTCTGTATGGGTCTGAAACTTGGCCTCTGACATTAAGGGAGGAACATAGATGAGGGTATTTGAGAACAGGGTGTTGAGGAGAATATTTGGACCGAAGAGAGATGAAGTGACAGGAGGTTGGAGAAAACTGCATAATGAGGAGCTTCATAACTTGTAATCTTCTCCAAGTATAATTAGAATGATCATGTCAAAAAGGATGAGCTGGTCATGTAGCACGAATGGGGGAGACGAGGAATGCGTATAGGATATTGATGGGAAAGCCAGAAGGAAAGAGACCACAGGGAAGACCAAGGCATAGGTGGGTGGACCATATTAGAATGGATCTTAGAGAGAAAGGATGGGATGGTATGGATTAGATAGATCTGGCTCAGGATAGGGACCAGTGGAGGACTCTTGTGAACACGGTAATGAACATTCAGGTTCCATAAAACGCTGGGAAATTCTCGAGTAGCTGCAGAATTGGTGGCTCCTCCAGAAGGGCTCAGCTCCATGAGTAAGTAAGTAAAGTAATTGTGTCAAAGAAGTCTGCCACCTCTGAGCTCAGCCACCTTTTGACACCTTCCATTAACTCATTATCTCTGAAGCACTGTGACCCCAAACAGTTCTTCAGGTAGGTAAACAGGTAGTAGATGCTCGAAGCAAGATCAGGCTTGTAAGGAGGGTTGTCAAACAACTCCCAGATAAAATGCTCCAGTAGTGCTCAAGTGTGAGCAGCTGTATGCAGAAGTGCATGGTCTTGGAGGAGCACTACACCAGATGTCAGCATTCCACACCTTGTGTTCTAAATAGCCCTATGCAATTTTTATGATATTTCACAATACACTTCTGATGATATTGAGGTCCCTTGTTGCATGAATTCCACCAATCACCACTCCTTTCCTGTCCCATTCAATAACTTCCATCAGCTTTCTGGCAGGCAGATGTTTGTTTCCACTATTTCGGTTTGTCTAGTAAATGTGTGTGCACCCACTGCTTTGACTGCTCTTTGGTTTCAACATTCACAAGTGAAACCCAGGTTTCATCATCTGTTACTTGTACAGTGTGATCGGGAAACTCATCATCATGTTCGCAGTATTGTTCTAAAAAAGTCAAAGCTGAAGTCATTCTCTTTGTTTTCTGCACACCTGTGAGCATTTTAGGAAACCATCTTGCACAAAACTTATGATAGCCTAGCCTAGCTGTGATAATCTTGCAGAGAACAGTTCGTAAAATTCGTGGAAATTCACATTAAGTTCTGAAATTGTGAAGTGCTATCTTTCACAATTCCTTTGGTTACCGCTCTGAACATGAACATCACTCACTACAGATGACTGGCCGACCATTTTGCTCTTCATCATGAACATTTGTTCACCAGCCCATCTTTAAATATTCTACACCATATTGTTGCAGTTCTTCATTCATTACATTCTGGCCATAAACTGTGCATAATTCATGATAGATTTCTGCGACACTCAAATTTTTAGAGTGAAGAAAGACAATAACAGCACAAATTTTGCAGCTGGCAGAATTACCCACCACAGGACACATCATAACTCACTCCGCAGAACCAAGAACAAACACTAGATGATTAATTATGTTATGTTTTACAAGGTAATGAGCCATATGATGCTGCCTAGCATGCGCAAGCTCTCCCTTGCTCCTACATTAGTTGCCTAAAATAAATGGAGGTTACTTTCTGAGTAGTCTTCATAATACAACGACACCTAATATAAAGAACGTTACTTAATATCATGAATTTATCCTACATTTTGCTAACTATACATTAACATATATGGATCTTCTGATGTGTTTACTTCTAGACTAGCCTTCTCACTAGTTCATAATGGAAGTTCTGTGTTTCTCTTTATGGCATTTCTGTTCTTGCCACTGTCAACTTAATTCTGAGCAACTCAGCTATTAGTGCAATCATACAGCAGTGAGTCAAGCTTAATGCCACACATTATATTTCCTACGCCAAATCATCTGCCACATACAGATATACATACTCTTTTAACAGAGGCAGAAGCTATGCTCCCCATGGCAGATCCTGGTTCTGCTTTCACAGATGTGGCTTGGGATGCTGGACGCTGGAACTTGCTGGGTGTAGTCCCATTGACTGATGTTACAACTGGACTCTACACGACAAACCCAAAGCAAATAAATTACCTCTCTCAGTTGTCTTCATTACCTACACCATGTTCTGATCATATTCTGAAGACAGTAAATATTTAGAAGAATATCAGAAACTTAGGATCTGACAGTGTTAAATGACTGAAATTAAGAGGTTATGGAGGAGGGAAGAAAGAATGGAAACTAGGAAATAGAAAAGTTTGAAAGATAACATGACATGATGCCTGAAAGCCTGAACTGTGGAGCAAGAGAAGTTATCCAATGCTATGCAATGGTTCAGTAAACACATTCCTGTGGCAACAAATAGGCAAACAACAACAGAGGACCTGCTGGAGGTGATCCCGCAGGACTCGAAACCAAGAATGACTGTGCATGCAGGGGCCAGCAGCAATTTACCTGACTGATCAACAGAAAAACATGACCATAAGTCCCACAGAGCCCAAAATCAAGAATGACTGTTCTGGTGGAGGCCAGTAACTCTTTAAACTATGACTGTGGTTAGTAGTCAGTCACCAGCCAGTGAGGATAGAAGCAATAAAATGAATTCATACAGTTAGAAGCCACTACCAAACAACACGCAACGTAGAAGTAATTATTTGCAGCTGTAGTTACTTCTAGAATTTTTAGATTAGTGAGTGTGTTGTAATTATGTGTAGTTACAAGTAATAAGGTTTCAGTAGATCCAGTTGTCAATCAAAACCATGCATATAGTCACTAACACGTGACAATACAAAGAAAATCATGTGTAAATTAGTTTAACAATTATAATCTCATATATATGATACATATGTAATGGCCATCTTGTAGTGCACTCAATTTCATATGTTGCTTCTTACTACATGTTTCGGCAACATAGTGCCATCTTCAGGTTCATTATTTATGCTAAGCCATTACACTGTTTGTCATCTTGTGTCTTTCATAGAATTATTGAGAAAGTACATTATTCGTCAACTATAATAAAATTTGTATATACTAAAACTTGTTAAGATTATTCATCTATATGTCTTAATTCAAACTCGCGTATAGTATGGTTCGTCCACTATGGGAGTCGTTTCTGTGTGTACTGTGTCTGTGATGTGTCCTTCCTTTTTGGCTTCTTGGATCAAAACTTCCAAAGTCACAGAGACTGGCTCAGTGTTAAGCACACAGTGCAGCATATCTGCCAACACTTGGCACCAAGTATTACACACTGTTCTTTACAGAAAAGAGCAGGCTTTTATGCTATCTAAATCTGTGGTCACTTGGTAATTTGTAAGAGCAATGTGGATTTTTCTGTGCAAAGGCAGCCTGGGCGTTTATAGCAGGTAGCTCTACAGTGGAGGCTGGTAGTCAGAGGATTAATCCACATCTATTTACTTGCTTACTGACTTACTTAACATATTGGCGATGCGCTACATTGTTTAATGTAATCCCATGGGCAACCACAGGCAATGGAATAAGGTAATTAACACTTTTACACACGAGACTTTTCTATAGCTTCTTTCATCATCTTGAGGTATTTTAAGAACTGTGTATAGCAAGTGTCACGTAACTTCGAACAAGGCCAAGAGTAACCTTGAATGCGCAGAAGGACATTTTCAGACGAGGTGGGTCGGTGAAAGTGGAAGAACAAGTGTTAAGAAATTCCTCCCACCACAAGCTATGCGCGGGATTTGACTAGGAATGCGGAGCCTTGTTCGAAGTTACGTGACACTGTCTATAATAGTTCAGAATGGAACAGAATATTTCTATAAGCATAAGCTGGGCTTCAAGTACCCTGATCTAATGCAGTGTGTCAAGAATAAAATAACTGCCCTGAATTCTATACAACAGTTGCCTTCTACAGCACATTCGATAAGGGCTGTTCTCAGTGCCAACCTACTGACATCTAAATAAACACACACACATCAAATAGCATTGCTGACCCACCTTGCTTTCTTGCTTACATATGGCAGCTACAGGGATACTGGGTTGAGAACCTGGTCTTTGGAGTAAGGTTGTGGCTGGCTGAAGCACTGCCACAGATGGATACATGATAGGTGGCCCCCTATACACTGGAGGATACTGATATAACATAGTAGCAGCAGCATTCACATAAGGCACTGTAAAGAAACAGTTTAACTTCATTCAAATTATATATATTTTGCTGCATCAAAAATGCTCTATTAATCAAACTAACCAAATCAAGTATGTGGAGCAGAGTTCTTCTTGAGAAGCCAATAACTGCTCATAAGTGTGTGACAGTGGTATATTAACACAATTACTGTGTTTCTGGCCATTATCTGTTGGGAACTGTGGACTCAGTGTGACACAGTAACACATGTGTTGCCAGTAAACACTTCCCCGCAGTGAGACAACAGCAGAGGAGCTGTGTTAGGCAACACTTCCCTGCTGTGATGTAACAGCGGAGGAGCTGCTAGGCAACAGACCAATAAACACTTCCCTACTGTGACGTAACAGCGGGTGCTGCTGCTTCTGCTAGGGCAACATGCAACAGTATAAGAAGCCAGCTAAGGACCGAGTTGTGTTGACAGAGGGCAGGGTATGCCAACAGAAGGCAGTGTGTGTTGGGAGAAGCCAGTGGAAGCAGCACAGAGAGCAGAGCAGTTCTACAGTCTAGTGAGAGTTGTTAATATGAAAGGAGCAACTGTGAAACGACTTGCTAAACATTTTGTGTTATAGTTATGTTGAACTGTAGTTGCGGTGTTGAGTAATAAAGTGACATTGCAAAAGAATACACACCTCGAGGTCGTTTCATGACATTTTTTGGTGCCGAAACCTGGGAAGAAGGACTGCGGGATCTTAGTGATTGTGAAAGAATCTGTGTCCATCACAAAGCAGTAGATTTTCTCATGACACCTTTAGACTTCAAGACTTTGAGGGAAAGGAGAAAATAAACATGCCATGGGCACTGACTTCAACTTGATTCTGTCTATATATCTGAGTTCTGACTTTCAACAGACCCCATACAGACAGTCAACTAGCTTGTGAAGATTGTACTTGGATATACCCTCACAACTGAACATGACGGACAGAAAACTTCAAAGGCTAAAGAGGAAGCACTCTGCAGCAAGGGCAAAGGTCCCTGGTTCGAACCCATGTTTCGGCACCAAAAAATGATGCCGAAAGAATACTCCTAATGTCTTGTTTCATGACACTATCCATTGTCTTGTTTTTATTTAAAACACACAATGTTTCAGAGACTGGATCCTGTCCCCATCTTCAGGTTGAATCTACTCAGTCGGGTCCAACTGATAGGGACTAACAATATCAATTTGGCCTTACTAAGTAGGTTCTAGCTCAAGATGGATACAGAACCCAGTCTCCAAAACGATGTGTTTTAAATAAAAAACAGGACAATGGATAATGTCCTAGAAACACAATAACTGAAATTGTTGCTCCGCTAATCAAGATATTCCCTTTTTAGAGAACCCTGCTCCTTCTTAAGGCATGGGAACTCTGTCTTCCATTCTGAAACAAAGCATGCCATTGGTTCTTCCATCTATTCCTGGGCCTTTCCAAGCCTCTCTGTACTCCACACCTATATTCTACTGCTGCTCTGGGTGGATAATCTGACAGTATGTCTGAAATGTCTTCAGATTTCAGTTTCCTATATGATGAAAATTTGTACTGTCAGCTAATGTTCTACACAAATCAGCAGAAAACTTTGCATGTAAATACTAATATGTTAAATTTTATTTCAAATTGAAAACTTTAAACATGTTTTGGCAAGTGCTGCACCAAATTTCAATGAAGCGAATACAGTTTACCTTTTGAAATTACTACACCAATTAGATGTGTCACATACAAACAATAAAATGGCACTAGTAGCCTTTCTCACATTATGTTATAAAAGCAACTTTAGTAATGCAAGGTAACAAAAAACTATCTACCATTAGCACAAACCCCACAACATGACCCAACTTCACCATCATCTCTACAGAAGAGAAACAGTAGTTTAAGAATGATAACATAGCAGACATCTCTGCAGATGGAAAAGCAAAAGGAGCATATATTCATTAAACAAAATGTCACACTGCCCCCTAAGTCACCACGTACCTATGCTTTCATTGTATAAGCTAGGTTTCAGAAGTGAGGTTTTGCGTATATGTCATGGGTCCATCAATCCCACCTGCTCTGTCATCAGTTGCAATATGGTGACTTTGACCCTGGCAGATTGAGGAGAAAATTTCACAGTAAAGTGGTACAGGGGGGAGGATGACACCATCAGTGTTTTCAATGGCCAGAAAGTTAGCTAACTATGTGACATGATCATAAATTCAACTAGCCCCTATTATAATGGCACCTGTAAGAGAGAGAACAAGTATCACTGCTAGTGGCAGCTGGGAGGAATATCATGTGGTGCGTGGATATATGCAAATCACAGATTTATTTTTGAATAACTTATAAAAATGGTAAATTTTCTTCAAAATTTTTGCCAGAATTTACTGTACTTAGAGCGAAATATCTCAATCCTACCACCTAAATGGAAAACCTTAAGGCTCTACTGAGTCTGCTCTGCCTTGAAGTCTTTGATGTTAGCCTTCTCTTTCTGTTGGTAGTCCTATTACCTTGATATTCAGAGGACAAAAAACTGGTGGTGCCAGAACATTATCTGTGAACACTAAAGATAGATATTTTGTTATAAGTTGTTGGAGATGTATTTAGGACTCAGTGAATTTGATTGTCAGTTTCAATAGAGATCCATTGCTGGAATGAGACAAGTAATAAGGTAATAATGAATTTATCAAACATTTATCAATAATATTTTTCTTACCTTGCTGAGGAATGAAAGTGGGCTGTTGTCCAGGCAACATTACCCCAGGTGGAGGCATTTGAGGTGGGCCTGGATGTTCCTGAGGTGCCAGACACTGAGCTGTGCCAAGGCCTGCTTGCTGGACAGTGGTTGGAATACAGTACACAGGAATCATGTTGGCCATGTGTGGAGGTGGAGGCATGTTGTTGTTTGTGGTGAATCTGTTGATGAAAAATTACATACTACATTCAATAAAGCTCACTTTCTTGAAAATAAGTTCAATTATGCATCATATCTGATCAACATTGCTTCACAGAAAATTAATTAACAATAAAATCACTAATCTTTATGGGAAGAGGCAAAGTAAAATACCAAAGGCTGCTAAATTACAACATTGTCTGATCTGCCATAGGATTTCCTTATTATGTGGACATGGACTTACACCGAAATATTATCATCATAAACATAAAACAGGGGTTTTCTACTGTTTCTAAACACCAAAACATGATGTAAATAAGGGAGCATAGGTGAAGCTCAAGGTATTCCAAGCCTTGACTGAGATATAAGTAGATGGTCAATGTCACATTCCAGTTCATTTATTCTTATGAAAAGAGACCGTGGGAACCACTGGAAGAAATGGTTATAAAAAAATCTGTTTTCATTTGTAGTAACGGTAGTCAAAATAACATTCAAGTTACTGGACAGCCACTGGCTACTGCTTTGGCACTGACTGTGTTAGAGAAGACACATCTGGAAACAAAAATGCTTCTTATGCAGGTAATAATTCATTAAAGTAGTGAATATCAAAGTCAAGTGGTCACCACTTCATATCTGTGAGGCCACATGAATCTTGTCCTGCAGACTGGCTATCCTGCATGAAATTTCTTGTGATTTTCACCAGTCCCTGTAGCGAAATACCAAGACAGCATATTACAGCCTCCCCACCTCCAAAAAAAAAAATAATAAGAAACGCACGCCCATCCACACACACACAGATGACTATTTAAAATAAAAAGAACCCCGATATAATAACCTTCATGCAATCACATTGTGTTCCTAGGTTTACTGTGTGCACTGGCTATATATCTTATGGTGTACGTCTAAGAAGACCACTTCACTCAATTATAGCAGACATCAGGGATAATGGACACCCTGCCCCCTATTAGTATGCTACAACGAGGGTTTACTATAGTTCTGTATACATAAGGAAAAGCCTGTATACTTAATAATCGCATGCTGCTGCGAACAGGAAGGAAAAAACAAAATATTGCCCAACGGACCATTATTTTAAAGGGGATTTATTACAGAAATATACATTCACTGACCTGCATTGCTGACAGGTATTAACATTATGAGTATCGTTCTTTAACCTGGACCAGATCACACTTAAGTCAATGCTATAAAAAGCTAACACTTTGCTGATGTTTAGCACATAAAACTATAAAGGAATTAAATACATTCAGATTTACACACATACAGCATTCATACAAGTGACATACTCTTAATGCTCTAGGTTACAATATTTTGTAGTATGATCAATGTGTATCAACACACCAGAAGAACGTGCTGCCTCCAAAATGTTTGTGCCCACCCACCAGACCACATGGTACCATATCCCAGAATGCCATGATCTGAACCTTCAGCCGAATAACACTTTTCCAGTACTACACGTTTCCAACACTACAAATTGGGCGGGGGGGGGGGCGCTATGGTTCACTAACCTATATGTTGAGCAAGGTGCTGTTGGCTGAAGGGGTGTAACAGTTACTGAGAAAGGTGGCCACAAGTTCACATTAGTCCCATCGTGGTATACAGGAGGCACAACCCCAGCCACAGGGTACTGTTTTCCCACATCAAAGCACTGTGTCACACCACCGCCACCACTTCCAGGATTGAATTTGCCTCCCTCCACATGAGGGTGCTTACTAGCTTTATGCAGCTCACCCTCCTGAGAATGTGATCCACTTCGTTTAACTCCATGACATTGTTTCTGCAAGAAAAAAACAGAATACTGCACTGTCAAATTTACATAAAACAATGCTAGGACCTCGAGGTTGTCACAGTGGTGACTACAAAGTGTGCTATCTTCTGGGTTCATACACTTTGGAAAAAGCCTAACATCTGAGAGGAACACATTGCCTCCAGATACACAGTCACAGGGTAAGCAAAGGAAGAAACACGGAGCAAGGACAGTTGTTTCCCACCTGCTTCTTGCTTTGCTTACTCTCTGACCATGAAGATGGAGGTGTTCTTCCAAAACATCAGACTTCCTCCAAATTATATGGCATTGCAAACCATTAAGTCCAAACTCTTTGCTGTTATGGCTCATGGCAAAGCTTGCAAAGTATTCTGGAATGGATAGACTGTATTGTACAAGCCAGAGTCTCAAAGAAATTACTTCCAAGCAAAATGAAAGACTGCATAAATAAAATTACAGATAATATAAAGATTTTTTTAAAGGTAAATAATGAAGAAAGATGAATTAAACTGAAATTTATAACTTCCATTACCATACTCTTGAGAGTATTATAATTTCCTTATTATAAATTTGCTAAATATTACAACTAACACTGAAGAGCTGGATTCTCATGATATGCTCATCACAACCACAAAACAAAACATATGACACCCACAGTTAAGAGTGATGGATCAGCATAATCTTCAAGAGGGGGGAACAGACCAAGTATGGCCTAATCCGTCGTGGTGGTGGTGGCAGCGGCAGAGGTGGGGGCGGGAGCGGGGGCAGTGGTGGTGAATCACACAAAAAAGCTTCTGTTTTCCTTTCTCCTTAGGGTTTGGACTTTTGCTTTATGGTAGCTTAAGATTATAGTCACATTCTTATGGCCTCTCTACTTGAGAATACACAGAGAACCACTGTGTTGCATGAGAAAACTGCCATTCTGTGACTTTTTTCTTTTGCTTTCTAGGGCACATTCTTTCTGTTTAGTTTCATGGACCCTGCTCAATTGGTGTTACATGGCTTCACAAGCTTTACCAAATCTGCACAATTATGCATAACAATTGTCCATCTACAAGAATGAGAAGAGGTTCAGCAAGTTTCAGAACTACTGGTGCAGTTTTGGGTGCATCCTTTGAAATGAGGGGTGATCCACAAGATCCTCCTTTAAATCCTTCACTGTAAACGCATCATAGGTAATAAGAACTTGACTGACACAATTCTGAGTATGATGATTTCAGTGTGAAGTATGGTTAAGGATGCACTTTCAGTGGGTAAGTGGTTCATCAACTGAAGTATCTTGATGGTGTACATACAGTCTACAATTCTGGATTTAGAATAGAGGTGAGAGAAGAGATTCTGAGTAGTCTTTGTGGTCCTTAAATGTAGGTGTTATCTATGAAATGCACAATCTACAAGGTCTTCAAATATGTGTCAACCATGTTTTTCTCTAGTCTTTCATTATGTCACAACAACAACAATCACCTGCAAGAGCTTGCCATGAAAACATTTCTTCAACTTATTTTCCCTTTCACCACCTTTACTCCTTTGTTCTTTATGTTTCTGGACCATCTTCTTTTCCATGTCTTCATTATGCCTGCAAGAAGACATGAAATTAATTATGACTGTCAAAATAAATGAATGATGCTGTTAACCTTTTATCTTAAACAAGCATATTAATGTTGTTTTTGGAAATCAGCTCCGCGTGCGTGCGTGCGCGCGCGCGCACACACCTATATATATATATATACACACACACACATAAATTATAAATAATACAAAATTGCATCTATAATAAATAGAACTTCAGTGTAACTAATTCATTTCTTTTAAAATGGAAGCAGTAATCTTCTGATGAAACAGTGTTAGCAGAATGCTTTTAAAATTAATATTGGAGAAAAGTACAGGGATGAGAAATGGGTTTCAGTTCAATAATATTATATTATACTTCAGCATCCTGTTGCATTGGAGCATCATTTATAGTCTTCTTTTCTGTCTATAATGCAACAACATCAATTTACATTTTAAATGACACTAATTCATATTTAATTCACTAAAATGTTCGTTAAATGTTAAATGTTTAATTATCAGTAGTAGCAGTATTTATTTATTTATTTCGTCTCTATAGATCTATAGATATACAAAGATATGTGAATATCCAAATTTTCTACCTTAAACTTGATCCCTTACCCTGAACCCAATAATGAATTCTTCATGTCGATACAGTTAGTTACTAAGCTAGGGGAAGCATACTGCCATAAATTGAAACAAAAACCTCGTGTTCTCATGAAATTATCAAGAAAAAGAAACCCTTCTGAACTATGAGAAATGATGTAACACCAGGCCTGCACAAAGCTCCTGGCTGCTGGAAGAGGAATAACCACACAATGAACAAATAAAAGGGATGGAAGGAAAACATGTGAGAAAGGATGGAAGCATATAATAACACAAACAGAGAGAGAATGGGTGTGAAAAATTATTTAACATAAAGAAAAGGAAGGAAGGAAAGGGAATATGAATTATGATAGGGAACACAAACAAAAAGGGATGAGAAAGAATAAGAATGAGGGTAGAATGTAAAGAAATAAAAGGTACAGAAAAAATAAAGAAATGCTAGAAAAAGTATATTAGAAAGGAAATATTATCCACCATCACAATAACTTTGTTGCCATGGTAATAGAAGGATATCCATGGAAACGAATACTACCAGCAGATAAAACCGAACCCTTGAACACGGTGTTCACTAGTCAGTCCAAGTGCACATTATAAAAGTCCATAATCGACAAGACCACTGAGCTTTTAGTGTAGCTCCAACCAGAGCAGAAGCAAGCTCGCATCCAAGAAAGGACAGAAGACACTTCACCAAGATCAGCGGTGCAAGTAACTGTGTTAGTGAAGTTGTGAATAACTGTACTGGCGAGTGTAAAAGATATTGTCCAAAAAACGTCTTAGCCAAATCCGAGACCCGCGTGAATTTACTTGTAATGTTACATAGGCAACACACGATAATATGTTAGCAGCGGAGGTGCAATTACAAAACCACTGTCAGAGAAATGAAACTGTAGTGTTAACACACCTAGTGTTGTTCACTGAGAAGTGGAGAAAGGTTTTCCACCCACCTGTATAATAATGCTTCAGTGAGGAGTGGTTTATATGAGCCTTGAGAGGTATTAGTAGCACTGGTATCTCTTCTGCTCTCAGCACTCTCCCCAATACCTGCACTATTACTGCTGTGGCCACTGCCACTGCCACTTCCATTCACAGGAGAACAACACTTCCTGTTTAACAACACAAAATGAAATTTCTGTAAGAGAATGAATCACTAAACAATTTATTTAATTCAGTATTGGATTTATAATCTGCCAAATCTTATGCTTGAGAGCTTAGAATGTAACATGCAAAATTCATCATCTTTCATAAACAGAAATTTTTTATTGCTTTAAAGATGTGAATCACTTATATAATACTTCAGTAACTATATCTATTCAAGTGACACTTTCATATTTGACATGTCACATGTTCAAGAACAGACACAAATTTGTTCTTGCATAAGAGACCTGTTTTCTACGTGAAGAAAGGTACATGACATTGTAAACAATATATATAAACATAACATGATTTCAACAGTGTGACAAATTATCCATGTGATCTGCACAAGAGTATAAAATAAGGGAGAAAACTGCACTATCTTGAGCCTCTTAATTTAAATTGTAATACAATTGTAGTCTATTTAATGAGATTGTCAGTAACTCAGACTATATAGCACTATATAATTGGATGGTACCAATTAAAGAATTGGAAAGGATGCGGAAGGAAGGTCATGGCCTAATTTTAAGGTACTATCCCAGCATTTGCCTGGAGCGGCCAACAAAAACTACAAAAAAAAAACTGTGAGAAGATATCCAGGGTTCCATACGAGATTCGACCTGGGCACCTCTGAAATAAAATCCGAAATGTTGCTGCCTGAGCGGACTAGTTATGTCAATTTGTACTCTTCACCAAATACTATCAGGGTGATCAAATCAAGGAGGATGAGACTGGCAGGACATGCAACATGAATGAAAGAGATGAGAAGGGTTCACAAATTTTTAGCTGGAAAACGTGAAGCAAAAGCTCACTTGGGAGAATTATATGTAGATGAATGCATAACATTAAAATGGACCTTAATATATTATTGAGTATCACTATTTGAAAGGTGTAATCAGCTGCTGTGTGCACACCACAATACCATGTCTCCAAGATTTTTTGTCGTTTGTGATCAGATTGTCCTCTATTTCTTACCATCAACAGCTGTTAGCCTTATGCAATTCTGTGGCCTTTGTTTGACCAAATAATGCATATTACTTATGAATACAAACCACAGGGGATCTAAAATTAAGACATTTTCTCTAACCATATAGCAACAACAGTGACTTGCTGCCACTTAAATGTTGCTACAAAGGCAGAGTAGAAGCCATTTAAAGACATTTTCAAGGGATTAAAGAATTAGCAGAAGAAAATGTGTACTGCATTATTCTGCTCAGGATAGGGTGTACTGCATTATTCTCCTCAGGATAGGGTTCAGAAGCAGACTCCTATGTACACAATCACATAAAAAATAACAAAATTTCTTGACCAGTTGAATGAATATCAACCAGTCTAGAAGGACTCTTCTCCATGGAATTTTTATTGATTGCCCATAAAAAATACAGAATTTGGAGCTGAAATTCAGTGTCACATTACAAGCCATTTGTATTTAAACAAAGATCAACTATATATATATGAGAAAAGTGTAATAATGACAGGAGCAAAGGAGTAGAAAGCATGAAAATGTGAAAAGTTAAAAATTTAAGGCAAAAAGGATTTACTGCAGGAAAAAAAAAAGAAATATGTAAACATTCCCTGTGAAGTACTGAATGAGTAATGAGACAGAGAAGCAAGTCAACTGACATTCTGAGGTAGAACTAGTGACAAAAACACTCTTTGTTTCAGCAGCCTGATGAAAACTACTATTCTGTAATATAGGAAGATGATAGCAAAAGAGAATCCTAGCAGAGATTAGCCTCTGATGCAGAAATAATTGGAAAAAATGAGTGACACACGTAGGACGTCAGAAGAAGGGATCCTGTGACTGTTTAAAAAATATATATTACTCTGTGTTTTAAAAAATCTGAAGAATCCCTCTTCTGGGACATAATCCTGTGCAGTCTGTTGAAACTTAACATTTTGAAGGAACATGTGTTTGCTGCCCGCTTCATGAGGGTTTCTTGCTGGGCTTACACTTCAACCCTGAAGACAGAAGTGTATGTGCCTCTGAAATATCAGTCGACTTCCAAGGGGCTACATGGCATTATATCATAGAATTCTTCATAACCACCCATGTGAGAACCTCAAATCCTACAGAATACACATTTTTTAAACAATCACAGGTCCCTACTTTTGATTGAGTGGATCTGACACTCATTTTATGCATTTCAAAGAATTACACCTGCCTGAACAACTGTGCCTGCTTCAGCTTACCTGTTACTGGGTCCCAGACTGGAGTCTGCAGCCAGTTCACTCTTCCCTTCTTCATCTGTGCCCATCAGTGACCTGTTTGCTTCAATCTTAGAATCCCCTGATTCATCAGAGAGGGTTGTTTTCGGTTTGCTCTCAAAGAAACTGAAATTATACCAATATTGCTGTGAGAAATTAATATTTGATTTTAAGGGTATCATTGTGATACACCAGAAATTGTCTGAACTAAAGGAACACATAAAATGTATACCATGGCAATGGTAGTCAAAGCAGCAATCTGCAGAGAATCAAATTTACATGATGCAGCATGTTACCAGCAGCATAACATGAAATCAGAAACATTCCAACAAATTTTTATAGGGAAATTAAAGTCAGAGCCAACGCTGGGAACCAGTTTAAACCAAATTTTTTACTGATGACAATGACAACTACATTATCAATGGTGCTGATGGTAATCACAATCATCACTGAAGATCCTGAGCACTGCAGGTATGATTCCATTTACATATTTCCAGTTTGACACATAATCTCCCTTTCGATGTATTTTAAATAGTGCTTTTCCATTTTCAACTCTTCCTAGATCATACATACCGCTGTATATTGTCATTGTAGTTAAGCTGATTATAACTAGGTGGAGTCTCTGTTGATGATTTGCTGTCACAATAGTCATGATGAGGTGAGATTCCACCAAGCATTACTGAATCATGTTCCTGTAATACAAATTAAAATTTAAAACATGTGATTATGTTACATAATTCTCAAAACTGTCTATGCATTATACTATGGATAGCATACAATAACTCCAGGACTCTGTTATGTACTTTGTCCATGAGATGCAAGAGTATTAACCTTTAAACGCCGGACTTCGAAATAGTGGTAAACTTGAGCTGGCCGGAGTTTATTTAAATGCCCGCTGCTGGTGCTCGTTTAAATGCCCGTTGCTCCCTTGCGTTTAAATGTCCGTTCCTGTTAGGCGGTTAATCAATTTTAAGCGTTGTGTTTAAAAATGCTGTATCTAGCACAATTTTTATGATAAATGGATGGTATTAACTTTGTTTATATCAGCAAAGAACATAGTGTCGCATATTATAACGGAAGATTTGAAATTTTTAATACAAAGTGTTATACTCTATTTTCAATTTTTTGTGTTTTAATTTTGATGCGTACTGCAAAAATTGTTTCCCAGTTCTTCACAGAGTTGTTCTGCATTATAAATTCATTTCTGTTTGTAACACTTGACAAATTCTAGCAGTCCCTGGTGTCATAAAACAGATGGAAGCAATAAAATCATTTGGTCTTCTGCTAGCACTGCTTACACCCTTCGGATTTTCGAATCTTTGACTGAAGGTCAGAAGAATGAAAGAATGGCTATTCAAGAGAAAGCTAGAGGGGTCCCTTCTTCAGTGCTAAAACCTTCCGTTAGAACTGCAAAAGCTTATTGCCCCTTCTATTTGAGTGAACAGACAGCTGCATCGTGGCTGAGATACAGAGCGCGATCTGTTTTGTGTGCGTTCGTAGTGAAATTGAATACAGTAGTTTTATTTGAAACTGTATATACATCAAGCAGGTAACAACAAAAAACGTATGTACATCAAATTTTACAATATATTTTTAACATACCTATCTGCAGAATCTGCAATAAAATTACTGGATCGTGGATAAGTTTTGGCATAACTCATACGTATATTTTTATTTGCTGTTGTTCAGTTAGGTATTATTTTAATTCCTCTATTAGGGTTTTACTCAAGTCTGTCTGGTAATTACTACATTTGAAAATAAATATTTAGGAATGTGCATGCGCTTCTACTAGCGGCGTGTGCGCGCGCTTCCACTAGCGGAGTTTAAATGCCTGACTGGACAAAACGGGGTACTTTGGCCACGACGACATTACTCATGACTGGCACAAACTGGGCACTTCGGCACTTAAAGGTGAACACCTTTAAAATTCTCCCCTAATTCCACACACTTTTTACAATACTATATAATCTTATTAAATACTCTCTCACTGATTCCTTCATCAGACTAAAGACACAGAAACTGCTGGTAGCTAAGCCTGAACAATACTGTTTCTTTTATGAATTTAGTTGTATGGTGACTAGTCCTGTGTTTAGAACTAATGTATGCACATGTGACATGTTCCATATCTGATGGCTTTGGTAGCCAGTAAGGATTTATGAAATTAAAATAAAAACAAAGATACAGATAACAAGGGTTTCAAACAATTCAGTCCATCTTATTTTGGATAAGTGGCCAAATAATATTTTGCTGAAAAAGCATTTATTTTTTAAGTAAACATGCCCAGTTCTTGCAAATGCATTCTTGCATGTATTCTTTTAACATGTAGAATTAATGATTAGCAGTCATTACTGTACCAGTTGGCAGAATATCAGATCTCACAAGAGAGTCATCATGACTATGACATGGAAAAGGTGACTTTTTTTTAATTTCTTTAGTGTAGGAAACGTTTGGTGCTTCCATTATAAGATAGTCTTGCTATCTGAGGTAAAGTAGTGTGCCAAGATTTTATTACAGATCATTATCCTCACAGTAAAGTTGCTTTGTTCTTCTCAATAGCATTACTCCAGTAGCTATTCTGCAACTTCCAAGCAGTTCATATGGTCTGTGCCTGGCTGTCTCGAAACCCAGCTGACAGATTCATTTTTAAATCTGAGATGACCATAAATCGCCACTGTAGTGTGATCAGTGGCTTCAAGAGCAGTCATACATCTACTGGTTAGGATACAGCACCAATATGGCCAATGCTTTTGGTCAGTGATGCAATGAAGAGCATATTATCAAGAAAACTCTTGCAACATTCCCACAAAGGGGGACAAAGTTGCTCATGTCCATGACATTCTTCAAGTCATGTGTTTTCCCTGGAGAGTACAAAATGAGCAACAAATCTGGCAAAACTTCCCAAGAGAGAAGTGCAAACTTCTTCAAGATGCAACAAAGTAAGAACTTGAGTGCTCTCTATTGGGAAGCAAGAAGCAAAATGGGTTACATGACCCCAAATGCAGCCATTGGAAACCAACCAACCAACATTCCCACAAATGAGAACACCACTCAAATACCCTGAATAAAGACAGAATTTTCTCCCTAAACAATGTAGACTGCCACTAATGGACTCCAACACTGGACACTCCACTGAGTTACAAGAAATTTTATGATGGCACTTCTTGTTCCACACTTCCCTGTTCTGTTATCATCTTGCATAACAATAACACTAAATCCATGCTTCTGCTCCTATATATCTGATGTACACAGCATGAAATATGCCACATCTTTGTCATTTCAATCCCCATAAGCAAGGGCATATGAAAATTTAGTGCTGGAATTCAATGTATGCTCATAATACCACTACGGCTACTAATAACTTTAACAGAATTTTCGCCACTTCATGCATAAAAATTGTTATGTTGGGAGAGAGAATAACAGAAACCACTTCTTGATACCATTTGATACCATTTAAATTTCCAGGACCATTTTGTTTGACAGAGTTCAATACTAGACACTATGAATGCTTTGGTACTTCAATGATTTAAAGCTAAGAGTATGTTGCTGTGCATGCAAAACATTGAAATCTTTAACAAAACATTATTATTATTACAAATTAGGCAAAGAAATATTTTCTGATATTGCAAAAATGTTCTACAGTTTGAAAAAATATTCCATCCAACAATTTAATGTGAGGTGCAATATTATTGCACATGAAACCAGCAAGTACCAGGCATTTCTGCACCTGTGTCCTAGACCACTGAATCCTTCACCACACCATTCACTCTAATAACCTACTGCAAACAGAACTCTAGTCTCTGTGAAATGTTCAAACTGCCAATATTCTGCCATTACAAAATACAATTACATTCAAGGCATGAATATTTCCCACTTTTCATCATATAATTTAAATAAATCTGTTCTTCAAAGTATCCATAATTTAGGAATAATCGAATAACTCTATCAACTTACAGAGAAGCTCTGTTCTTCCTGCTGGAGATCCAATTTTAAGTCAGATTTGGAAATGTCATCCACTAGAGTTTCCATGAAGGTTGCCAGATCTCTGCATCGCTTTGACACCTGCTGTCTCTCTAGATGCACTGTGCTTTTGACCATCTGACACAACAAAGAGAAGAAAGAATATATTCACAGCTAGCATTTATAATAACAATATAATAAAATCAATTTCAAATAACTGAATAGCAAGATTTCTAAATTTTATAACAATTTATGCAGTCAATTAGCTGTTTCAATTTTTCTATGTGGTGACTGTAATACTCTATTATAAATCCGTAAGTAAAACGACTATAAGCATACAGTCAGATTATACATAGTTTCCATATGGGCATTCTCTGCACACTGACATTCTGCATGTTCCTAGCTGCTTCAGACAGTTTTGATGACGACACCACTATGGCATGAATAAGCAATTTATGAATGAAATAAGAGACAGCGCAAGTCAGCCAGGTGACAGTTGTTAGTCTTACTGCATTCACTAAAGGAGTCAAAGAATCTACACAGGGCAAGGATGGACCTTGGTCGCATGCTGAGAAATTTATTTAACTGCCTTAAAATAAATGGTATTAAAAGAACAACCATTCTAGTGTTGTTGCAATGAAGAGTACCAGAAGAACACTGTACTGGCTACATCCTCAGGTTTGAATATTATTTTTTTTTACTTATATATCCTAACACAACAATTTCACACTTGGCATTACTGTATTTGATATCCAGTAACATGAAGGATATAAGATGCTCCTATCATCATGTAACTATATGCAAAAAAAAATTATGGTACAGAAACTGGAATGAAATGAAATTACTGGAATTAAAACCTACAAGACATACCTCATTAAGCAGACTTTTAATTTCCTCCTGTATTATTTTGCTCTCCTTCAGAACTTCTTCAGAAATCTGCTGTGTGTCCTCTTCATTTGGGGCCATGAACACATCTGCATTATCAGGGCCCTAAGGAAAACACAATGAAATCTCATCAAAAAGGAATACAGAGACATGTCCTAACAATAAAACTGGTTTAGTGAAAGGAAGAGTAAGCATCACCGACATTCTATTTATTGTGAAATCGTTGATTAAGCTGCTTCAATTTAAGACTTCCCCTCACTTATCATTCAGTCTAAAGCCAGCAATCTCAGTGTTACTATCCTCCATTTAACACTTTCCTTCAGTTTCGAGTTCAAATCCAAAGAAAACTTATATGAGGGTTTCACTGTAGTAGCCAAGTTATAGAATCTATATTGTTATGACTTATGCCATATAAACACTGAAATTTGTAATACATGCAAATCGTTATCTTTGTCATTATCATCCTGATATTTGTCATTGTTATATCATTACCAGCATTAGTGGAAACATACCTTAAGTACTCGATGCTGTCCAATCACAAACTCAAGTTTCCGTGACCATGGATTGATAAAACTGGACCACTCAGTTTCCAGCAGCACATAACTACCATTCTGAGCCCTAAACCGGTATGGTTTACTGCGAAATGACGAGGTGTGCTCCTTCATTACTGTAACATTAACTTAAGAATCAAAATAGTATATACATAGAGCAGTACACAACTGCAGAATAATACTGTATCATAGAACCTAGAATAAATGATAATAATGGAATAAAATTTTGGCCATACAATTACGCAAATAAAACATCTCTTCTAAAAACTTGTGAGAGTTCATACTGTAGAGTGTAGAGTTATTGTTATGCAACGACCGTGAGATGGGCGGATATACTGGGGCCATTTTTGAGCAACAGCTTGGTAAATACATTCCTGCAGCAACAAACACAAATGCAACAATGGAACAGTAACAGAGGAACGACGTTTTCTGTGGTAACGAATCCAGACACAGCAACAGAAGAGCTGTTTTCTATGTAGTTCGTGTGAGATGTTATAAGCAACGGACAAGGTTAGGACTTAGTCAGTTCCGTATGGGAGTCTGTGAAGTGAGGGACTGAGTGCATGAAGCTAAGAATCTCCACTGTTAAGTCCATTACCAGGAAGTGTCTAATGAAGACTCTGCAGGCTGGGGAATACTTAGCATGTAGTGATTTTTAAATTGTGGAAATCTGTGATAGTGTTATAGTTATTTGTAGTTACAACCTGTAAGTGGTCATTAAATTGAGTCACCTATCCAAAGCCCATTTACAGTCACTCATACTATGTGACAATATCATGACAATTCAAACTCTACAGAAACAGCCACTGTCTGTCAGCAATGTCAGTGCTTATTAAAGTGAATAATATTCATCTAAAGAATAAGAATTTTCAAAGGAATCCAATTTTAATACAGCATATTTCCAGCTGGGAGCTGGGATGGCTAAGTTAATATAGCAACTAGGTGAAGGACTGAATCACTGGAGAATCAGGGCCTGACTGCCAGCAGGGCAACAGATATTTTCTTCTCTCTCACAGTTACACTGGCTCTGGGGGTCTATCCAGCTTCTTACATCATCAGTAATGGAGGGGGAGGGGGGGTATTTCACTGCAGGGTAAAATGGCAGGGGCATGAAACTGTCCACTCACCACCATCTGCTCATACTGCCAAAGCTAACAGTGGAGCTTTATCTACACTCTCCTACATATCTTTATGGTATGATGCTACTTAAAGAGAAGGACAACTTTCCCTTTAATTTTACGTTTCCAGTTGATTGCATAATGATTTTTGAATCCACATGAAGATACATTTTTGCAAGGTGGAACGTGAATCCTGTCATACGAGGGGGTACCCAAAAGAGACCAAACTTATTCTTTTAAACTTATTTATTCAAATTTTAAGCACAAACCTTCAATCCCCTTCAAAGTACTCTCCACTTACACTAATACACTTGTTTAGTCTTTTATTCCATTTTTCAAAACATTGTCTAAATTCATCTTTTGAGATGCTTGACAGCGCCTCCATCGTTTTTTCCTTTCATGTCTCTTTTCATTCAAGGAAACAAAAAAAAGTCGCACAGGGCAAGGTCGGGTGAGTATGGAGGGTGAGGAACAGGGGTCATACCATTTTTGGTCAAGAATTGTCGTACAGACAGGGCTGTGTGAGCAGGGGCATTGTCATGATGGAAAAACCAGTCACCCGACTGCCACAAATCTGGCCGCTGAGCTCAAAGTCACTCCCGACAGCTCCACAATTTCTTCAATGGTCCGTCGTCGATCTTCCTTGATGATTTCACGAATTTTTTCAACATTTTCATGTGTTCAGGGCGTGGAAGGACGACCAGAACGAGGTTTGTCATCAATTGACATTTCACCATTTTTGAAACGGGAAAACCACTCAAACACTTGAGTTTTCCCCATAGCATCGTCCTTGTACGCCGTTTTTAACATTTCAAGAGTTTCTGTTCCACTTTTCCCAAGCAAAAAGCAGAATTTCACCGCAGCAAGCTGTTCGCAAAAATCAGCCATTGCAAAAACGATGATCACACAAAACAGTTGTCACTATAAACTCTGCCGAAACTAGTCCTCACCTTCTGAAGCAACGGTAGTCGGCTTATCGACTCAGGAATGTTAGCTCTATGGGCTCATAGCGGCAAAACGCGGTACTACAAAAGCTCTGCCCACAAAAAAATTAGTTCGGTTTCTTTTGGATACCCCATCGTATGCTCCACCATCCTGAAGATACAGTAACACGGAATTCATACATTACTTCATAATTAACAAATTCTGTAGAACCCCCTTGCTCTGGCGCAAGGAATGTGGCAGTATAATTTGGTGGTTTCTGTTAATTTGATGTCCTGGATTAGTGAATGTGTTAGTTCTTTTTATATGACTATTATTTCAACGTGTATGTGACTGCATTTAACACAGCATGGAGTTAAAGAGATTTGACGGGCATTTAGATTAACTGGTCAGACAAATCATCATACTACACACATTCATAGCACAGAAAAGGGTTGAGTAAGTTACACGTGTGGGACGCGCCATAGCTCAAGTTGTTAGTCGTTGGCTTCCCACCGCAGCAGCCCGGGTTCAAACCCGGGTCTGGTCAAGTAGGATTTGTGGTGGACTAAGTGGTGCTGGGGTTGCTTTTCTCCAAGTACTTTGGTTTCCCCTGCCAATCTTCATTTCACCAAATTTTCCATCATCATAATCACCCGGGACAGGTACAATAGGCCAATCAGTGGCTGCCGTGCCAAATGGACCCAACTGAACTCCACCCCCCACTGTGCAAATTTTAACAAATGTTACATGTGTAATACTCAGAAGTTAGTCCCCCATCTCTTATGGCTACACTAACATACAAATTATTAAGTACTTTTATTCATCATCATCATCATCATCATCATCATCATCATCATCATCAGTAATCTGTCAGACGACAGGTCCACCGTCTCTTCCAAAACAATTCCTACACTTAATGCGATCTAGAGCTTTCTCCTTCAAATAACAGTATCCTCTTCTGTCCCCAAGGTCATCCAGCATCTTCTTACATCTTCTTCCTCGTCTTATTGTCACTTCTATCCGCCCCTCTACCTTTCCATCAATAACTTCTTTTAGAAGGCAGTTTCTGCATAAAACATGACCAATCCAATTAGCCTTTCGTTTTCTTATTTCGTGTAGGATATTCCTCTGCTCACTGACTCTAATTAACACTTCTTCATTTCTCACATAATCGGTCCAACTGATCTTCTCCATTCTTCTCCAACACCACATTTCGAAACTTTCCAGATGTTTCTGATCTACTGCCCTAAGTGTCCATGTTTCAGCCCCATACAGAGCTATGCTCCAAATGTAGCATTTCACTAGTTTCTTCCTCAAATTTAAGTCCAATTTGCTGGTAAAAAGATTCTTCTTCTTGCTAAATGCAGCTTTTGCCATGGCAATCCTGGATTTAATTTCACAAGTACACCTTCCATCATCTGTTAACAAGCTACCCAAATATTTAAAACATTTCACATTCTCCACTTGTTTTTGGTCTATCTTTATTGTGACTGGGGTTGGTTGTCTCGAAATTTTCATTACTTTTGTTTTCTCCACATTCATTTCCATGCCATAGCACCTTCCAATTTCAATTAGTCTATCAATCATGCCCTGTAGCACAGTTTCTTCCTTAGCCATTAACACAAGGTCATCTGCATATTTCACAGTTTGAATAATTTGCCCTCCTACTTTGAAGTCACCGAGCCCATCCAGAGCTTCCTTGGTAAGGCATTCGCTGTACAAGTTGAACAGAATTGGTGATAAACAGCATCCTTGTCGAACTCCTCTTCCAATCTGCACACTTCCTGTCTCCCCCCTGTCCAGTCGTACTCTAACTTTCTGATCCATGTACAATTTGCTAATCAATCTTCTTTCATGCCAATCGATACCTGTTTCTTTCAGGATCTGCATTAATTTGGTCCAGTTTACCCGGTCAAATGCCTTCTGCCAGTCTATGAAGCAAACACACAGTTCTTCATCTATCTCCAAAGTTCGTTCCGCTATAATTCTCATCATCCCAATTGCATCCCTGGTTCCTTTTCCTCTTCTAAATCCAAACTGATCTTCTCCAAGTACATCCTCTATTTTCCTTTCAATTCTTCTTTTAAGTATCTTTGCTATTATCTTTGCTGTATGTGCAATAAGACTTATTGTGCGATGGTCGCTGCATTTTGTAGCTTTTGTCTTTTTCTTTAAGGCAATCATTGTAACTTCTGTAAAGTCCTTGGGCCACTCTCCACTTTCATATATGGTGTTCATTAGTTTTGTCAGTGTTTTCAAACCACCTTCTCCCAGTAACTTGAGCACATCTCCAGGTACATCATCATCTCCTGTAGCCTTTCCCTTCCTCATTTCCTTGATAGCTTTTTCCACCTCACTTTGTAAAATATATGGTCCTTTCTCGTCTGTATCTACTTCTTCTTCCGGTTCAACTTCTAAGGTTTCTGGCCGATTAGGTCGATCATATAGTTCTGAAATATAATTTTCCCAAATTTTCAGCACTTGCCTCTGATCTACTATTCTATTCCCCTGGGAGTCTTCGATGCCAACATTTTGAATCCCATGATTCTCTTTCCATCCTAGTTCTTTTGTCTTCATGTACATCAAATCATAACGGCCTGTTCTTTGAAATTCCATAATCTCATTACATATCTTCTCAAGATATTCCTTTTTGGCCCTGTCCGTGGCTCTTTTCAATTCATTCCTCAGTCTCCTGTATTTCCTCCTGCCTTCTTCATTGTTGACATTCTTCCATTTCCTTCGCTCCTCCATTTTACTCATCATCTCCTGTGTAACCCATGGTTTTCTTGCTATCTTCTCAACTTTACCAACCAAATCACTGATAGTATCTAACATGCATTCTTTTATATTGTTCCACTGCACTTCAGCATTTCCGCTTTCACCTTCAATTGCACCGAGTTTCTCTTCTAGGGTCTCCTGCACGCTTTGTCTTTGAGCATATAACTTCTCCAAATCCCATCTAGGTCTGCGCTTTTGAAATCTTATAATTTTCTTCAACCTGGTTCGGAACTTGGCAACCAGTAAGTTGTGGTCAGAGTCAATATCTGCCCCAGGCAGCGTCTTCACATCCTTCACACTGTTTCTGAATCGATGTTTCACAAGGATGTAGTCCAGCTGATGCCTCCTCCAATCCCCAGGTGCCTTCCATGTGTAAATTCTTCTCTTTGGCTTCTTGAACCAAGTGTTGGTGACAATCAGTCCATTTCGTTGACAAAAGTCAATAAGCATTTGAGCCCTGTGATTCCGTCTTCCTAGTCCATGTGATCCAACAATATTCTGATATGGTTCATCTCCAACAATGCTATTCCAGTCTCCCAATATGATGATGTTTGTGCCACTTCTTCCATCTTCCTGAAGAATTTCTTCAATTGTTTCATACACTTTTCTACTTCTTCATCTTCATACTCTGATGCTGGCACGTACACTTGCATAATCAGTATATCTACCGGTTCCGCCTTTAACTTCAGAGCAATCATTCTGTCATTACAAACAATCTTCTTAATCTTTTATTACTCAACACATTTATTAGGAGAAAATATATTAACTGAACAGCATAAACACAAAAAAAAAATACAAAATATTATCCAATTTTTCGATTCCTCTTATTCATATCATGCTTAAGAAAAATCTGCAAACAAAATTTTGTAAACAGTCACATAAAAATGAAATACTGCACTTATTAGACTTTACCTGTTTGATAAATCTCCTTCAGAAAGGGCAGATCCTCTGGATGATAAAAATCAAGGATTGATTTTCCCAATTTCTCATGAGGCAGATAGCCAAGGTATGGCATGCTTTCAGGATCTAAATGGCTCAGCTTACATGATGCAAGATGATGAGTAACAAACTTGGGGGATACACAAGTTTCCCCTCCATCTACAGAGAAAAAATAAGAAAGATAAAAATATTTCATGCAAACAACTATTCCAATGTACCAGCAAAATAAAGCAGTCATACCACTCCTAAAATATATATGAGGTTATTCAATGATAAGACAGGACCTGTCTCATCATTTACCATATATGGAGACCTGCAAAAGGAACTATATAAACAGTCACTATCTGAGAGATTTCAGAATTCTTTTCCCATCCAGGTGCACAAAAATCACATTACAGCGTTCCTATCTGCATTTTCCTTGCCTGTGACATTAATTTCTCAAGGTTCTGACCAGATCTCCTATATGACTTATATCAATTATGTTTCCTGATTGTAAATAGCTCTGACTTATGACATTACACTCTGTTCCCTACTCAAATTTTCTCCCTGTGCTGTTGTTTTCTGTGGCCTCTGCCTCTGGAACTCTGACCACTAGACCACAGTTCCCACAGTAACACAAATGTGGATAATGATTATGTGTACCATAAACCAAAGAAATCTGAACCTTTTCATTATGGCATTTCAGCTCCTTAAACAATGAATCATACTTCCCAAGGAGCCAGAGAGTTTATATCTCCATACCTTGTGTCAGTTACAAGTTTTTATTTTCTCCATGGCAAAGACACATTTTACTTTTGCACTGCACACTTCCTCTAGTAACCTGTAACAACTAGGTTATTTCTATTCTTCCGTTAGCCATTTCATTATCACAGCTAACAGCGATTGCCTACATCATTCCAAAATACATATTAGCCCCAGGATATTTTCTAAAAAAAGTTTATGAAGAGCCTTTATTACATTTTGACTACACTAAATTTCAATTTTTTATGTCCGTACTCACGTTTATAGGCTGAAGAAATAAGTTTTGCAGTAACAACAAGAAATATGTTGTTACAGCCTCCAGTGACACCTTCTGGGTCAATGCTGCCATCTTGGTCAGGAGGAGTACCTTCAGACACAAACTCCCTGAATGTCATGTTCAATTGGAAAGGCAGATATGGGACCTCCTTCTCCATCACACCATAACCATTAGACCTGAGTCCTCTATACCTTCGTAAGCAGCAGTAAAATGTGTTCTTTCCAGGATGTGATCCACCTGAGACACATTTCAAACACTTCACACATAATTTATGAATTTAAAATTGCAAATATTATAAATGAAAGAAAACAATACCAATTCTAAAAATGAAGACAAGTTATAAACAGTATTTGTCACATACTTCCTTCATTCCATAAGAAAGAGGATGTTTATTCATGTCTGTGTCCCTTACAAAGATGTAACCAATAACAGACTTTAATAAAATTTGGTATCAGTATCTTATGTTCATAGGCCACTATAACTCTTTACTTTCTATCCACTACCCCCAATGGTACAAACATGGCCCCATGCAAAATTCCAAGGTGTGAAGAACAACAGTACTATTCAACTCTTTGTACACCATAAGCCTATTAGAATGGCTTGGAGTATTTGAATTGAAATTGCCAGACTTGAAATGATCAGCAAAATGTTAAACACTCAGTAGAGCATTTCTGTGAATAGATGGCATCATGTTATATACCGATACTTCTATTGGAAATAACATCCTTTCACACTACCTACATTTGTGGTCATTTGAAGGTAGTCTGTAGAAGGGCTGTGGATTCTTACATACAATGGTAATACTGTGTTTTGCTTTGTGTCTTTGATCAAAATGTGTTTTGTGACACTGCTGTTATGCAATACTGTATTTTACTTAATGTCCTTATTGTGCTCATTATGAGTGTATGTATATATCATTAGTTTATGTTTATATTATATTTGTATCTTGACAGGTTCTATATCCCATAGGTTGGTTTGACCTTGTATGGATTGACAGAATGCAAATAAATGAATGAATGAATGAATGAATGAATGAATGAATTTGCTCCCATGCAGCCTTGATGCTTCTAGTAAATAGTTCTATGGCAGGGCTTGAAGTCACAGGATTAAGATACACCCATATTTTTGGGGTGATACATCTTAAATAAATATGCAGTCTTCAATAGACTGAAGAAAGCATCGTGACAAACATGTTGTTAGGTATGTAAAATTTGGTATAATGAGGCAAGTACTACATGTAACCTGTGTATGAAACTTTTGTTTCATTTGCTGACAATTAAAATATACTGAATATATGCAAATTTTACGTTACCTGAAAAAAGAAGTTGAGTAATTACTCATTTATATTTTTGCAGATCTTCCAAGGACTTTATATTTATGCTCATAAGTGTCATTAATATGATCCAGAGAAGAAATTGAGAATACTTAATTTATACTGTCCCATTTCCTGAACCATATCCAGTTACTTAAAGTTTATTTGCAAAAATACATCAGAACTTTTGTCTTTACTACAAATATTTGCTCAGGACTATGCCAATTTCAAACCTAACAGTTCAGTTTATTCTAGAAAATACTGCATGTATATAATCTGCATCTGACAATCAAAGAAACCATTTTTTCCTGCAGCATTTCACAAAATAGGATATGCATCAATAATACTAAACAATCTATATTAATGTGGGGACAAATCCATATTTCTGTGAAGGGTATCATGAATCGCCAATCCACCATTAATCCCAGCATCTATACATTTTAGCTTTGGTGTCCATTGCAAACTAATAATCTTCAAATTAAAATGAATAATAGTAATGTGTTCAGCATCACTACATTTTAGATCAATGATTTGCCCATTTCACCTAAAAATTCATTACCAGGCTAGCACAAACATATTATAAGGCATTGTGCTATGGAGGACGCCCCCCCCCTCCAGCGGTGACGCGCCGAGCGGAGCCGAAGTGAGCTGAGTCCAAGCACGCTGGTCGCTATGCAAAGCGAGTAAACAGCGGTACCCATTACATAACACGGGCCGCAGTTGCTATGTAGCCGTAAATAACTCCCAACAGCGTTGTTAGGCTATAGGCAAACACAGCGACTAGGCAACAAGGAAGCGAGGCATTTCCTGTTGTCCGGCTGAGGGTTTATAAGGGAACTACACAGCCTACGAAGACAGTTACGAGTTAGCCAGCAGTTAGTCAGCAGTGAGCAGTTGGAGTATAGCAGCAGTCGCGGAAAGAAGAACCGGACGCACATGTGATAATCAGTGATAGTTTGTGATAACTGAGAAGTAACTGAGAGTGTGTAGACTACTGAGGACAGTGTGAAGAGATTTGTGTGTAGGGTTTGTAAAGTGTGTAAACCCATAACATTGTTGTAATTAGTTGTAGCCGAGACTTGTAGGTTGTTAAATAAACCAATTAAGAATCTGAACGGCGTCTTCAGTGACTAAACATGTTACAATATGTACCAAACACAAATGAATCCTCTGCTTTACACGATCAGGGTACAGAAAGTAGGATATGACATCCTGAAATCTAGTTAAAGTAAAACAGAATATCTGACAGCAAATTTCTCACTGAAAACAAAACTTTACTTTTAAGTACCAAATTACAAACAAAATTGAAAATTTATTTTCCCTCATTTTTCTGAAGAATTTATACAGAATATAATGGTTAACCCGTTGCCGTGGTTCGACGTGTATGTTTCATCAGGGATTTAAATCGTCTGGGGGGGTTCGACGTGTATGTTTCGTCCAGCTGCACACCTACGTTATAACGCCCATAATAATTGATGGTTTTGCTGTAGATTGTTAGATTTTTCGCTGGCCTGTTGTCAGTAGAACAGAGTATAAATAAGACACGACTTTATCTGCGCCAAGTCATCGTTACATATGCCTGTCTTGCAGCAAAGTTCCTGTTG